TGAATAAGCAATTTGAAATGATTGGCCAGTGTAGTCACTTCGTAGTTCTTTGCAAAAAAAATGATTCAAATATGAGGTGATAATGCTTGACATCCAATGTGTTTTTCATCTTATTTTGAAGTACTTTATGCGGTTTTAAACAAAGGGGGGACTATTGCCAATGGGAGAAGGTCATTTCGTCTATTTCAAGAATGATGCTTTATTTCTCCTTCAAAGGAGACATTTCTTGTATATTTTAAAAAACTAGATAATTTGGCTTGACTCTTGGACGTCATAAAATGTGCGTGAATGAAGATAAATTTGGCGGAATTTGAGCAAGTTTTTACTATTTTGAATCATTTTTTGCAGGGTCTTGGTATTCAAACCGTTTTGAGTACCATCTTGACTACAGAATGTAACAAATGAAAGTTAACAATATCTAGGCAAGCAAGAGGAAAAAGTGAATTGTGTCTAGTAGCCCGCGCTGGTTGTCCTGTGCCTGGTTGAAGGGTTGGCTGGTCTCGCCCGATTCCGGTCCTGTGGTCTATGGACTGGTATTCCTCTCGAGTTTCTGGTGACTGTGGGGAACCCTGCAAAAGAACAAGTTACAGGTCTGTGTTGTCATCATGGTCGCTTCTTCTCTCCAAGATATTTTATTAAAAATGTGGTCCGTAAAAGAGTTCCAAAAACTATATACTGTTTTATATATTTGTGCTTGAAGTGGACACCAGTCAGAGATGGTGATTGTTGTTGTAATGAATGATAAACTAGACCCTCTTTTCACGCATTGTTAGTGCTTATGTGACCAAGTATTGTCAAATAAACGTGCTTAAATAGGAGTTCTGCTGGGTACCCTTCTTGGATGAGCTGTTACAGAGCTTCTCAAAGTCATAGGAGGTACTTTTGGGACCATATATTCAGAGTGAGACCCTCCCAGGGGCTATGAAGATGAAATTAGCTTTGGAATGTGCATTTCACGGTATTTCTTTTTTTTCCTTTTTATTTTCTTCCTTTCGTCTGTGTGAATGTATATACAGGGAGTAAGTTTAAAAAAGGACATGGGAAATATATTGTAAAAAAAAAACTTAAAACAAACTTTGCTTTCCATTTTTTTTATTAGATTACTTTGAGCCACTCTGGGTTGACTTAAAAATCACAGGAATTTACAGAGCTATAGTGGTGGGGAATAGTGATATTTGTGTGTATTTTAAGTGATAGAAAACGATTGATTTGACATTTACTAGCTTCACACAATGAGTAGAAGCTAGTTAAGCTCCAAATTACTGGCAAGGAAAACCAAAAACATAAACGAGCATAGGGCTAACCCGTTATCTTCTTTGCCAGGCCCTATCAGATTAAAGTCTGAATAATTTCAGCTCACAGTCAAAGGAATAGGACAATGACACTAATCTCGAAAGTCAGAGAAGTTTAAGTAACACCACTTAATTATAATCTTTTGGACTTGAATGTTAAAATATTCGACTTTAAGCTCATAAAGAAAAAAAACCTGTGTGGAGCCCTAAGCTCTGTTGTATGCCTTCTTTCATGCTTAACTCGTACAATAAAACACATGTTTATTTAAATCTAATTAAAGTTTTCAAGACTTCTTCTCACGTTCATGTATATTAGAAAGCCAACCCTCGAAAAGGACCAACCGGTAGCGTTGTTCGAATACTGATCACAGAACTTTCAGAAGTTCAAAGGACTTCTCCCTCTATAACCTCAACATGAGCCATTGTGACAGACATGGCTGTTTATTACTACCACTCAATTACATTTTTAAAATATATTATTCTCTGGGCAGAGGGCTTTATTGTACAGGACAGCTTTGGAGTCAAAACAGGACAGAGAGCGAGACCTTCGGCAAATGGTTTGGGCATTAAAACCGTGGACGCCAACCACCAACAGAGCATGGATATATTTGATTGTACAGGCATTTTTAAATTGAGATAATCCTTCAGAGAGAAATGTGGGAAGTATGACTACAAATGATCACCAAACCCAGAGATCCTGACATACCAAAGAGATAGTGGTGCGAGTGAACATTTGTGTTGCCTGTAAATGGACTTGGAGGCAACAGAAGTGACATTACTAGTTTACATACTTGAAGATTGAACGATTGTGAATTGTGTAGGATTGAGTCTGTAGTAAAAGGGGTCTACTGTTATTTCACAAATAAACATGAAAGTTTCTCTCAACTGAAATACGTTTTTGTATTATTTTCTAATATTTTTAAGTGCATTTTGTGTACGGTATTTTTTGGAAATAGTCTCTTATTTCTTGAAGGTTTGTTTCTCTGATCTGTGTCCTCTGAGATAACTACTGTTGTGCATTTACGGCTTTACACAAAATAAAATGTTGTTGAAAAAAACCTGAATAATGTACATACAGCTTGGCTCGCAGAACAGATACCAGGCTTAAATCCTTGGACAAAATATGTTATCGTTGATAAAGTGTGTACGTTTTTAAAACTAAATCAAATATGAAGTGCAATACTGCAGAATGTCTACTGATTGTCACTTTATTACTTATTATCCTGCTCTATATCTATATAACTTCGCACTAGTTATTTAGATGGATAATAAAAATAGCTAGCTAATAAAAAATAGTAGTACTTATTGGATTTTTGTGTGCTCTTGCTACTGTCCTGTTTGTGCGCTTTAACATTGAATATAGTTCCCACTGTGGGAGGAATTAAAGGACTTTATCTTATCCTAAATAATGATTACAGTGATGGATGGTGCAGTGTATTGGAACGTGCATTGATAGTGAAATGCCAGGTAAAAAGTTTCTCAAAAGTTGTCGTCAGATGTTGCACGTCGGTCTTGTAAACGCTCAGAGATGCATGGAGTCAACAGTGTGCAGACTTTATTTAAGGCTGATGAAGAGGCGCCATCACACAGTGAAGCTCAAAATAAAACAGAACACACACCAAAAACACAAATTAGGCACCGGCGAGAGTATGGAGTATGAATAAAAGATGCATTCAGGACATAATTTACATACACGGTTCCCATCAACAAAACTTTGGAGAACAGTACAAGCACATTCAACATAGACTCAAAGGGTACATCGGGAGAAGTTTGACAGGACAAAACATAGATAAACTAAAATACAAGATAAGTGGTAAAACGGTAAAAGGAGTCTCTTGAGTCCAAGGAGCAATTAGTGGACAAGGAGCTGGAGGAAGATTGTTCGGAGGATCGCGAAATGTACAAAAGGGAGAGAGAGGGGAGAAAGCCGAGGCAATCATAGCGACGGCCTTTATGTAGGCACTGTCAGCACGGTACGTGGGTGCATCGGCTGTCTATAGATAGTCTCAAAGTCTTAACCGTCAACGTCAGGCAGTAGGAAGGGAAACAAAAAACAGGTATTAATGACGTGAAACATACGAGAGAAAACGTGTAAACAAAAAGTGGTACATCAGGGGCACCATTAGTAATAATACATTGAGTAGCTGCAGAGATCTCCACTGTCAAAGAGAACACAGGGAATGTAAGAGAATCAAAGAAAGCATTCCTCTCACGTCATACTTGAGGAACCTCAGATGTGTTTAGGTCTTCATAAAATTGTCTAAATGTATTATTCATTTCTTGAGGGTCAACAGTTAGGTTTCCTCCCAAAGCTATTATGCTATTAATTGTCCGTTCAGTCTGTAATTTCTTTAATCTCCAAGACAAACGTTTTCCTGCCTTCTCTCCTTGATCAAAATAGCTGCTGATTTTATCTGAAGATCATGTATCATAATTACTTCTTAAAAGCAGCAGTTGTTTCTGTTTAATTATATCTAGCTCACTCAATTCTGCTTTTTGTTTAGATTTAGTGCATGTATAGCTGTTGAACGCCCCCATCTTACAGGGACATGATTTCTGTCGGCTCTAGAGACACCTTCACTAGAGCTGACAGAGATCGACCTCAAATAGTTCGTCAGTTTTGCTTCGTGCCTCTCCATCTGCACCATAGACTGACGTGACATAAATGTGCAAAAGCCACCAAGTGGGAGAGCAGTCTGCACGAGGGGACTGCTTTTGCCTCGCTGTCTGTGGCCCGCCCCTTTGTGAAATAAAAAACAGAAAGATATGAAGAAAATAAATGTATGCAGAAAGAAAATGAGAATTTATTATTTATTTGGGCAAAACACTGCAGTTAAATAATATGTTTTTAAATCTCATAATTTGTACCGTTATATTAATAATCATTTGCAGATTGTGACATTTATTCATTCATTTTATATTTTGACAGTTTTGGTCCTCCATAATACTGTTTTAAAATGTTTATTTCAATCCAACACATTTACAAGGTTCAGTAATAGTACCCTGAACATGGTCCTGGATTGTATTAAAACACACAGAGCATAACTATTGTGTGATGCATGTATCCACACCAACGGTTTCTCATCTCAGTCAATTTTTTTAATTTAATAACTTGATTCTATTTGTGACCTGTTTCCATTCAGTAAGTTTTTTGAAACCCGACATTCCAGCTCGTAAATTTTTTTTTTCAACAGTTTTGGGTTCTTTTCTTTCCATAGTAAGTAAGTAATCTTTATTTATATAGCGCCTTTCACAGACCAGAGTCACAAAGCGGTTTACAATTGTTATTTTTGGGCATTTATCTCTCACTCCACACAGAGATAGGAGCAGGGTCGCCGAGCAGGAGGCGCATTCCAGACCTACTGCACATGTTTTTAGTGGTAGGGGAAACCGGAGTACCCGGAGGAAACCTACGCAGACACGAGAGAACATGCAAACTCCACTCAGAAAGGCCCTGTTCCAATCGGGATTCGAACCCAGGACCTTCTTGCTGAGAAGCGAGAGTGCTATCCACTCAGCCACAGAGCCGCCATATGTACCAAATGTACATAAAAATTCTCTCGGAGAGACCCGTTTCACATTACTTTAATACAACTTTAAAGCTGGGGTCTGTAACTTTCACAGCAGCCTCAAATATGTGAAGAGACATGTGACATCACAGTTCAAACAATCTTACATTTATCTGAAAGAATAGTTTGTGATGTTGCGTTACACAGAAGCAGAACTGTCCATGACGTCTCTGCGTAACAGAGGCGCCGAAGGGCCCTCCCCCTCCGCCAAAGGCCCCGCCTCCTCCGCCAAAGGCCCCGCCTCCTCCGCCAAAGGCCCCGCCTCCTCCGACAAAGGCCCCGCCTCCTCATTTGTCAGCTTCTCGACGAGTTTCCGCAGATTCTCGTCCAAAATCCTCTGCCGAAAACAAAAGTCCTGAAACAGAGACAGACACTAGTGTAGCTCCTGATGTTAGCTCTACACAGACACTAGCTCCTGATGTTAGCTCACCTGTTTCCTCCTGAAGGCTGATTGGCTCGGCACAGGAGGATTAAAGCTCATGTCTGTGATTCTGTAGTCGTCAAACAGCTCCTCAGGACGTCTGTGAATCACAGGAACAGAGCATGAAGACCATGAACAGAGTATGAAGACCATGAACAGAGCATGAAGACCATGAACAGACCATGAAGACCATGAACAGAGCACAGAGCATGAAGACCATGAAGACCATGAACAGAGCACAGAGCATGAAGACCATGAACAAAGCATGAAGACCATGAACAGACCATGAACAGAGCACAGAGCATGAAGACCATGAACAGAGCATGAAGACCATGAACAGACCATGAACAGAGCACAGAGCATGAAGACCATGAACAGACCATGAACAGAGCACAGAGCATGAAGACCATGAACAGACCAAGCAGGACATTGAGGGTATTTCCACGTGGTTCAGTCTCAGACCATGAGACCATCACCATCATCATCAGAACTGTTTATTGGAAAACACTGGTTTTCAAAAACTGATGCTGCTGTTATATTCAACCATTATTCAACACCAGGGTCAGAGACACATGGTACATGTCAGAGACACATGGTACACAGTCAGAGACGCATGGTACATGTCAGAGACAAATGGTACATGTCAGACGCATGGTACACAGTCAGATACGCATAGTACACAGTCAGATACGCATGGTACACAGTCAGATACGCATGGTACATGTCAGAGACACATGGTACACAGTCAGATACGCATAGTACACAGTCAGATACGCATGGTACACAGTCAGATACGCATGGTACATGTCAGAGACACATGGTACACAGTCAGACCATATGGTACACAGTCAGAGACACATGGTACATGTCTCTGTGTCTAGATGTGCTGATATTGTGATACAGATGTTTATACATTCACAAGATCCTCTGTCCTTTAATCCCTCACAAAATGAGAAATGGTACTGGTCCTGGTCTGAGTCCTGGTCTCAGTACTGGTCCTGGTACCTGTGTGCCAGTTGGGCGCTCAGGGCTCGGGAGCCCTCGCTCGGAGCCCCGTGGCTCAAGTGAGACGCCAGAGTCCTGACTGTGGGATGGAAATGTGTCTGCAACACAACCACAGGGTTAGACACACACACAGACAGACAGACACACACACACGCACACACACAGACACAGACTCTCTCACCTGCAGGGGGCGGAGCTCCCACAGGGTGGCGTTGTGGGCGTGGCTATGCTCTGGTTCATTGAGTTCTGGGAGGAAGACTCCGCCCCCCTGCAGCTCAGTGTCCAGCAGAGCGTCACAGCGTGGGAACGTCTGAGGGGTAAGCATGCCGTTAGCATGGTGGCTACGTCTTATTAGCATTACTGCAATAACATTAGCTTAGCTTTAGCTTCAAAAAACAGTTGATTTGTCACCTGCAGTAGCGTCCTGTTAACAGCTAATATACCAATGCTAGCATCAGGTAGCATGTGCAGACTGAGCGTGCTCAGACGCTTCAGGTATGACATCACTCTCTGGAGGGTCACATGCTTCCGTCGCCGTGGAAACATGGCGTCAATGCAGCGCAAGACGATCTGAATGTCATCGTTAGAAGAGCCTGAGGAGGAAGTACTGCACTTATACTACAGTACTGCAGAACTACACAACTACTACAGTATAATAGTACTAAAGTACTGTGACTACAGTAACAGTCACTGACCTGCGCTCAGCTGCAGCAGAACCTCATAGAGCTGAGAGTAAAACTTCAGAGGATCAATGTTCAACACGTCTCCTGAGGAGAGAGGAGAGAGGGGGTCAGAGGAGGTGAGAGGAGGAGAGAGGAGGAGAGAGGAGAAAGGAGAGAGGAGTCTTGTACCTTGTCCTGATAAAATGGTGAAAACCGTCTGGATGCAGTGCAGAGACTCACGAGTCGAAAGATTCTGAAACAGACGAGGGGGGGATTATCTCTGAACAAGTGCTCGCCAAACACAAACACACACACACTCACTCCTGATTGGACGAGCCTCTGTAGCACTGACACCAGATCGTCGAAGAACTCCACGTTGATGAGATGAGCGAAACTGCAACAAATTTAGACGTGTGAGTGACAGGTGTACCAGCCAATCACAGTGCAGCACTCACTGGGCCAGCCCCTCCAGCACCACAGGCAACAACACCGACTTCTGAGCCTTCTTCAGAATCCGGAAGTACACCACAAAGACAACATTCAGGGTTTCTGTGTGCTGAGGACAGAGGGGAAAGAGAGAGGAGAGAGAGTAGACACTTTAACACTAGGGTCATGCAGTGGTTCTCAAACTTTTTACACCAAGTACCACCTCAGATAATACTTGCCTCCACAAATGACCAACACTATACAGTAGCGTAGTAAGCCCAAGTATTCATCAAAAACAAGGCAGAGGTTTAATTCCTAAAGAAGTATATTTAATATTGTCATCCACTGTAACATTTTACACAATTTCAACAGAAAGACTTAAATATAGGAAAAAAAACTAAAAACTCGGCTTAAATAATGACTCAATTAAAATGTTCTATTCATTACGAACTGCAAAGCCTTGACTCACTGTGAATTATATTTTCGAGTGGGATGGCCTTCTTTGTCCACAGAAGGTTTGGACACTGCTGCACTTTAGTTTCTAAGGCTTGGTCTGCTGCCCTCTTACATCTGCCATTTACTCAGAGACATGTTGGTTCATTTGGTTTGCATTCAAATTATCTTTTGTTGCTCTCTTTGTTGCACAGAACTGGGAAAAAAAGATTTTGTATTTGCTGCTCCTTCTACATGGAACGTGCTGCAAAAAGACTGGAAATTATCTGATCCAGATTGAGAGACTGAGACATCCTCATTGAAATGTAACTGTTTTTATAATCCTATAATAATTTTATGAAATTGTATGTGACTGTTTTATAATCTGTAATTGTATGTAACTTTTGTCCAGGACTCCCTTGAAAAAGAGGTTCTGAATCTCAATGGGACTTTCCTGGTTAAAAAAAAGTACTGGCGTACTACTAGTGGTACCACACTTTGAGAATCACTGCTGTTATGTAAACCAGGACCTCAGACAAAAAGGTTCAGTCCAGGTTCTCACCAGTTTGAGTTTCTTGTCCCTGGACTCGGACGCATCGGCCTCCAGCAGCTCCTTCTGCAACTTCTCCTCTGCTTTCCTCCACTGAACAAACACATGTGTTAGAGGGACCAGAGAGAGAGACCAGAGAGAGACCAGAGAGAGACCAGAGAGAGAGACCAGAGAGAGAGACCAGAGAGAGAGACCAGAGAGAGAGGCCAGAGAGAGAGGCCAGAGAGAGAGGCCAGAGAGAGAGACCAGAGAGAGAGGCCAGAGAGAGAGACCAGAGAGAGAGGCCAGAGAGAGAGGCCAGAGAGAGAGACCAGAGAGAGAGACCAGAGAGAGAGACCAGAGAGAGAGACCAGAGAGAGACCAGAGAGAGAGACCAGAGAGAGACCAGAGAGAGAGACCAGAGAGAGAGGCCAGCGAGAGACCAGAGAGAGACCAGAGAGAGAGACCAGAGAGAGAGGCCAGAGAGAGAGGCCAGACAGAGACCAGAGAGAGACCAGAGAGAGACCAGAGAGAGACCAGAGAGAGACCAGAGAGAGACCAGAGAGAGAGGCCAGAGAGAGAGGCCAGAGAGAGAGACCAGAGAGAGACTAGAGAGAGACCAGAGAGAGACTAGAGAGAGACCAGAGAGAGACTAGAGAGAGACCAGAGAGAGACCAGAGAGAGACCAGAGAGAGACCAGAGAGAGACTAGAGAGAGACCAGAGAGAGACTAGAGAGAGACCAGAGAGAGACCAGAGAGAGAGACCAGACAGGAGAGACCAGAAAGAGACCAGGACTCATGTTTATGTAAATAGCACAAACCTTGCGCTGCATACGTGACAGATTCTTCTTCTTCTCTTTGTTCGTGAGAAGTTTCTGTTTTGGTTTTGTATAATCCAAGTCGCTCTTCATCTGGACCTCTTTGATCCTCAGCGAATGAAACGTCTGCAGCACCTGTAAATTGCCGGACAAGCCCCGCCCACATATCACTCACAGGACAAGCCCCACCCACATGTCAATCACAGGACAAGCCCCGCCCCCATGATGATAATAATCATACGTGCTGCTGAATGGGGAAGTCTTATATTTCCACATACAGTGCCTTGCGAAAGTATTCGGCCCCCATTGAACCTTTCAACATTTTGCCACATTTCAGTCTTCAAACAAAGATATAAAACATTTATTTTTTGTCATGAATCAACAACAAGTGGGACACAATCGTGAAGTGGAACGAAATTTATTGGATAATTTAAACTTTAAAAAAAAATAAAAAACTGAAAAGTGGGGCGTGCAATATTATTCGGCCCCTTTACTTTCAGTGCAGCAAACTCACTCCAGAAGTTCAGTGAGGATCTTTGAATGATCCAATGTTGTCCTAAATGACTGATGATGATAAATAGAATGCACCTGTGTGTAATCAAGTCTCCGTATAAATGCACCTGCTCTTTGATAGTCTCAGGGTTCTGTTTAAAGCGCAGAGAGAACCATGAAGACAAAAGGAACACACCAGGCAGGTCCGAGATGTGGAGATGATTGTGGACTTCAGGAAGAGCACTGTCCCCCCGCCCCCACCCTCCGTGATGGACTCCCCCATCACCTCTGTGGAGTCCTTCCGTTTCCTGGGCACCACCATCACCCAGGACCTCAAGTGGGAGCCGACCATCAGCTCCCTCATCAAGAAGGCCCAGCAGAGGATGTACTTCCTGCGGCAGCTCAGGAAAGCCAAGCTGCCTGCACAGATGTTGGTGCAGTTCTACACGGCCATCATCGAGTCCATCCTCACCTCCTCCATCACCGTGTGGTTCGCTGGAGCCACAGTCAGGGACAAACAGAGACTACAGCGCATTGTGCGCTCTGCAGAGGAAGTGATCGGCCGCAGCCTTCCATCGCTGCAGAACCTGTACGTCGCCCGAGCTCGAGGCCGGGCTGGTCGTATCACAGCCGACCCCTCTCACCCTGCACATGGACTATTCCAACCACTCCCCTCAGGCAGGAGGCTGCGGTCCATCAGGACTAGAACCTCCCGCCACAAGAACAGTTTCTTCCCCTCTGCTGTTGGACTCTTGAACACTTCTTAACCTGTCCCCCCGCCCTTTATAAAGTCACTTTACTTCACTGTACTGCTGTCACCTTACATTGTGTGCACCATGTGCACTTGTATATTGTAAATAGTAACTGTAACTCTATTTTAAATTTAAATTTATTCTTTAGAAGTGTTTTTTATTCTTATTTTTATTATCTCTTTTTGACTGTTGCACTGAGCCAAAGCAATTTCCAAGTCTGTGACCTCCCGTTACTTACGTTGGCAATAAAAATGATTCTGATTCTGAGATACTGTTGTGGAGAAGTTTAAAGCCGGATTTGGATACAAAAAGATTTTCCAAGCTTTAAACATCTCAATGAGCACTGTGCAAGCAATTATATTGAAATGGAAGGAGTATCAGACCACTGCAAATCTACCAAGACCCGGCCGTCCCTCCAAACTTTCATCTCAAACAAGGAGAAGACTGATCAGAGATGCAGCCAAGAGGCCCATGATCGCTCTGGATGAACTGCAGATAACTACAGCTGAGGTGGGAGAGTCTGTCCATAGGACAACAATCAGTCGTGCACTGCACAAATCTGGCCTTTATGGAAGAGTGGCCATTTCTCAAAGATATCCAATAAAAGTCTCTTAAAGTTTGCCACAAGCCACCTGGGAGACACACCAAACATGTGGAAGAAGGTGCTCTGGTCAGATGAAACCAAAATCAAACTTTTTGGCCACAATGCAAAACGATATGTTTGGCGTAAAAGCAACACAGCTCATCACCCTGAACACACCATCCCCACCTCAGCTGTAGTTATCTGCAGTTCATCCAGAGTGATCATGGGCCTCTTGGCTGCATCTCTGATCAGTCTTCTCCTTGTTTGAGATGAAAGTTTGGAGGGACGGCCGGGTCTTGGTAGATTTGCAGTAGGGGTGGGAACCTAAGGGTACCTCACGATACGATACGATACAAAGCTCACGATAATATCACGATAACGATATTACGATAACGATTTTATCACGATACGACGATTATTGATATATTGGTCAGAAATATACAATATGCCAATTTATGGCATAAATAAAAGAAAAAATACTTCTTTATTTCTTTATTTAATAGAATGGAGATGCGTAATGTAGCCATATATTAAGTATTGATACCAATTCAAAAAAAAATAAATAAATAAATAAATAAATCAATATCGATACTTGGCAAATGCATATCGATAATCGAATCGCGGGAGAAAGTATTACCCCTAATTTGCAGTGGTCTGACACTCCTTCCATTTCAATATAATTGCTTGCACAGTGCTCCTTGAGATGTTTAGAGCTTGGGAAATCTTTTTGTATCCAAATCCGGCTTTAAACTTCTCCACAACAGTATCTCGGACCTGCCTGGTGTGTTCCTTTGTCTTCATGGTTCTCTCTGCGCTTTAAACAGAACCCTGAGACTATCAAAGAGCAGGTGCATTTATACAGAGACTTGATTACACACAGGTGCATTCTATTTATCATCATCAGTCATTTAGGACAACATTGGATCATTCAAAGATCCTCACTGAACTTCTGGACTGAGTTTGCTGCACTGAAAGTAAAGGGGCCGAATAATATTGCACGCCCCACTTTTCAGTTTCTTATTTGTTAAAAAAGTTTAAATTATCCAATAAATTTCGTTCCACTTCATGATTGTGTCCCACTTGTTGTTGATTCTTGACAAAAAATTTAAATTTTATATCTTTATGTTTGAAGCCTGAAATGTGGCGAAATGTTGAAAGGTTCAAGGGGGCCGAATACTTTTGCAAGGCACTGTATGTTCACCCGGGCTTGGTTTCTACCTTGATCATTTTCTCGCTTTAGTTCCCTCTTCTCTTCCTCACTGTTGTGTTGTTTGGGCTGTTTTGCTGTGTTTGCAGTTACAGCAAGAGGAGTTATAGCCACTTTCTGCTAACATGCTGCTGTGTTTAGCAGCGCTGTAGAGGCTAGAGAACGCAGCCTCGTTCTGCGAGTGGAGCAGGATGATCGGCCCGCTGGTCTCTACTCAACATTTTTATACGGCCTGAGTTCATACACAGCTGAATCAATGAGCTCAAGTTATCAATTAAATTACGGATTATAATACAACTTGTATGTAGTAATAAGCATTTTTATGAACTCATTAGAAAAAAAATCGGGTATAGCTTCTTTAAATCACTTTCTATCCATTTATGGATCTGACCCAAATTCTGTAGTTTTGTAGTTTTGCCAACAGTAGGTTGGACTCGGTCTTGGGGCTCACCTGGGGCTGGACGATGTAATTGTGGTTCTTGACGAGTCCAGAGATGACTCTGACGGCCGCTAACGAAGCTCCTCCCACTTTGTCCTGAGAGAAGAGAGTCCGAAAGGAGGTGCAGACCAGACCTGAGACCTGAGAAGAGACCAGACCAGACTTGAGAAATCAGGGGAAACGAGCCACTACAGATCCAGAAGCATCCTGCAGTTTCAAAGACACTCCAAGTGCATCACACAGACTCACACAAACATCTGACAGTTGTCATTTTAATCAGCACCAAATGCAGTATGTCGTTAGGAAAATCAGCTGCTTTCTTCTGGAAAAGCTGAAGCTTCTGGAAGAAGATACTAGAGGGTAATGACCTTTTTTATCCTCAATAAACTTTATTAGATTTGCTCTAAATGGTCACACACTTAAAGCCATGATCACCAGAGTTTTTATAAGTCTAAAATGATTGGTCTATGATCCTTATACTCCTGTGTAGGTTGCTTTATTATATTTTAATTTATAATACCAACAGAATGTGTATTCCAATTTATATTATCTCAGGTCTGGGTCCTAGTCTGGGTCCTGGTCTGGGTCCTAGTCTGGGTCCTGGTCTGGGTCCTGGCCTTACCTCTGGGTCCTCATGGTTCATCAGAGGGACTAAAGCTACGATGATGTTGTTGTGGAAGTTGAAGTGGGTCAGATGCAGCAGCAGCTCACAAAGACAGCGGACTGAGACCAGGGCCAGACCTCTGTACGAGTCCAGGGACACGGTCTGGACCCGTTTGGAACGACCCCTCCTCCAGTCTGAGGTGGAGGGTTAGAAACACACAAACACATTTTATATATATATATATATATATATATATATATATATACATAGAAATAAAATATCATGTGTATAGTAGGTGTCCGACCTGTGATTATCAGCTCCAGCTCCTCCAGGTAAAACTTGTACTGACTCAGAAAACCCTCCTCAAACTCACGCAGAGACTGAGTGTCCTTCCTCACCTGCAGAGAGGGAGGGGGAGAGAGGGGGGGAGGGGGAGGGAGAGAGAAAAAGAGGGAGGGAGAAAGCAGTGTTATCTTCAGGGACCCATGTAACCCTCTTTCCCCGTCTCAGCATTAGGGTCTCGAAGGCTGTAGTGTCTCGGATATGCTATATATAACAAGTGCAGTACCTTGGCTGTCCTCTCGGAGGCACTCAGAGCTCGGATCTTGTACGAAGGAGCCACATCTTTAAAAACTTCGAGTAGCGACAGCATCACAAGCTTCTTCACCGTCACCGCGATCGAGGAGTCAGCCTCACATAGCATTGACCTGAGCTCCTTCAGACGCTTGATCTGAGGAGGAGAGAGGAGGTGAGAGAAGGAGGAGAGAGGAGGTGAGGAGAAAGCATGTGAGAGGAGGTGTAAGAAGGTCTTACGTTGTTCTGAGGGTCAGAGATCACAGAGGAGCTCAGTGCTGCCATCTGCTGTTTCCTCTCAGTCAAACGCTCTGCTCTGGTCTCAGGGTCTGGTCCTGAAGAGAGACGTCACACTGTGATGTCACACTGTGATGTCACACTGTGATGTCACACTGTGACGTCACACTGTGATGTCACACTGTGACGTCACACTGTGATGTCACACTGTGATGTCACACTGTGATGTCACACTGTGATGTCACACTGTGATGTCACACTGTGATGTCACACTCTTCGATCAGATTGCTCTTACCTGGTTGGTCGGTTACTTCCTGTTCCTGCGGCTCCTCCTCGTCTTCCTCCTCAGGCTCCTCCTCCTCACGTCGCTCGACCACTGTGTCAGAGAGAAGTCAGATGACTGGTTAGTTTGGTTAGTTTAGTTATTGTCATAGTGTTTCTCTCTGATTGGCTGGTCTCTCTCTGCTCCCTCTCTCTGATTGGCTAGTACCTCTCTCCATGCTCTGTGGGACCACGCCCCTCTTGTCTTTGATTGGCAGCAGGTGAATCACTTCCTTCTCCTCAATTTTCTTCAGTTTTCGTGGAACTTTCTCCAGATTCAGCAGAAGTTCAGATCTCCTCCTTTTAGCGGAGTGGACAGGAGCACTGAGGAGGAGAGAGGAGGTGAGGAGGAGAGAGAAAACTTTATTGATCCCAAAGGAAATAACAGGGGTGCCGGCTGCTCTCATTCACAGTCACAGGAACATCCATCCATCCATCCATCCATTTTCTACCCTTTAATCCATTTCTGGGTCAGGGGGGTGACAGTCAGAGATGCCACCCAAGTCTCATAGCACCAGCCCCTCACTGATCCTCTGCAGGTGGTGAGTCCACAGGAGGACGGCTGCTCTCTGAGTGTGAGCATAGCCTTGATCTTTCAGTGGGGGTTTTGGGCAAAGTGGGGTTAAGTGTCTTGCCCAAGGACACAACGACAGCAGTCATCAGTGGGAGTCGGTGGAGAAGGTGTAGAGGTGGGAATTGAACCCACGACCTTCTGGGCTTAAGGCCAATGCTCTACCAACTGAGCTACTGTCGCCCCTCACAGGAACATAATAAATATATTATATTTATTATGTTCCTGTGACTGTGAATGAGAAACAGTACAAAAGAATTAAAAACACACATTGTCGAATCACTTGGTTCTAGGTCAAAGAGTTGTGTCTAGTGTCACGAGGCACAAAGGGGTTCCTCAAGTCTGTGGAGCAGGGACATGGTCCTCCTCTCAATGAAGGCCTCGTGTCTCAGCAAAGGCCTCACGTCTCTGTACGTTAGCTGTTCCGGGACTCTGTATGTTAGCTGTTAGCCACGTCTCTGTACGTTAGCTGTTAGCCGCGACTCTGTACGTTAGCTGTTAGCCGCGACTCTGTACGTTAGCTGTTAGCCGCGACTCTGTATGTTAGCTGTTAGCACGATTCTGTATGTTAGCTGTTAGTGCGACTCTGTATGTTAGCGCGACTCTGTATGTTAGCACGACTCTGTATGTTAGCACGACTCTGTATGTTAGCACGACTCTGTATGTTAGCACGACTCTGTATGTTAGCACGACTCTGTATGTTAGCTCTTTGTAGATCCTTTGTCCTGTGACAAGCACTGAAAGTTCATCTGCCTCGTTTGATCATTTTAGTTCCTTTTTGGCCAAAGCTTTCATCTTTAGCTTTGCTCCGGCTCCCTGTGTGTCCTTCTGTGTCTACCTCCGTGTCTCCCTCTACATCTCTCTCAGTATCTCCCTCTGTGTGTTATGGGGTTAAAGGTCTCACCACTATCACACTCAGACATAAACAGGGCAGCAGTCCACCTGCAACAGCACTGAGGAGAAGAGAGGAGGTGAGGAGCACAAAGGAGGAGAGAGAAGGAAGAGGACAGAAGCACTGTGGAGGAGTAAGTGAGGAGCACTGAAGAGGAGAGGAGGACACTCACCTGGAGGACAGGTCTCTGGTGATGAAGGAGGCTCTCTGGGCCATACTTTTCATCAGCTGCAGCGCCTCTTCCTCCTCCTCCAGCATGTCTGTGGGCAGCTCCTCCATAAACTGCTCCTGCTCCTCTTCCTCTGAAACACGCAGATGTGAGACACACACACACACACGCAGACACAAAAACACACTAGGGATGCACTAGACTAATGCATCGACTGATGTTTGCCTTGTTAACCACCATCTGCGCGTACGAAGAGATACCTGTAGAGGGCGTCCATGCACTTTCCTCAGTAGAAGAAACAAAGAATATGGCGGCAGTTGTGTGGCATTATTTTACAGTATTAGAAAAAGATGCAGTTTGCAATACGTGTTCCAGTGAGATTTCAAGAGGGACTCATTGGACATTTGAGAAGCAAGCATGAGGCGGTGCACAGCGATTACATGAAGCTGAAGAAATTCAGAAAACTGAGGCCGCCAAGAAGTATACAGGGACATACAGGGACAAAGTCTGAAATGACAGCCAATGCACGCGAAGTGCCCCCCTTCAGCATGGAGCTTTTTTATAAAATGCACTAAGAAATGGAGACTTCTGATGAACTCTAATTCCCTGTGGCATTAGCAGCAATGACCCATACAATAAAAAAAAGAAAAGTTGTTATGTTAAACAACATATATCGGCCCAAAATTTCACAATCGGTGCATCCCTGACACGCATGCACGCACGCACACACCTGGTCTTTGTATGGTCTGGTGCAGGTCCCGGGGTGTCCTCTGGGAGGCGCTCTTTAAGGCCTTCCTCAGCTTCTTCTGTTCCTTCCTCTGTTTCTTCTCCACATTCTGTCGCTTGAAGGTTCTGTTCCGCTGTTTGTTCTCCAGCTTCACTCCAGACGTCTTCAGAAGCTTCCGGAACGACGGGGCCCTCTTTTTAGACCGAGGCTAGAACAGGACCAGGGTTAGGACCAGGGTTAGGACCAGAGACCAGAGAGAGAGCTGGGGTCTGTAACTCTAAAGACCAATAGAAGTCTGTATAAAACTCATGATCTGGTTCTGGCTCTGAAACAGTTGCTTCAGTCACTAGTTACAAATCATGTATTTGTGATGTCACATCTTTAGATCAAAGAGAGCACCACCCTCACTCAGCCAATCAGCTCTGAGCCCAGAGAGGCAGATACTGACTCACAGGGCTCGTTCTTAAACAAAAGATATACCCCAGTTAATAGTGTGTTATTGATGAGACTAAAGTTTCAGACCCCAGCTTTAAACATGTGTTATTTATGAGACTAAAGTTACAGACCCCAGCTTTAAACATGTGTTATTGATGAGACTAAAGTTACAGACACCAGCTTTAAACATGTGTTATTTATGAGACTAAAGTTACAGACCCCAGCTTTAAACATGTGTTATTGATGAGACTAAAGTTACAGACACCAGCTAAAGTACGTAAGTTTTAACTCTGACAGTTATAATCAGACTAGATACTTTCACTGAATACTCGCCTCCAAATACTAGAGTATTATCACAGTAGTACTAGAGTATTATCACAGTAGTACTAGAGTATTATCACAGTAGTACTAGAGTATTATCACAGTAGTACTACAGTACTATCACAGTAGTACTACAGTATTTTCACAGTAGTACTACAGTACTATCACAGTAGTACGACAGTATTTTCACAGTAGTACTACAGTACTATCACAGTAGTACTACAGTATTATCACAGTAGTACTACAGTACTAGTAGTTTTGTGTTTACATGCAAAACTCACCGGTGCCATGTCGTCGCTGGAATATGAGCCTCCGTGAGAATGTGTTTAATATATGTGTAAATGTGTGTTTGTATGTTTGTGTGTTTGTGAGAGAGCGAGATTATAGTATGAGGAAAACACAGATCCACACATACACACGTGGTCTGCGGCTGAGACCGGAAACACATGCAAACAGCCCGTTACGGCCTCCATCTGGTGAGGGGAGGAACTGCAATTATGAATCTTTATTAAGGACACAATACAATATGTTCCATAGTTAAAAAGAAAATATACAATACATACATTATATTGCATATTAAAAAGAGGCATGTAGATGAAAAATAGAACATCACGGCATAATCCCCATCATGTCCATCATGTGGAGTTGAAGAGCATAGACCAAAACTTGGGGCTGACCAAAGTTTGAACAATTGCATTATTAGACGACGCATGAATCTGAACTGAACATTTCGAAGAGATACAGTACAGGAGCAGACACAGAAGGCAAACATCTCACTTGAACTGCTGTGCCGACGAACCTTCAGCAGTAGTCTCATGGAGGAACCTGCATGACAGCTGAATTGTAAAACGTACTTGTCTTCATATGTACCTGCAATCATGTCCTTTGCAGCATTATGTTTGATGTTATGATCCAAACCATATTTAGAACACACATTAAGTAGTTGCTGAAGACCAACACTGTAGGGACAGAACACCACCAGATCATCAGCAGGTGTTGAGTTGCAATATGTGACTACCGGGAAAATACAAAAACAATCACGTCTATACATCATCAATATTAATTACAAGTTGACAATTCATCGATTTCCCCTGCTTTATCTGTTGCGGGGGCAGACCGAGGCTCCCCTCTCCAGACATGGAGCTGTAACTTTGATCTGATCTTAAACATGTTCAGGGTTATAGTTAGGACAGAGCACAGATCTAAAATACATATAATTTAGCCTTAAAGGCCTGTTTTCTTTCTTGTAAGTGCAGATGAGCTGAGTTCAAAGTCCTGTGTTTCTTCGTATCGCTGTTTACGGCTGCTTTATCTTAAATGTATAAAGTGAATGATTAGCTGGTGTACTGCACAGACCTGCACCCTCTGGAAACGGACCCCGCGGTCATTTAGATATTCACTATTATTACAGTTTTATCAGGATCACAAACGCACATCTTTTATTCACAGCGCGTTATTAATGTGGGAGTCCATTATCTTTAGTCACATACTGGTGCCGGTCACATGGTGTTCGGGACCAGCTAATTAGGGCACATCTCAGACCTGTACACCAGCGCTTCCTCTCTGCTCTCACGCCGCTCTGGAATCATTTCAAGTGGTCACCAAGCTAGAATCACCGCTGACCCCTGGAGCAGTCACTATGGGCATTATTGACTTAAGCTATTGATAATTCACACTAAAACCAAACAATTTGTCTGCGGTTCATCACCGCCGGTTCTTTACACCGGGGCTTTGTCTCCTCTCACGCCGCGTTACGGCTGCTTTCACTCGGGCAGAGAATACACCAGTTCCGCCAAAACTCGGAGCTCAGAGTTGTGCTGTTCTCAACTTAAATGGACATGACATGCACCTGTGCGTGTGTCTATGGATCGATTCACAATAGTAAAAACTACAGAGCGGAGTTCAGACGTGAGAGTGACCTAGGAAGAGGCACTTCAGACGGACACAGGAGCTCCGCGAGGTCGCGCTGTAGCCGTTAGCTCTGTTAGCAACTAGTATCTAACCAGCTCTTATAATTTGCTGTTAATAATAATAAAAATTATTAACCATATAATATTAATAAGCCCAACAAGATTCAATATTTTATTAGTTTCAAATTAAAAGATTGCAATTTGCGTCAGTAAAAAATGCAGTGTGTAAAATTAATGAGGAAACGCGCTCTGGACCTGGAGCCATGGGACCGATGCCAAACCGTAAGTCCTGTTTTAGACCTGTTTTAGACCTGTTTTAGACCTGTTTTAGACCTGTTTTAGACCTGTTTTAGACCTGCTTTAGACCTGCTTTAGACGTGTTTTAGTCCTGCTTTAAAACCGTGTTAGTCGTGCTTTAGACCTGCTTTTAGTCCTACTTCAGATCTGCTTTAGTTCTGCTTTAGATCTATACACCTGCTTTAGTCCTACTTTAGACCTGCTTAGACCATGTTTTAAATTTTTACCCTCCCACATGTTTCAGAAGCGCCAGTGTTTGGGGGTGGAGCTTGTGGCTGAGTGTCCAATGGAAACATGCGACAGTTCAAAATTGACCAATCAGCTGCAGCCTGAGCCGCACGTGCAGGTGAGCCGCCCTGGGGCAGACTGAGGGAGAAGTGGCATCTGAACTCATTGGCGATCCATCTGTCCTTGTCTTTCATCAGAGCCAAAATGTCTCGTTCAATTACATGGTTTTGTCTCTTTACTTGTGTTGCAGTTTGGTCCCGGTCCCGGTCCTGGTCCCGGTCCTGGTCCGGGTCCCGGTCCGGGTCCCGATCCTGGTCCCGGTCTTGGTTCTGGTCTGGTTTGTGAGCGATGCCTCCGAGGGGAACCAGTACGTCTGCACCATAAGACAAACGTGTGACATCACTGTGTGTAATTGTCTTTTCTTGTTTCAGGGACATATCAATCACCTGCTTCAGCTCTGACCAACCAGACCCAAGAACCCAACGTCTTGAGTCTCATCCTGTCAGGATGAATGGGCCAGAATTGCACACTCTCTTAAACCTCCCCCTGTCAGGAGGAACAGGCCAGAATTCCACACTCTCCTAACCCTCCTCCTGTCAGTAGGAACTAGCCAGAATTCCACACTCTTCCAACCCTCCTCCTGTCTGGAGCAACAGGCCAGAATTCCATCTGAAGTTGTAGAAGGATTCTGTATTTTGCAGGTAATGATGCAACAGAGAAATGTTAAACTTGAACTTTACCATGTGTAATGTCGCACAGAAACCGGTTCCGGCGCTCGTTAAGGTTTAAAGTCTATGAAGAATTTTATTATGTTGTATAATCATGCAATTAACTCAAAAGGGAATATTAATGATGTAGCTGACGTCCAATCAGAGCGCTGCGTCCCTGTGATGTCATCCCACACTCCTTTTATCTCTTCCAATGTTTATAAATATGAATTGCATATATTTTTGTAGAATATATTTTGTAATGGAACAATCAGACACTTCCTACTAATTCATAATAAAAATACATTAGACCTGTTTCTGTTATTATGCGTTGAGAGAGAGAGAGAGAGAGAGTGCTTCACTCACCCAAGCACGGCTCTTTCCGCATTAGAGTACAGTTTGTATTTGTCTGTATATATATCATGGTTCTATATGTGCCAGAGTGAGTGACCTGCAGAGGGCGCTGTCTTACCGTGAGTCAGGCTGAGGCCTCTGCATCTGTGTCATATTTACAATCTATTCAATTCATTGTATTCTTGTATAGCTCTAAATCACAAGTTATCTCAGAGGACTTAACATTTTTTTGAAATCGCCATCACAGATCAGAGAATCAAAGAGAATATAGTACACACATGTAATGTTCCATAAGAAGAGACCAATGTCCATAAATGTTGTAGAATGATGAGTGTCGGGATCATCACCGCAGTCCTTGTTAGACACTATCAGTCCAACAGACCCTCCTGCATCAGAGGAAAAACTCTAAACCCAGTGGGAGAAAAGTGAGAAGCCTCTGGGAGACCCACATTGAGAGAGGGATATGCTCCACACGGACGGACGGGCTACAGAACGAAGACCAAGGCCACGCAGTCTATCATGTCAACACGTCTTGATGACACAATGAACTATTATTACATTTTAAACCGGTATGTACACATGCGCGATATAAATTAAGTACTTACATCATTAATAATGAGACACAATAATGACATTAACACACAGAATATAGTCCTTTAGACCGGCTTTAATCCTGTTTTAGTTCGGCTTTAGTCCTGCCAGACCTGCTTTAGACCTGCTTTAGTCCAGCTTTAGACCTGCTTTAGTCCTGCTTTAGACCTGCTTTAGTCCAGCTTTAGACCTGCTTTAGTCCTGCTTTAGTCTAGCTTTAGACCTGCTTTAGTCCAGCTTTAGATCTGCTTAGACCTGTTTAAAATGTTCTGAAGCCCCGTTGAGTCCGTGGGGCAGTCCCATCTGTGACCGCTGGAAGGCGCCGTTCCCCTGTGTCTCTGAGGGGAATCCCGAGGGAACCCCGGGTGACGTCACCCGAGGAATAATAAAATAAATCCGCCCCTTTTCACCGCAAATATTAGACCTGGTCCTGACCTGGTGTAGACCTGATTTAGACCTGGTCCTGACCTGGTTACAAATACCATTTTTCTCATGGAAGGATGGGAGGGGAACTGTCCTGTCATTTTCCATTTCATTTCAGCCCTGTTTTAGTCCAGATGAAGTTTTTCACTTCAGAAATCAGCAGTAAACCATGTCAGTCCTGCTTTTGTCCTAGTCTGGACCTGCTGTCCTGGACGCTGATCAGACCTTTCTCTTTTTTAGGATGGCAGGGGCAGTGTCCTCTCATTACCTTTTGATCCTCAGACATTGGTTGAAGTGTTTGGGCTTTAACCAATCAGTGCCCTCTTCTCTGCCCCCTGTAGGGAGAGGCCCCGCCCCCTGGTCTCCTAGCCCCGCCCCCACATGGCCCTTGAGGTTTGGTCCCAGTCCCAGTTCAGTCTGAGTCCAGGGACCGAGGGCTGAACCAGGGCTTTGGGGAACACTCCTCTGCGGACTGAAGCAAGACGGGACCAAAGAGAGACCAGAGACCAGAGATTTCTGAATCTGAATCGGAATCAGAGACCAGGGACCAGGGACCAGGGACTAGGGACTAGGGTCTAGTGACCAGGGACCAGAGAGACCAGGGACCAGGGACCAGAGACCAGAGACCAGAGACCAGAGACCAGGGACCAGAGACCAGGGACCAGACGGAGAATTTAATGGAACAAACCTACGGGACTTCAGGGAAAACTCTTTGAGATCTCTGCGGACTGAACCAGGTCTGTCTATAGTTCTCTCTCCCCCGTCTCCCCCGTGTGACCCGTCCCCGTTTATTCACTGTTTTCATTCACTATTTTTATTCACTATTTTTACTCACTGTTTCTGTTTTGCCGTCTGAAAGATTTTCTTTTCCTATCTCTAAGTATTTTCCGTCTCTGTATTTTGTGTTTTGAGGCAGAATCCTGTGTTTTGAGGAATTTTTGCAGCGTCTCGTTCAGTTTGATTCTTTTTTTTTTAAAACAGTTTTTTCTCAGACATTTTTTAATCATCAAAGAATGTATTATTTTAATGTTAAACATTTTTCTGAATTTGACATAAACTCAGACTTTAGTCTTTAATCCTGTTTGATCCTTTTCTCTTTTCTTTCATTTCAGAATAATACAATTAAGATTTTTCTTTTGGTTAAAATTAAGATTTTTTCCACAATTAAACAAATTCTGTTTTATCTTTTGTCATTTTCTCCAAAGGCAGTTTTTTTATCCAGATTTTACACATTTCCAGATTTTCTTGTCTGGGACGAAACGCACTCCCCGTGGGTCAGAAGAGCCCACTCCCCGTGGGTCAGAAGAGGCCGCTCCCCGTGGGTCAGAAGAGCCCACTCCCCGTGGGTCAGAAGAGCCCGGTCCCCGTGGGTCAGAAGAGGCCGCTCCCCGTGGGTCAGAAGAGCCCACTCCCCGTGGGTCAGAAGAGCCCGGTCCCCGTGGGTCAGAAGAGCCCGCTCCCCGTGGGTCAGAAGAGCCCACTCCCCGTGGGTCAGAAGAGCCCGGTCCCCGTGGGTCAGACGATCCCGCTCGGACATCGGACAGTTTTATTTTAGCAACATTTTGGACTCAGTTTTGGAGATTTTTCTCAGATTTCCTGTGACCGTCGCAGTGTGTTTGATTGCACTAAAGACAGTGAGGTGAGAAAGGGACGGTCTGTGATCATGTTTTCCGTCTCTGATTCTCGAGTTTCTCTGAAAGAAGAACCTCTGAGTCGCTCCTGGATCCACAGCAGCGGAGTCCTGGACGCCAACACCGCAGCTCAGAGGTACCATTATGTACTATTATTACGCACAGGTACGATTTTTATATAGTTTTATTACATACTATTATTACACTCAGGCACAATATATATTTGTATACAATTATAGCATATATATGTATATGTATGTATATACATATATATATTTTTTATTTTTTTATTTATTTATATAAATAATAATATATATATATATATATATATATATATATATATTATTACACACAGCTAATATACAGTATACTATTATGATTATAATTGTGGACGCTGTCACAGCCGCCCACAGGTATAATGTATTATAAATATGTCAGCGCTGTGTAAAACCAATGTATTTTTATTATTATCACATACACATATATTTATATATAAACTATTGTTATAATAATGATATAAACTATGATTATGATAGACCTGAGCGGCAGTTGAAAATAAAGATATAAATCACTGAACAAAACAGTGAAAATATAACACAAATAATAATATTAATATATAATAACATAATGATTGAATAAAATAATATAATATTAATATAAAATAATATAAAAATAAAATATAGTAATATAAAGCTGGAATTAAATCTGAAAATGCATAAAAATAAAACGATTAACAGAATGTAAGAAACACACTACACGATTCATGCACACACACCCACACACAGAGACACACACAGACATACACCCACACAAATACGCACACACACACACACACAGAGACAGATACACACACTCACACACACACTCATACACGCACAAACAGATACACACACACACAATGAGACACACACAGTGAGGCACACACACACAGACAGATACACACACACACACACAGTGAGACACACACACACACACACACACAGTGAGACACACACACACACACACAGTGAGACACACACACACACACACACATACACGTTTTTGTTACCTGGTGGGTCCCTTTGACAGGGCCGTTCAGAATGGGACCCATAGACATAATCTTTTTTTACCAAGACTTTAAGTAATACAAAACAGTCAATAGAAACCAAACAACTATTTTAAAGGAATTTTATTTTAGATTTTGTTTTCGAATTGCAGTGATTCTATTTTTGACATAGAATTTAATGCCACTCCATGTCCGATGTCTAAGGTCATCTGGTGAGGCATTAATGCAGGCCAGGCAGTGAGACTTCCCAGGGACCTTTCCAGTCTGTATGAAAGGTGTCATGGTCTTCTCCACAGCCTTCACCTCAGATGCAGACCATGGCTTTCTTACACGTTCTAGGGAGAGAAATAAAAATATATTAGCAAATATACACTCCCAGGGTGAGGACCAAGCAGCCTGGCTGTAATCCCCCACCTGGTACACTTACCAGAAGGGGCACTGCCACTACCATGGGGTGCATCTGGATGAATGGTTGAAGGTTCTCCGCTTGAAGTTTCTTTTAGCCCGTCCGTTTGTGAGAGGATCTCTACTGCTCTCCCTGTCGCACAGAAAATAAAAATACAAGTGGCCTTTAGGGGAAAAAAATCATACATATTTTTAATAATATCAAGAATTACCTTCAGGCTCAATTTGTATCTGGTCGAGGCTCTTTCCTTCGAATTCCGTCACTCTTCCCTGCTCCATGGCCATCAACACTTTGCTGATTTTGGCCAGCTCCAGTGTCCCCTCTGGTAGTCTGTAATATTGCCTGTGGATGCGAATGTCATGGCCGAGGAAGTTGGCAAGTATGTCCATCTCATTCTCTTTCATATTGAGAACTGTAGACATAGTAGCTATGTGCTTTCTAAGTTTGGTTGAGGATAGCATCTCTGGATGCACCGCACCACATTCTTTGGCTACCTGGCGTAGGGAGTCTGATCCCCTGATGTGGGTGTCTGCGCCCGGGCGGGAAAAGAAGTATGGGTTATGGTCAGAGATGGAACAGGCCCTTCTGTTCTCCACCAGCACCTCCATCGAAGCAATCATTTCAGGAGTCAAAAGAACCGGCACTTTCCGACTTCTTTTCCCTTTAATTTCAATGCGTTGAAAATGCTGACACAGCTTTTTCTCAAGTTGGGACAGTCCCAGAGCAATGTCAGAATGGATCCCAGTCTTACTTCTTAAGGTAAAGGCTGTCAGTGGCATCTTTGAAACCTCACCTTCCCTTCTTCGATTGAAAATGATGACCTCACAAAGAGTCAAAACTGCCAGTTTAGACCAATGCTTAGACGTTGGCTCATTATTAGGGTTTGCACATATTCAGGTCGACATACCTCAATATGTGCATGCATGGCTCTAACGTCCTCAGTCAGAGGGAGCAGGTCCGGAGTGTTCCACTTGGCTTGCCGGAGGGTCTGTAGGGCAGCAGAAGAAACACAGACGTCCCACCTCTTCTCAAAAAGCAGCCGGCTTCGTTGGAGGTTTTTAATAAATAGTTCATCAACACAATGCTCCATTTTTGAGTCACATTCAAGAATATCTGCTAGCTTTCTGAGGCTATGGCCGAGTTTGAGGGCCAAGGATGGAGTCTTGTATTGATTTGTTTCCTCATCATATCCAGCCACAGACCTGACTGCATCAATCACATGGTTAAAGTTGGAAGGAATAAAGAAATCCTTAATTGTTTTCAGTTTCCCTGCGGTTTTTGCTTCGTTAATTAACCTACCGACTTCTCTCATTTTCTGCCTAATGTAATCATGCTTTGTCTTATCATGCCCGTGTTTTAAGTACAGGTGCTCTCCGAGTCTCAGAATCCCCTTTTCTGCTTTGACAACACCCGTGACCTCATCCTGATGCATTGCCGAAATTAAAGACCACAGCTTTTTGCTGATGCCCTCCGGTACAGGCTGGGCTAGGGAGCAGAGGGACTGGACCCTACTTCTACCTGGTTTAGCCTGGGCATCTTTCTGTGAAAGCCGGCACCTGGCCACATGCCTCCACAGCGACTTTCGCTTAAGCAATGCCCCACAGTCTATACAGTGCAAAAACTCACTGGATTTAACTGGGGAATTTGGCTGTTTAGCTGGGACTAAAGTTCCAATGCCGGCCTTTAAAACCTCAAAATTGTGCTCACGGTTTCCACTATTCCTGATCAAATCAAACTGAAGTTTACGTGCTTTAGATTTCACAGGTAGAGCCAATGCTCTGGCTACGTCACTTTCATTTCCATGTTTTCTAGTCAAATGACGGGACATTTTGTGGCAGGACATTGAACAGTAGAGGCAGAAGTGTCTCTTGCTGTATACTCGCCCCCCATTTTTCTTCTTTTGCAGCTGCATGATAACAATCTTATTTGCCTTTGGTTCGTCACTTTCCGAGTCTTGAAGAAAAGTGTTTTTGATTTTTCTTTTTCCATACTTTTTTACAGGTTTCTTCTTGACAGTTAAATCGTCAGAATCTGAGTCGACTTCATCAATTAGGGACTCTTGACTAAGCTGCACAAACAACAAATAATTTGTAATCATTCTATATAACAATTTGAAGTCATGACTTGTAGTCAGCACTTACCAGTGGTTTGTAAGCGTGCGCTTCAGTGTGCTCCTCCATGATTTCTTGCAGCCTAATGAACCACACACTTGCACCTTTTTCTAGCCTGACACCTGATTTCCTCTGTTGTGCTGCTCCATGATTGGCTCCAGCCTGCTGGACTGAAATTGCCCCAGTGTGCCCCTCCTTGATATCCCGCAACCCACCACCGGGGTTCCGACACATAACACACTTTTTTCAGGAAAGTAAACCTCCAGGGGTCCTTTCCATATTTTTACAGAGACTGCATAAGGACCGTTAGAAAAGCATTACCCATTGATTATTAAGCTTGGACCAGTGGGGTCCGGTGTTCGGGCCCCACCACGTAAAACCAGTCCCCATGACGTGAGTGGAATCTCAGGTTATGGAACCCACCAGGAGTTGAAAACAAGTGCAGTGAGACACACACACACACGCACACACACACACACAGTGAGACACACACACACACACACACACACACACACACACAGTGAGACACACACACAGTGAGACACACACACACAGTGAGACACACACACCCATAGACACACACAGACACACACACACACACACACTGTGACCTGTGGTAACTTGTGATAATAGCGGAGGACGTCTGAGATCTCAGTTCTGTGCGAATGCGTCTGTCATATATAAAGTACACATTCCTCCATAATGACTCCTGTATATGTCCAAAAGCCCTGTGATCCTGCTCCTGTATATGTCCAAAAGCCCTGTGATCCTGCTCCTGTATATGTCTAAAAGCCCTGTGATCCTGCTCCTGTATATGTCCAAAAGCCCTGTGATCCTTCAAGCTCGAACAATAGAGACGGCTCTACACATCGCAAGAGCACAGGGATGCGGCTGTGTACACAGTAGCTCAGTTGATAGCGCATTGGCCTTTGAGCCTGAAGGTCGTGGGTTCAAGCCCACGTAAGATTTTCTCCACCGGCCCCCACTGATGTCTGCTGTCATTGTGTCCTTGAGCAAGACACTTAACCCTACTTTGCCTATTTGTGGCCATACTTGCATACAAAAGCCAGATCCCGTCAGACCAAGGGCAGGGCCTGGTTAGTACTGTGATGGGAGACCTCTGGGAACACCTGATGCCACAGTGGGGCGGCTGCGGCTGTAAAGTGCCAAACTGCTGTTGTGTCCTTTGGCAAGACACTTCACCCACATTCCAGAATGAGTCTGGTGTGTGTGTCACTGGTTTATGCCCACATGTGGAGCGTCTTTGAATGTTCAAAAAAGCGCTACATAAAACCGATGCATTATTATTATTATTATTATTGCACACCGGCAGAGCACAGGGACGCGGCTGTGTACACACCAGCAATTCAATTCAATTCAATTCAATTCAATTCAATTCAATTCAATTCAATTCAATTCAATTCAGTTCAATTCAATTCCATTTAATGTAATCTAGTATCGCCCTAGATCACAACAGTGGTTATCTCAGAGGACTTAAAAAAACTGTGTCTTAACTGTCTTATAACACAAACACTGTCTTATAATAAGACACAAAGAATATAGAACACATAGTATTAGTCCCTCGGGAGAGACCAATGTCCATGAATGTTGGAGGATGTTAGAGTGTCCTGGATCATCACAGTCCTTTTTGTTAGACACTATCAGTCTAACAGACGGCTCTGCATCAGAGGAACAACTCTGATAAAACCCAGTGGGAGAAAAGTGAGAAACCTCGGGGTAATTCACACCGGCAGAGCACAGGGACGCGGCTGTGTATACACCGGCAGAGCACAGGGACGCGGCTGTGTATACACCGGCAGAGCACAGGGACGCGGCTGTGTATACACCGGCAGAGCACAGGGACGCGGCTGTGTATACACCGGCAGAGCACAGGGACGCAGCTGCAATGGTGGAGAGGAGAGTACGGGCCAGAGAACTGAACCCGCAGTATTCGAACACTATACAGGCAGGATTTTTGTGTGTATTAGATTTCAAATGTTGATTGTTGGCTTCAGATTCTCTCAGGGCATTAGTTTTCCTGGTTCGTGTTCCTAAAGCCCTGCGATGCCCCAAACTCAGGGCGGAAGTGGCAGGCTTTGAAGCTAACGGGTTAAGCTAGCAGCTTTTTGTGTAAAGTTCTTCTCCACAAATGCAGCTCCAGCGTCTCTGTGTCTGAGACCTTCCAGAGACTTCATATAACAGCAGTGTGTGTTCACCACGGGTTTATTTTATTATTAACCAGTGCTTCTCTGCATCCAACACATTAGCAGCACTTGTTTACAGTCACGTTAGCAGCACTTGTTTAAAGTCACAGGAGAAACTCAGGTTGGAGCCACACGTTCACATTTTGTCCCCCATTGTCAGTCCTGGTTTAGTCTTGTTTAGTCCTGATTTAGTCCTGATTTAGTCCTGGTTTAGTACTGGTTTAGTCCTGGTTCTAATTGGTTCTCTGAACGGTTGCCGCACGTGTGGCCAGCGGAAAAAGGATTTTTTTTTACATTTCAGGGAGATAATACAAGTCTTTATTGGTCAAAATGTATTTTTTAAGAAATTAAAATGTTGTATATTAATAACACAATGACATTCGAAAATGAGCATATGTCACAGCCCTAATGTAGAGCAACAAAAATTACGTGTCAGATGTATGTGTTTGTCCTTATGGTGTTTGTCCACATGTTCTGTCTTAGATGTGGTACACATATTTACAGACTTATCCTGTGTGAATGCAAGTGTGTCACAAGTCACATTACCAGATGTGCACAGGTCACATTACCAGATGTGCACAGGTCACATTACCAGATGTACATAGGTCACATTACCAGATGTACATAGGTCATGCTGATCCCATTCAAATAGGGCTTTATAGAAACAAACACGTGACCCCGCCCTCCCTGAATTGAATCTTAACAGCTACATTCCAGGACTTCCCACATTACAAATTAAAGATGCAGTCAGTGATTTTTTCCAGACACATTTCTTTTTAAATATTGTGAAAAACGTCCCTAAACCGTAAGGGTAGTCAAGTTATCATGTGTTTTTCAAGTAGTAATGGAATTGACCAGATGCCTATAGTCTCCAAAAATTAATAAAATATATTTTGGAGTGGACCGATAAAAACAAACCAATGGGATGCCTTCACCCCCTTCACCCTCTTCCTGTTTCTTGCGAGTGCACGCACCTGAGTTTTCGGATTTTCTAAAACCTAAAATGGCTGAGCAGAAAATGCCAATCACACATTTGTTGTTTGGATGTTTGGTTGAGAGGCGAGGGGAGGGGCGAGTGGTTTCCAGTTGGTGCTACGGCTAAGCTAAAAAAAACGCTTACTGCACCTTTTAGCACTCGACAGACACACACAGACAGACACCGACAAACACACACACATATAGAGACCGACACATACACACACAGACCAACACACACAGACTGTCACATACACATGCAGGTCGACGCACACAAACACACACACACGCAGACCAATACACACACACACTAACGTTGCAGTTCCTTCTCCTACAGTGGGGTGGCGCTAGCGCGTGCTCATTTTGAGAAGCAGCCTCCATCGAACCTGAGGAAGTCCAACTTCTTTCACTTTGTTTTGGCGCTTTACGATCGTCAGGGGCAACCAGTGGAGATTGAGAGGACGGCCTACTGCGACTTCATTGAGAAAGACAAGGTTCGACTACTACTACTGCTGCTGCTGCTACTGCTGCTGCTGCTACTGCTGCTGCTGCTACTGCTGCTACTCTCAGTAGTACTTGCAGGTAAAACTGGTGTGTGTTTTCAGGAAGTCACCGGAGAAAAAACCAACAATGGTATTCACTACAGACTTCAGCTGCTCTACAGCAACGGTACTGTCCCCACGGTAACGGCTCTTTCCCCATAGCAACCACATCATTACCGTAGTAACCGTGTGTTGTGTTGCAGGTGTGCGCACGGAGCAAGACCTGTTTGTGCGACTCATTGACTCCATGACCAAACAGGTCTGATTCACATCTGACCTCATAGGTCACAGGTCACTCGCCGGAGGTCACAGGTCACATGTCAGGGGTCACATGTCAGAGGTCACATGTCACATGTCAGAGGTCACAGGTCACATGTCAGGGGTCACATGTCAGAGGTCACATGTCACATGTCAGGGGTCACATGACACAGATCAGAGGTCATATGTCAGGGGTCACATGTCAGAGGTCACATGTCAGGGGTAACATGTCAGGAGTCACATGTAAGGGGTCACAGGTCACATACCATAGACTGAACCATAGACTGAACCATAAACTGAACCATAAACTGAACCTTAGACTGAACCATAGACTGAACCTTAGACTGAACCTTAGACTGAACCTTAGACTGAACCATAGACTGAACCATAGACTGAACCTTAGACTGAACCATAAACTGAACCTTAGACTGAACCATAGACTGAACCTTAGACTGAACCATAGACCGAACCTTAGACTGAACCTTAGACTGAACCATAAACTGAACCATAAACTGAACCATAAACTGAACCTTAGACTGAACCATAGACTGAACCATAGACTGAACCTTAGACTGAACCTTAGACTGAACCTTAGACTGAACCATAGACTGAACCTTAGACTGAACCTTAGACTGAACCATAGACTGAACCATAGACTGAACCATAGACTGAACCTTAGACTGAACCTTAGACTGAACCATAGACTGAACCATAGACTGAACCATAGACTGAACCATAGACTGAACCATAGACTGAACCATAGACTGAACCTTAGACTGAACCATAGACTGAACCATAGACTGAACCATAAACTGAACCATAAACTGAACCTTAGACTGAACCATAGACTGAACCTTAGACTGAACCTTAGACTGAACCTTAGACTGAACCATAGACTGAACCATAGACTGAACCTTAGACTGAACCATAGACTGAACCTTAGACTGAACCATAGACTGAACCTTAGACTGAACCTTAGACTGAACCATAGACTGAACCATAGACTGAACCATAGACTGAACCTTAGACTGAACCATAGACTGAACCTTAGACTGAACCATAGACTGAACCATAAACTGAACCATAAACTGAACCTTAGACTGAACCATAGACTGAACCTTAGACTGAACCATAGACTGAACCTTAGACTGAACCTTAGACTGAACCATAGACTGAACCATAGACTGAACCATAGACTGAACCTTAGACTGAACCATAGACTGAACCTTAGACTGAACCATAGACTGAACCATAAACTGAACCATAAACTGAACCTTAGACTGAACCTTAGACTGAACCATAGACTGAACCATAGACTGAACCATAGACTGAACCATAGACTGAACCATAGACTGAACCGGAGTCTGAGTCTGAACCCGCCTCGTCTCAGTTCTGCAGTCTTATAAAGTTGTTTTTCCTAACGATGTGTTTCTGTTTGTGTCTGTGTTTGTTTGTGTGTGCGTCTCTGTGTGTGTGTGTCTGTTTGTGTGTGCGTCTCTGTGTGTGTGTGTCTGTTTGTGTGTGCGTCTCTGTGTGTGTGTGTCTGTTTGTGTGTGTGTCTGTTTGTGTGTGTGTGTCTGTTTGTGTGTGCGTCTCTGTGTGTGTGTGCGCGATTCTGTGTATGTGTGTGTATCTACTGAAGCCAATCATCTACGAGGGTCAAGACAAGAACCCAGAAATGTGCAGAGTTCTCCTTACTCATGAGATCATGTGCAGGTGAGTTCAATCCTGCTTCAGTTCTGTTTTAGTCCCCTTTTATTCCTGCTTTAGACCTGCTGTAGTACCACTTTAGTCCAGCTTTAGTCCTGCTCTAGTCCTGCTTTAGACCTGCTTTAGACCTGCTTCAGTTCTGCTTTAGACCTGCTTTAGACCTGCTTTAGTCCTGCTTTAGACCTGCTTTAGACCTAGTTTAGACTTGGTTTATGGTTGGACCTACTCATCTTATTTTATTTTTTATTTTTTTTCAGTCGATGTTGTGACAAAAAGAGCTGTGGGAACAGAAACGAGACGCCGTCCGACCCAGTGATCATCGACAGGTACGAGAACAAGTACTACTACTATGAATGCTACTACTGCTACTACTATTACTGCTACTACTCATCCTGCTTCCTCCTCTTTCACTTAAGCCTAATTTTCTTTGTGACTTTTGAATTTTTTACTTTAATAGTTTCATTTAGAAGCAGCTGCTGTCGTCCAATCAGAGTGCAAGGAGTTATTACACGCTCGTCTTCATTAAAATTGAAGACAGACCAGAAAAGACCTGCTTTAGACCTGCTTTAGACCTGCTTTAGACCTGCTTTAGACCTGCTTTAATCCTGCGTTAGACCTGCTTTAGACCTGCTTTAGTCCTACATTTGTCCTGCTTTAGTGCTGCTTTAGACCTGCATTTGTCCTACTTTAGTCATGCTTTAGTCCGGCCCTAGACCTGCTTTATTACTGATTTAGTCCTGCTGTAGTCCTGCTTTACTGTTCTCAGCATATCATTGTTCCCCTAGACTCCTCTTCAAAGATCCACTGATTGCTAACTTGGTGTGTGGTCTGAGCGGAGCCTGTAGGGACAGGAGTCTTTAAACTTGTCTCTCTCTGCTCCATATACTTTTGTGTCACAGTGGATTCTATATTTTATATGTGTGCGTTTTAGAGCAGACTGGAGACGCGTGTGTGTGTGTGCATGTGTCTGTGTGTGTGTCTGTGTGTGTGTCTGTGTGTGTGTGTGTGTGTGCGTGTATCTGGATGTGTGTGTATCTGGTTGTGTGTGTATCTGTGTGTGTGTGTGTGATAGAGCCGTAAATCCCAATCACATTTTCTGCCTCAAAGACCTTAATAACTCCACTGACTGCATTATACAGGAGCGTGCACGAGAGCAGTGCATGAGAGCAGTGCATGAGAACAGTGCACTAAAGCAGTGCACGAGGGCAAGACTCAGAGGACTAATATGCAGTTTTAAAGCTCGGGACGTAACTTTATCTCATCAATTTCCAGCAGAAAGAGATGCAACAGCTGTTAGAAGCACCAGAGGCATCAGTTAGAACACATGTAGATCCCTGAGAGTCAGTGTCTGCCTCTTTGGGCTGAGAGCTGATTGGCTGAGTGAGGAGGGTCCTCTCTTTGATCTAAAGATGTGACATCACAAATACTTCATGTGAAACTAGTGACATAAGTAACTGTTTTAGAGCCAGAACTAGAGACATGGATTTAATACAGATTTCTTTTGGACTGAGAGTTACAGACCCCAGCTTTAAAGTTACAGACCCCAGCTTTAAAGTTACAGACCCAGCTTTAAAGTTATAGATCCAGGTTTAAAGTTAAAGACCCAGCTTTAAAGTTAAAGACCCAGCTTTAAAGGTACAGGCCCCAGCTTTAAAGTTACAGACCCCATTTTTAAAGCCACATACTCTATCTTTAGGACAAACCAAAGGGTTACAGTATTGTATACAGCATTTCATACTTGCTCCTTTATTATTTGTTATAAACATCATCAGGAGGAGCAGGTTTGGGACATTGTTTTTTATTCTTTCATAAAATCTGGAGTCTGACCACACCAGCAACAGAGACCATGTGGACACACACACACACGTGCATGTGACATAGAGACCATGTGGACACACATACATGTGACACATAGACCATGTGGACACACACATACATGTGACACAGAGACCATGTGACTCTGAAGAGCACAGGGACTGGCCTCCTGCTGGGACTCCGAGGAGCACAGGGATTGGCCTCTTGCTGGTGCACATTCAAACCTGGAAAAGTGTCTGACATTGTTCAAATCCAGGCTGAAACAGTTGTACAGCTGAAGGATTGCCCTGTGAGTTTCCTTGTGTCTGACTCTGAACTGTGCTATACAAATAAACTTGCCTTGCTGCAGGTTCTTTCTGAAGTTCTTCCTGAAGTGTAACCAGAACTGTCTGAAGAACGCGGGGAACCCACGAGACATGAGGAGGTTCCAGGTGAGCTTCACAGCGGTGTTTTTGGACCCGAGTCGACAGAAAGACTCGGCCGCAAGGCGGGATAGAGGCCCAGTCCAGAGTGGTGTTTACTGATGTGTGTTTCTGTCTTTGTTTTGATTCAGCTCCACTTTAACTCATGACTCTAAGTCCTTTCCTTTAACATTTCCTCTGTCCTTGTCTCCTCCCTCCTATGTCCTTGTCTCCTCTCTCCTCCCTCCTATGTCCTTGTCTCCTCTCTCCTTGCCTACTTGGCCTTTGTCTACTCTGTCCTGACCCCGCCCACCTTGATCCTGGCCCCGCCCCTCGCGGTCCTGGCCCCGCCCCCTCAGGTCGTTGTGTCGACCACAGTAAATGTGGATGGACATGTTCTGTCTGTGAGCGACAACATGTTTGTGCACAACAACTCCAAACATGGCCGCCGCGCCAGGAGAATGGACCCCAGTGAGGGTAAGACCAGGACTGGACCAGGACTAGGAACTGAGATGGAGCCCAGTCAGAGAGACCAGAGACAACAGAGAGGGAGACCAGACAGAGAGACCAGAGTGAGACCAGAGAGACCAGAAAGTGACCAGAGAGAGACCAGAAAGTGACCAGAGAGAGACCAGAGAGAGACCAGCGAGAGACCAGCGAGAGACCAGCGAGAGACCAGAGAGAGACCAGCGAGATACCAGAGAGTGACCAGAGAGAGATCAGAGAGAGAGACCGGGACCATGTGTGTAACTCTGTGTCTGAAGGTTCTCTCCTCTTCTTCTTCTTCTTCTGCAGCTGCCACTCCGTGCATCAAAGCCATCAGTCCCAGTGAGGGCTGGACCACAGGGGGCGCCACAGTCATCCTGATTGGGGACCACTTCTTTGATGGTCTTCAGGTGGTGTTTGGGACCATGCTGGTGTGGAGTGAGGTGAGACCGGACCCAGATGAAGTCTCCAGGACTGAGGCTGTAGACCCAGGACTGAGGCTGTAGACCCAGGACTGAGGCTGTAGATCCAGGACTGAGGCTGCAGACCTAGGACTCACATGTTTCCTGGTTCCTCAGCTGATCACGCCTCACGCTATCCGAGTCCAGACTCCTCCCAGACACATCCCTGGCGTGGTGGAGGTCACACTTTCATACAAGAGCAAACACTTCTGCAAGGGAGCTCCAGGCCGCTTTGTCTATACAGGTAACACAGACCAGGACTGAGACCAGGACCAGGACCAGGTCTGAGACCATGAGCAGAGAGGCAGGAGGGTCTGAGGACAGTGATGATCCAGAACATTTATGGACATTGGTCTCTGTCCCTTATGGACCAATGTCTCTATGTGCTTGTTATTATTCAATTCAATTCAATTTATTCTTGAATTAAAATGTTGAACACATGGTATTGGTCCATGACCAATGTCAATGATTGTTGGTAAATGTTAAATCATTGCATTTCCCGTGTTTTAACAGTTTGATTCTCTGGATGTGTTGGTGAATCAACAACTTTTTAAATCCTCTGAGATAACTACTGTTGTGGTTTATAATAATACACAAATAAATTAAAATTGAAATAGACCAGGAGCTTCTCCCCCCCCACGTCTCTTCTCCCCACTCTCTCCTCTCCCTTTTCTCCTTCCTCTCCCCAGGTTCAGCATCAGTAAAAACTCTTTCTTGGAGCAGTCTTATTTCTGCAGTCTTTGAACTATTTTTAAGGTGGAATGATTTAACGGCGCTGCCTTAAGGAGCCATTAACCCTTTAGGCTCCATTACCTCTGAGTGAAACATGAAGCACGTCTGAACAAAAGTAAAGTCTTAGAGTTGAACACGAATAAATGTGTCTCCTCTATTCACAAGATAATGAGGTGAGAAACTGCTCTTCTGACCCTGAGCAGAAGTCCTCATAAGTCCCCATCCCCCAGTCCATAAGTCTCCATCCCCCAGTCCCCATAAGTCTCCATCCCCCGGTCCCCAGAAACTTGTGTTGTCCATAGTCTGTATATCAGGATTGGACGGTCAGAGTGTGACATCACCACAGTGTGACATCACCACAGTGTGACATCACCACAGTGTGACATCAAATTTCCTGATCTATGGGCATTTGTTCTAACGGCAATAGCTTCTCGTTGTAACAGAGACAGAAGTGTTGCTAAGTCGGTTGCTAAGGCAGCTGAAGAATGAAGGCCCCTGATTGGTCAGTACTTATATGGTTCATATTTGGACTTAAAAAGAAAACCTCACATATAAACAGCAGGTTCACAGAGAGCGATAAACCACAGATTTAAGCCCAAAATGGTGATGTCACACAAACATTACCGAGTTAGAAGAGTTTACTTTTACATGGAAGTTAATAGGAGCCAGAGAGAGGAGCCAAACTTCACCATGAGCACGTCCCTATTCATGAGTTAAAGTGTTAGCAGCGAGCCAGTGTGTTAGAAGCAAACTGGAGAGAGACTTACACACGCACAGAGACCACAAACACACACACTGTTGTCGTGACCTTGTTGTTGTTGTGCGTTCACCTTAAAGGATCAATGCGTCTTTATCACTGCACACACATTTATATGGAAATATGGGTTTATATGAAAGTTTATATGTGTGTGTGTGTGTGTGTGTGTCTCTGTGTGTGTATGTGTCTGTGTGTATGCGTGTACGGGTGTGTCTGTGTGTGTGTGTGTGTGTGCGTGTGTCTGTATGTGTGTGTTTCAGCCCTGAATGAACCGACTATTGACTATGGTTTCCAGAGACTGCAGAAGGTGATCCCCCGACACCCAGGGGACCCCGAGAGGCTGCCCAAGGTATTGCACGTGTGTTACCACTAATGCTGTTACCGAGGACCAGGACCCAGAGACCAGGAAGACATCCTCTGGGTCTCTCTCTGGATTCTCCCTGGTCTCGCTGGTCTCTTTCTGGTTTCTCACTGCTCTCTGGTCTCTGTCTCTCTGGTCTCTCTCAGGTCTGTTTCTGGTCTCTCTATGGTCTCTATGGTCTCTGGTCTCTTTCTGGTCTCTCTCTGGTCTCTCTATGGTCTCTAGTCTCTTTCTGGTCTCTCTCTGGTTTCTGCTTCAATAACCCTGGGGTTGATAAAGATAATAGGAAACATTGGTTATTTATTTTGAGTCTTTTTGACTTTATTTGTTGTATTTGCAGAAGATAAAGATCCAATCAGCTGCTGCTCAGCTGTGACCGTCCAAATACGAGCGCTGTGATTGGCCCAAACACTGACATCACTTCATTAGACTCTCACACAGTCCTGATTAAAGTGTGTTTGAGGAGCTGACAGATTATGGGATGTACAGAGCCAATTATCGCCACGGCAACACTTGAGGCTCACACACACACAGACACAGAGAGACACACGCACACACAGACACGCACACACATGCACACAAACACACAGTGGCAAACACAGACACAGAGACATACACACATAGAGGCACACACATACCGACCTGGTTCAGACCCGGTTCAGTCCTGGTTCAGACCTGGTTCAGTCCCCCCCTCCCCCCCACACCCACTCAGGACTTTATCTAAATTAAAGTGTTAATCTTCTCTTTCATGAAAGACTTTTAATTAGACCTGTTTAAACGAACTGCACTGGACTGTGACCTCCCCCACAGCACGATCCACCCCCCACAGCAGGACAGATCCACCCCCACAGCAGTACAGACCCCCCCACAGCATGATCCACCCCCCCCCCCCCCAGCAGGACAGACCCCCCCCAAAGCACAATCCACCCCCCACAGGAGGACAGACCCCCCCCCACAGCAGGAGAGACCCCCCACAACAGGAGAGACTCCGCTCTTTTAAGCTCAGGTCCTTCAGATCCTCCACGTTTGTAGTTCTTTAAGCCTTTGTGTGGGTGTGTCTGTGTGTGTGTCTAGGAGGTGCTGTTAAAGAGAGCGGCTGATCTGGTGGAGGCACTTTACGGGATGCCCCACAACAACCAGGTAACACACACACACACGCACACAGACACAGACACACACTCAGACTCCTGACTGCATTTTTTGTTGAACTGACCACATTAGTTGTCTCCTTTCCCTTCTCTCCTCCTCTCTCTTCTTTCTCCCCCTACTCCTCTCTCCCCTCTCTCCCTGTCCTTGTCTCAGTGCAGATCATATGGACACACAGGGTCAGAGGGACAGGGTCAAGGATCAAAGGGATATACAGGATCATATGGACATACAGGATCAGAGGGACACACAGGGTCAGAGGGACATACAGGGTCATAGGGACATACAGGGTCAGAGGGATACACAGGGTCAGAGGGACATACAGGGTCAGAGGGACAGTGATCCTAAAATGTGGATCCTCAGGAGATGATCCTGAAGCGGGCGGCGGACATGGCAGAGGCGCTGTACTCTGTTCCCCGGAATCACCCCCAGATGGCGCCGCACGGCATGATGGGAGTTCAGCCATTCAGCGGGCAGCTGCCAGTAACCGACGGCAACCAGGGTGAGGGCACGCCGCCTCAATGCTGCTTGCGGCTATATTTGTACATGTGTTTACATGTTGTACGTGTGTTTATGTTTGTGTGGGATGTGTGTGACAGGGACGTATGGACGCAGCTCCAGCAGTACCTCTCCTCGTGGTTACGCTCCGACATCGACTCAAAACTCAAACTACAACAACAATGGATACAACAGCAACATGAACCTGAGCAGTGGCTCTACATCGGGCTTTCCCGGGAGCCCCTCCCCCTATGCAAGTACGATGACTCCAGGACAGAGACCTGAGACAAGGACTAATGTGAGAAGACTTCAGGACAGAGACCTGAGACCAGGACTAATGTGAGAGGACTTCAGGACAGAGACCTGAGACCAGGACTGATGTGAGAGGACTTCAGGACAGAGAACTGAGACCAGGACTAATGTGAGAGGACTTCAGGACAGAGACCTGAGAGCAGGACTAATGTGAGAGGACTCCAGGACAGAGACCTTAACTAATGTAGGACGTGGTTGCCCCCTATCTCCTCAGTCCCCTCTGTCCCTCAGTTGTCCCCTCTGTCCCTCAGTTGTCCCCTCTGTCCCTCAGTTGTCCCCTCTGTCCTTCAGTTGTCCCCTTTGTCCCTCAGTGGTCCCGTCCAGTCCGCCGATGACCGTATCAAATTGTGGCTCGTCCCATGGTGTGTTCTCGTTCTCTGTGAAGCAGAAAAGCGCATTCGCTCCGGTTGTCAGGGCGACTGTCTCGCCGCCGCCCCAGGGTTGTCAAGGCAACACTCAGGCCGGCGCTGCCATGCAAGGTTCCGTAATGTTCGGTATTAATAGTTAATGTAACAAGATGATGAAAATAACCAGGTCTGTGTTTGCAGCCATGATGTGACCCGCCCCCTGCAGCTGCTGCCTCCAATCACTGACCTCCCACGTGTAACCCCGCCCCCTGGTCCTGCACTGCCCCTGATTGGCCGCCATGATTGTCCGTGGTTCACTTTTGTACTGATCACATCGCTCTGTTGTAAAAGAACACTGTGTCGTCGTGGTGGAAACGGGAAAAACTAAAAAATACTGTGTCTGAATGTTTCACACAAATAAAAGAGAAATGAGGACTGTGTTTCTTTTAATGGGGGATCAACCTGCTGTGGACTGTACCAACACTAACACATCAGGGGGGAGCAACCTGCTGTGGACTGTACTAACACTAACACATCAGGGGGGAGCAACCTGCTGTGGACTGTACCAACACTAACACATCAGGGGGGAGCAACCTGCTGTGGACTGTACTAACACTAACACATCAGGGGGGAGCAACCTGCTGTGGACTCTACCAACACTAACACATCGGGGGGAGACACCTGCTGTGGACTGTACCAACAGTAACACATCAGGGGGGAGACACTTGCTGTGGACTGTACCAACACTAACACATCAGGGGGGATCAACCTGCTGTGGGCTGTACCAACAATAACACATAAGGGGGGAGCAACCTGCTGTGGACTGTACCAACACTAACACATCAGGGGGGAGCAACCTGCTGTGGACTTTACTAACACTAACACATCAGGGGGGAGACACCTGCTGTGGACTGTACCAACACTAACACATCAGGGGGGATCAACCTGCTGTGGACTGTACCAACAATAACACATCAGGGGGGAGCATCCTGCTGTGGACCAACGCTTGAACGCAGCTTCCACGCGCACTAGACGCACATTCTCTAAACTTCAGATGCTAGTGATGTTCAGACTTGAAGTCCTGGCCTACGGTGGGAAAAATCGCAGGGCGGAAGTGTCAGGCGGGCTTTGAAGCTAATGGAGTTAAGCTAAAGGTGTTTTGTGTTAAATTCTCCTCCGGCTCTGCAGCGTGTCTGTGTCCAGAGACCTTCCAGAGACTTTGTATAACAGCAGTATGTGTTCACGGAGGTGCGCCATAAGTTTATTTTGTTATTAAACAGTACTTCGGCATCGGCGAACACGTTAGCAGCATTTAATTAGTCACAGTTCACAAGCACTATGTTCCCCATTTTGGCTGTTTACGAATATTTTCTTTGTGGTTCTCTGATTGGTAGCTGCACGAGCGACCAGCTGAAAAAGTTCAACAATGTCTATCTCCTGCCTGCGCCTATTAGCCGCTACCGCGCCGCAATGCCGCCTCTACCGCTTAGGCCGTGCGTGCCACAACGCACATGCAGTTCCACGCTCGAACGGACGTCACCATTGACGTTGCATTGAAAGTCACCACAACTTATGATCTGGTCTGAACGCCCCACAACACATCAGGGGGGAGCATCCGGTTGTGAACCCTGGGTCGCGGGCCCTGGGGCGCGGGCCCGGTTTGCTATAAGGCTGTGGTTTCTGCTTCCATCACTGCAGCTCAGAGCTGGAGTAGGTGGTTGCCATGGAAACAGAGGCCCCTGGGGACCCCTGCAGACCAGCCCTAATACAATCTGTCCTCACAGAGAGGGAGGGGCCCCTGGGGCTCACAGCAGACACAAGCATTTAAGCAACTGTAATACAGGCCACATACAGGGGCCCCCTGAGACCAGAGAGAGACCAGGTAGAGAACAGAGAAACCAGAGAGGGACCAGAAAGAGAGACCAGAGAGAGACCAGAGAGAGACAAGAGTGAGAGAGATCAGAGAAGGACCAGTTCTGCAATACATTCCACTTTTTTCTTGTAAAAGTTCAGTCAAAATCAAAGTTTAATCTAAAGGTTTTTTCCGAAGCTGATTGGACGAAGGCCGGAGCAGTGATTGGTCGATAACAGGTGGTGACATCATCGATCACACGTATCGACGGTTTGTAATAACCTCATCAGTTAGACGATTTGTACCAGAAGGCCAGGACCAGGACTGAGACCAGCACCAGGACTGAGACCAGCACCAGCACCAGGACCGAGACCAGGACCAAGACTCAGACCACAACAGAGACCACGATTGGGACTGGGACAGGGACTGAGACCGGGGCAGAGAAAAGGACTGAGACCAGGACTGACACCAGGACTATGACCGGGACTGAGACCAGGACTGAGCCCAGGACCAGAACTGAGACCAGGACTGACACCAGGACTACGATCGGGACTGAGACCGGTAAGACAGAAGTGAGTGTGTTTCTGTGAGGACGGTTTATCTGACTGAGATGCAGAGGAGGGGGAGATGGGGGAGAGAGATGGGGAAGGGAGAGGGAGGGGGGGAGGGAAATGTAAACAGAGAAGCGGCCATTTTGTTTGATTAAACACAAACATAAAGATTTGTTTACAGACGAGGCTTAACGAGGGTTAACGAGGTCAAACGGAGCTCAGGGTCAGAGACTATGAGGGACGTTACCATGACGACAACAACAACATGTAAGAAAGAGCCCAGGGAGTCAGTATCTGCCTCTTTGGGCTGAGAGCTGATTGGCTGAGTGAGGGTGGTCCTCTCTTTGATCTTACAAAAGCAACTGTTTACAGTTTTTCTTTATTGCTTAAACACATTTCACGATACTGCCCTCCCTTTTCTCAAAACTCTAAACACAAACCTCTTTTCTAAAGCTACGTACACTCAACAACACAGTCTCTTTTCAAAACCGACTCATCACACCAAAACAGTTTCTCATATTCTCAAAACCAACCCATCACACCAAAACACCTCTCATGGTCTGCATAGTGAACACTATGAGCATCATTAACCACATCACCAAAACAATTTAAAACACAATTTTCAGAATGTGAGACTGTTGTCCTTGGCCTGCTCCTCTCCCTCGGCCTGCTCCTCTCCCTCCTTGACCTGCTCCTCTCCCTCCTTGGCCTGCTCCTCTCCCTCCGTGGCCTGCTCCTCTCCCTCCTTGGCCTGCTCCTCTCCCTCCTTGGCCTGCTCCTCTCCCTCCTTGGCCTGCTCCTCTCCCTCCGTGGCCTGCTCCTCTCCTCTGGCCTGCTCCTCCCCCTCCTTGGCCTGCTCCTCTCCCTCCGTGGCCTGCTCCTCTCCCTCCGTGGCCTGCTCCTCTCCCTCCGTGGCCTGCTCCTCTCCCTCCTTGGCCTGCTCCTCTCCCTCCTTGACCTGCTCCTCTCCCTCCTTGACCTGCTCCTCTCCCTCCTTGGCCTGCTCCTCTCCCTCCTTGGCCTGCTCCTCTCCCTCCTTGACCTGCTCCTCTCCCTCCTTGGCCTGCTCCTCTCCCTCCTTGGCCTGCTCCTCTCCCTCCTTGGCCTGCTCCTCTCCCTCCTTGACCTGCTCCTCTCCCTCCTTGGCCTGCTCCTCTCCCTCCTTGACCTGCTCCTCTCCCTCCTTGACCTGCTCCTCTCCCTCCTTGACCTGCTCCTCTCCCTCCGTGGCCTGCTCCTCTCCCTCCTTGACCTGCTCCTCTCCCTCCTTGGCCTGCTCCTCTCCCTCCTTGGCCTGCTCCTCTCCCTCCTTGGCCTGCTCCTCTCCCTCCGTGGCCTGCTCCTCTCCCTCCGTGACCTGCTCCTCCCCCTCCTTGACCTGCTCCTCTCCCTCCACTGACACAAACTCCTCTTCTTCTGCCTTGATCATCCATTGTCGTTTGGAACCTGCACTGACTTATACAGTTGTGGTCACATCATTTGCAACAGGAGTTTTCAGCTCTGAGTGGTTGTGTTTTCTGAATGACACCAGGTCTGTTCATTGTGTTCAGGTTTTGCTGACTGTGGGAGGCATTTTTCATCACATGAGCCTCACAATGATTATAGGAGCAGAGATACATGCAAAAAGTGTTTTAGCAAAGGAAAAATGTGTTTTAGCAAAAGAAAAATGTGTTTAGAGTTTTGAGAAAAAGGGCATGTGTTTTGTGAACAGTGTCTACAGGAGAATTGTGTTTATGGTTGTGAGAAGTGGAAGGAAGTTTTAATAAATGTGTTTAGGCAATTGGTCATTTGGTTTAGAGTACTGGGTTTTGTGTTGTAGCAATAGAGAAAAACTGTAAGAGCCAGAACCAGAGACATGGGTTTAATACAGAGTTCTATTGGACTAAGAGTTACAGACCCCAGCTTTAAAGTTACAGACCCCACCTTTATATTGACAGACCCCAGCTTTAATGTGGCGACTGTGTAGGAGCTAGGAGACATGTGTAGGAGCTTGGAGACGTGTGTAGGAACTAGGAGATGTGTGTAGGAGCTAGGAGACGTGGGAGATGATGGACAGGAGACAAACGTGTGAATAATTGAAGCTAAAAGTGTCGAACTGAATAAAACAAAAATGCAATCAATAAATTATGTGAGAGACAAGAGAGGAGAGGAGAGAGGAGTGACAGGAGAGGAGAGAGGAGAGAGTGGAGAGGAGAGACAAGAGAGGAGAGGAGAGTGGAGAGGAGAGACAAGAGAGGAGAGAGGAGAGAGTGGAGAGGAGAGACAAGAGAGGAGAGGAGAGAGGTGAGAGTGGAGAGGAGAGATTATAGAAGATAGGTGAGAGGAGAGAGATAGGAGAAGAATGAGGAAAGAGGAGAGAGAGGAGAGGAGAGGAGAGAAGAGAGGAGAAAGGAGAGAGGAGAGGAGAGAGAGGAATGAGAAGAGGAGGTCTATTTCTGGTCTCACTCTGGTGTCTGTCTGGTCTCTCTCTGGTCTTCCCCTTGGAGAAAAACGACAAGTCTCAAAACTACATACTAACCTTTCCCACTGCCGTCCTGGGGCGGCGGGTCATTGTAACAGAGGTCAAAAACATTTGTTAAAAAGAGAGACAGAAACGAGTGTGAGGAGGTAGGAGTTAGGAGGTAGGATGTAGGAGTTAGGATGTAGGATGAATAATGGAGAACATAATGGATCCTTCAGACGTGACCCATAAACACAGACTTCAACTAGAGTAAATCAACCTCACATCTGTGTCACCTGTATTTGTATAGTCCGAGATTTAGACCTGCTTTAGTCCTGCGTTAGGCCCGCTTTAGTCCTGGATTAGTCCCGCTTTAGTCCTGCTTTAGTCCCGCTTTAGTCCTGCTTTAGTCCTGCTTTAGACCTATCTCGTCCTGCTTTAGACCTATCTAGTTCTGCTTTAGTCCCGTTTTAGGCCTGCTTTAGTCCTGCTTTAATACTGCTCCTCTCTAAGTCCTCAGCCACAGATCTGCAGCTGTGTTTAGCCTCGTCCATGCTCGTCAGTCCCAGGTCTCAGCGACAGAAGGGTGTTTCTCCTGATGTCAGTGTTGCCATGGTGACGTCCTGGAGTTTAATCCTCATTAATCTTTCACTTATTTGAGGTGATATAACTGAACCTAAGTTAATTAGGTCTGGAGCCAAAAACAAAGGTCTAAAGCAGGTCTAACGGAGGACTAAAGCAGGTCTAAAGCAGGTCTAAAGTACGTCTAAAGCAGGACTAAAGCAGGTCTAACGGAGGACTAAAGCAGGTCTAATGCAGGTCTAAAGCAGGTCTAATGCAGGACTAAAGCAGAACTAAAGCCGCACTAAAGCAGGACTAAAGCAGGTCTAAAGTAGGACTAGGGTAGGACTAAAGCAGATCTAAAGCAGATGAAAATGTCGAACTATACAAATAAAGGTGAGACACATTGAGTTAATTAGGTCTGGAGCCAAAAACAAAGGTCCAGGGCAGGTCCAAAGAAGGTCTAAAGCAGGTCTAAAGCAGGACTCAAGCAGGACTAAAGCAGGACTAAAGCAGGACTCAAGCAGGACTAAAGCAGGACTAAAGCAGGACTCAAGCAGGACTAAAGCAGGACTAAAGCTGGACTAAAGCAGGACTAAAGCAGGAGTAAAGCAGGACTAAAGCAGGACTAAAGCAGGACTAAAGAAGATCTAAAGCAGGACTAAAGCTGGACTAAAGCAGGACTAAAGCAGGAGTAAAGCAGGACTAAAGCAGGACTAAAGCAGGACTAAAGAAGATCTAAAGCAGGACTAGAGCAGGTCTATAGCAGGTCTAAAGCAGGACTAAAGCAGGTCTAAAGCAGGACTAAAGCAGGACTCAAGCAGGACTAAAGCAGGACTAAAGCAGGACTCAAGCAGGACTAAAGCAGGACTAAAGCAGGACTAAAGCAGGACTCAAGCAGGACTAAAGCAGGACTAAAGCAGGACTAAAGCAGGACTAAAGAAGATCTAAAGCAGGACTAGAGCAGGTCTATAGCAGGTCTAAAGCAGGACTAAAGCAGGACTAAAGCAGGACTAAAGCAGGACTAGAGCAGGACTAGAGCAGGGTCAGACAGCTCGTCTGCTGCGCCCGTAGATCCTCTTCTTGTCGTACATGTGTGTTTGGTGTCTGAGGTCGCCGCTGTCACTCAGAGAAACCTCCAGTTGATGAATAATGAAGAGATGTTGAACACTCAGCTCTCTCCATGATTCATGTTCTACAGAAACATGAAAGTGACACAGTGAATATTACATGTGTTCAAAGCTTTTAGTCTTTATCCTTCACTGCCTCAGTCACCGACACAGAAAGCTCCTGCCGTGTCGTTAAACACCAGGAGCTAAATGAGTCACTTTAGACACCTCAATATTAAAGATGTTTTAGACATGTAAATATTAAAGCTCTAGTCCTGCTTTAGACCTGCTTTAGACCAGCTTTAGACCTGCTATAGACCAGCTTTAGACCAGCTTTAGACCTGCTTTTGTACTGCTTTAGTCCTGCTTCAGTCCCTCTCAGACCCTCTCACACCCTCTCAGACCTTCCCAGACTGGCTGTAGTCCTGGTCTAGACCCAGTTTAGATGTGTCAGATTCTGGGCGCGCTCTCATCCTTCATCCCGCCTTCTCTCGCGCCTGTCACTCACTCTCAGATAAGCTCCAAATGGAACCAGTTTTATCGGCGTCCAGAACATGAGCTCAAAATCATAGAAACCACAAATATCCTCCTCCTCCTTGTCCTCCTCCTCATCCTCCTCCTCCTCCTCCTCCCCCTATCGCTGCCTCCTATCACCGCCATCGCTCTGCTCTCTCTGGAAATTATCTGAGAAATAATAAGAACCGTTTTTATCAGACAAACGTCACAAACTCAGAGGAAAAGTCCAGAGTGGAAGTCATTCATCAAACTGAAACCATTCACACATTACCTCCTCCTACAGAGGCCTGCACCTCCTCCTACAGAGGCCTGCACCTCCTCCTGGAGAGGCCAGCACCTCCTCCTACAGAGGCCTGCACCTCCTCCTACAGAGGCCTGCACCTCCTCCTGGAGAGGCCTGCACCTCCTCCTACAGAGGCCTGCACCTCCTCCTGGAGAGGCCTGCACCTCCTCCTGGAGAGGCCAGCACCTCCTCCTACAGAGGCCTGCACCTCCTCCTACAGAGGCCTGCACCTCCTCCTGGAGAGGCCTGCACCTCCTCCTACAGAGGCCTGCACCTCCTCCTGGAGAGGCCTGCACCTCCTCCTGGAGAGGCCTGCACCTCCTCCTGGAGAGGCCCGCACCTCCTCCTGGAGAGGCCAGCACCTCCTCCTGGAGAGGCCTGTGCCTGCTCCTGCAGAGGAGTAACTTTAAAGCTGGGGTCTATAACTCTCGCAGTTGGACCAATAGAACTCTGTATTAAACCCATGTCTCTGGTTCTGGCTCTAAAACAGTTGCTTGTTGCTAGTTTCACATCATGTATTTGTGATGTCACAACTTTGGATCAAAGAGGACCACCCTCAGTCAGCCAATCAGCTCTCAGTCCACAGAGGCAGATTGTGACTCACAGTGAAGACCAGCCTCAGTAAGAGTGAATCTGGTCAGGGCCGTCTCATTCGATCGGAGCCTCATTTCCATTTTCCTCAAACATAAACATGTTACAGTTTCCTGTGGGACTGCGTTTCCCATCAGCCCCGGCGCTCAATCAAAACACTCTAACTTTATTTAAACAGCCACACTTTTCATCACAGCTCATGTTTCATTCAGGAGGAAGCGAGACTGGTATGAAGAAGGTCTAAAGCAGGTCTAAAGCAGGTCTAAACCAAGACAAAAAACCAGGTCTAAACCAGATATGAACCAGATCTAAACCAGGTCTGAAGCCTTTCCAGTTTTCTTCCACACATATAGTTTCTCATTATCATTCTGACTTTGAGACAGAAATAAATGTCAGGAAATGAGCAGTGTGAACAGGAAGTGTGAAAGCTAACGGTGCTAACACGGCTAACAGCTAAAGGCTAACGCTAATGAGACACATTACTCTCACTTCAACAGAAATTAACCTCAATTATCACCACAACCCGTTTCATTTGCACATATGCAGAAACCAGGTCTGAACCGGGTCTGGATCGGGTCTGCATCGGGTCTGAACCAGATCTGAAACATACTGTACAGACACAGAGAGAGACACACAGACACACACAGACACACACAGAGACATATACACACACACACACACACACACTCCTCTGATTGGACACATGGTTGTTCTGTAAGGAGGAATGGGAACAAAGGACTCACTGGTGTCAGAACAATCACATCTTTATGTTTGAGTCTGAAACCAGGTCACACTGAGGCTCTGAGTCCTCCTCCGGGACCAGGACAGCTCCAAGTCTGATCCAGTTCCAGGGTCCTCCTCTGGGACCATCTGGGACCATGTCTTCAGGTCCATATCTGGTCCAGGTCCGGGTCTGTGTGAGGAGATAATAATCCCAGAGGTTTGAGGAGGATGAAGATCAGACGTGTTTGAGATGTTCCTCATCTTCCTCATTTACATAACGCGTTCTGTACCATCAGTGTCTGTTTAACATTCATGTCACAGAAATCACAAGAGAATTATATTTATAATATACTAAAAATATATTACTACATGGAATCATAGCCCCCTGACCTAAAGCCTGGTTCAGCCGAGACCATTTTAAAATTATCGGCCGATTTTCCAAACCTGAGAGACCCCACACGGAGATAAAAGATCCAGGGGCTAACCACTTTGGTCGTACAGTGTGGTGCGCAGCCACACGGCAAAATCATGCCGCAGTCCACTGTAACGTGCTCGCCTGTCCCCGGAGGACAGCACACACAAAGAAACGACGGCCTTAAACAATCCAACATGTTCGATGTCCCCGATTTGAGATCGGAGCAGTCCCGAAGTCCTTCTGAGCGACGAGCGCAGTCTTAATGCACCACACATGGAAAATCCATCAGATCATTTTACAAAAATCGGAGCGTTTTTTAGAATGATGTTTAAGAGGGGATCCTGCCGTGTGAACCAGGCTTAACCCACCCTATAAAACACTTCTGTCCTAACCCACCCTATAAAACACTTCTGACCTAACCCACCCTATAAAACACTTCTGACCTAACCCACCCTATAAAAACATGTCAGATACAATCGAGGATAAATGCTCTTGTTCTGTATAAAAATGTGTCCCTGAGCTTTAATCACATACTGTTTGATGGATTGATGGTCGCCGCGGTAACAGCTCTCTCAAACCTTTACGGTCTCATCTCAGATTATACGACATTTTATGAAACATTAAAACTCAACAGTAAAAATTCACGAGACAGAATGCCGACAATGGGCAGGGCCTATAGAGGGGGCGGGGACTATAGAGCAGTACCTCCTCCTGCAGGAGGTGCTGGGCCTCCTCACCTGTAAGAGGCGCAGGAGCCTCCTCCACCTGTAGGAGGTGCTGGGCCTCCTCACCTGTAAGAGGCGCAGGAGCCTCCTCCACCTGTAGGAGGTGCTGGGCCTCCTCACCTGTAAGAGGCGCAGGAGCCTCCTCCACCTGTAGGAGGTGCTGGGCCTCCTCACCTGTAAGAGGCGCAGGAGCCTCCTCCACCTGTAGGAGGTGCTGGGTCTCCTCACCTGTAAGAGGCGCAGGAGCCTCCTCCACCTGTAGGAGGTGCTGGGTCTCCTCCTGTAGAAGGTGCTGGGCCTCCTACTCCTGCAGGAGGTGCTGGGCCTCCTCCTGTAGAAGGCGAAGGAGCCTCCTCCTCCTGCAGGAGGTGCAGGGCCTACTCCTGTAGAAGGTGCAATACTGGGTTCAGTTCCAAAAGTGAGATTAAAAAGTGAAGGAGCTGAATCTGCAGTTTTAGAATTATGAGGAAGGAAAGGACAGGTCTCTGAGGACCAGGACTGAAGCAGGACTGAACCAGGACTGAAACCGGGACTGAACCAGGTCTGAACCAGGACTGAACTAGGTCTGAACCAGGACTGAACCAGGACTGAATAGGACTGAACCAGGACTGAACCAGGTGTGAACCAGGACTGAACCTGGACTGAACCTGGACTGAACCCGGTCTGAACCAAGACCAGGACAGCTGAGGTAAATCACATGTTGCAGGGTGCTCTGTTGTTTCTTCTTCAGAGAATCCAGTTTCTCAGAGATTTGCCATTGTTCCTTTTGCAGGTGTCCAATACCTGTGTTTGTCAAATTGTGCGTTCTCTCTCTGGTCTTTTCTCCTCTCTCCTCTCTCTCCTCCTCTCCCCTCTCTCTCCTCCTCTCTTCTCTCCTTTCTCTCTCCTCTCCTTTCTCTCCCCTCTCTCCTCTCCTTTCTCCCCCCTCCTCAGTGTCCCCCTCTCCCTCTCTCTCCCTCTCTCTCCCCTCTCTCCCCCTGACAGGGTGATGGAGACAGATGCTCTTAGACTAAAGGGTTAAGTGCGTGTGACTCGGAGCTTCATCCGTTTGGATTAAGAGACTTTTAAATCAGAACATTAGAGTTTAACTGAAGTCTGGAGACTCAAGAGGAGGAGGAGGAGCAGGAGGAAGAGGAGGAGACTGAGGAGAAGGGGCTGAAGGTCACAGGCTCACAGAGACACACACGCACACACAGAGACATACATACACAGACACACACACAGACACACACACACACAGACACACACACACACAGACATACATACACAGGCATACACACACACACACACAGACACAGACATACATACACAGGCACACACACAGACATACACACACACACACACACACTCTCTCTCTCTCTCTCTCTCCTCAGTCTTTTATTGTCGCACAGTAATGATAGTTTTATTAAAGCCGTTTCAGACGTAGAGTAATGTTCAGTATAATGTTCTAATGTGAGTAAGTGACTGTGAATGTGACTGACCAGGAACTCTATCTTATTAAACATTCTCCCATCCAGATGAAGACGGAGAGACCTGAGAGAGACCAGGACTAGGACCAGGACCAGAGAGACCGGGGCCTGAGAGAGACAGAGAGAGATCAGGGCCTGTGAGAGACCAGAGAAAGACCAAGACCTGAGAGAGACCAGAGCGAGACCGGAGAGACAGCAGGACCAGGACCTGAGCGAGACTGAGAGAGACCAGGAATAGGACCAGGACCTGAAAGAAACCAGGACCTGAGAGAGACATTGAGAGACCAAGACCAGGACCAGAAAGTCCGGGACCTGAGACCAGAGAGAGACCAGGACCTGAGAGCGATCAGAGAGAGACCAGGACCTGAGACCAGAGAGAAACTAGGACCAGAGAGAGACCATGTAATGTCCCAGGACCTGAGAGACACAGAGAGAGACCTGAGATAGATCTGAGACCAGAGAGAGACCAGGACCAAAGAGAGTCCTGACACCTGAGAGAGACCTGGACCAAGACCAGAGAGACCAGGACCTGAGAGAGATAGAGAGAGACCAGGACCTGAGAGACACCAGACCAGAGCGAGGTGATTTCCAGATGAGACCCGAGTGAGAGTCTCTCTGGTCTAAGCTGGAAATCACATTTTTTAAAAAACCATACGAACATTTTTTCTCAGATGAACAGTACTTTGCTGAAGTTTTTCACAGTCGCATGATTGACAGCTCCCCTAACCATGTGGCCCCTCCCCGCAGCATGTCACCGCGGCAACGGCTGTTTACGCTCGACCACACGCAGTAATGATGTAAACGATCAAACACACATACACACACACACACACACCACTCCGCAGCCACGCGCAACTGACAGGAAGTGGACGGCTGTGACAGGAAGTGGACAGGAAGCAGAATGAGTGCGCTGACCCCTGACCCCGGCCGGAGAGTGTCTGACTCCAATAATGTGGAGTTTGTGAAGCGTCAAATCCACAGCACAGAGAGAGAGGGGGGAGAGAGAGGAGAGAGAGAGAGAGAGAGAAGGGGGAGATAGAGGAGAAAGAGAGAGGAGAAAGAGAGAGGAGAGAGAGAGGGAGAGAGAGGAAGAGAGGAGAGAGAGAAAATGGAGAGAGAGAGCAAGAGAGAGAGAAACAGGGGTAGAGAGGAGGAAAGAGGGAGAGAGACCAGAGAGAGAGGGGGTGGAAAGAGAGGGAGAGATATCAGCATTAGCACTGCTCACATTGTATGCCTATTCCCGAATCATAGACATTATTTGTGCGGCCAAAATGGAAGCCAAAACTCATACATTTTCAAAGTCCACGGCCGCTAAACCAGGCTGGTCCAAAACCCTCCTCCCTCAGCCTAAGACGAAGCGTTGAGCCAAGACTTTTGGAGAAGGATGTAAAGGCAATTTTGATCATTCTGTTTCCGGCTGCACGAAGCAAACATGGCGGCGCCCGTACTCACCTTTAAAACACCATGAAGAAGGCAGAAGTCGCTGACTGCAGCTGTGGCCCAAACCTGTGATGTCACATGTCCCAGACTCAAATATATGTGCGTCTAAGGACACACACCGTATATATTTGGATTGTCCATAGTCAGTGTTCAGACTGCAGAGACATTGGAGGAGCTGTTCATTTTGACGAATATAATGTATAGTATTTTACAAATATTTGTCTTTCTGTGCACCCTAACAGAGTAAACCTGTCAACTTCTCTATCTGGATCAGATTTCACTTTAAGAACAATTATAAACAGGGTTTATGGTTGAAATGTGTCAATATGCACATGGTGCTTCATCCTGAAAAACAACAGATTGTTGTTCAAGTCTCAGGTCTCTCCCTCAGTGAGTCTCAGGTCTCTCCCTCAGTGAGTCCCCGGCGAGTCCTCAGTGAGTCCCCGGCGAGTCCTCAGTGAGTCCTCAGTGAGTCCCTGGCGAGTCCTCAGTGAGTCCCCGGCGAGTCCTCAGTGAGTCCTCAGTGAGTCCCCGGCGAGTCCTCAGTGAGTCCCCGGCGAGTCCTCAGTGAGTCCTCAGTGAGTCCTCAGTGAGTCCCCGGCGAGTCCTCAGTGAGTCCTCAGTGAGTCCTCAGTGAGTCCCCGGCGAGTCCTCATGTTCTCAGTATGATGTGTATAAATGGTACAGAAAATATTTTTTGTCAATAACCAAAGTTCAACAGTTCTGATGGAGGTGTCGCTGCCAACAGAGGTTACAGAGTCTACAAATAAATATAATTAGATGAGTATGAATCTATTAAAAATACTTCTTCTAAGGATACAACACTTTCTTTTTGTGTCTTTATGTGTCACCTCAATTGAAACCTCAGTGCGATTTGAATCAAAGAAATGACAGAGAGAGATCATCTCTAACTAAAGCTTGAGGGAATCAATGAAAAACTTTAGTCAAAAGGCGTAATATGAACAGGGAGAGAGGCCAGAGAGAGATATGTTCGAAAGACCAGAGCGAGACCAGCGAAACCAGAGGGACAGGCCAGAGAGAGACCAGAGAGAGACCAGAGAGAGACCAGAGAGAGACCAGAGAGAGACCAGAGAGAGAGATGTCCGAAAGACCAGAGCGAGACCAGAGAAACCAGAGGGAGAGGCCAGAGAGAGACCAGAGAGAGACCAGAGAGAGAGACCAGAGAGAGACCAGAGAGAGAGACCAGAGAGAGACCAGAGAGAGAGACCAGAGAGAGACCAGAGAGAGAGACCAGAGAGAGACCAGAGTGAGATCAGAGAGAGACCAGAGAAGGACCAGAGAGAGACAAGAGAGAGACCAGAGAGAGACTAGAGAGAGAGACCAGAGAGAGACCAGAGGGAGAGAAGCATAGAGAGACCAGAGAGGGAGGCCAGAGAGAGACCAGAGAGAGACCAGAGAGAGACCAGAGAGAGACCAGAGGGAGAGAAGCATAGCGAGATCAAAGAGGGAGGCCAGAGAGAGACCAGAGAGAGACCAGAGAGAGACTAGAGGGAGAGAAGCATAGCGAGATCAAAGAGGGAGGCCAGAGAGAGACCAGAGAGAGACCAGAGAGAGACTAGAGAGAGAGACCAGAGAGAGGCCAGAGAGAGACCAGAGAGAGAGAACAGAGAGAGACCAGAGAGAGAGAAGCATAGCGAGATCAGAGAGGGAGGCCAGAGAGAGACCAGAGAGAGACTAGAGAGAGAGACCAGAGAGAGACCAGAGTGAGACCAGAGAGAGAGACCAGAGAGAGAGACCAGAGAGAGACCAGAGAGAGAGACCAGAGAGAGACCAGAGAGAGACCAGAGAGAGAGCAGAGAGAGACCAGAGAGAGAGACCAGAGAGAGAGACCAGAGAGAGACCAGAGAGAGACCAGAGAGAGAGACCAGTGAGAGACCAGAGAGAGACCAGAGAAATGGTTTGGATTGGTTCCTCCACCACAGGTTAGTATCATTACATTGGATCAAAGGAAAGATCCGGTCACTGCAGCAGCACGTCTCTGTGATGAACTAGGTCACATGACTCCTGCTGCAAGGGTCACATGACTCCTGCTGCGAGGGTCACATGACTCCTGTTGAGACGGGGGCGGGCTCCTGCTGAGAGGGGGGCGGGGCTTTGATCTCAACAGGAAGCTTGCGTCCAAATATGGAGAGAGAAATGTCACTGAACAAAAGAGGAATGAAGAGGAAATACCAGAGACCAGAACTGAACCAGGACTGAGCCAGGTCTGAGCCAGGACTGGACCAGGTCTGAACCAGGTCTGAGTCAGGTCTGAGCCAGGACCGAATAAGGCCCAGGTCCAGGTCTGTAGTTTGTGCTGATGTCCCATGTTACAGATTGATTTTGTGTAATTTTAATGAAATGTCACTTTTCTGTGTTGGAGCTCACGCCTAAGGTCACGTTTGATTGGACGATCACAGCTGTCAATCAACGGTCCGCCTCAGGCTTTTCAAAATAAAACATTTGATTTAAACAAAACTGCTGAGTCTAGACTTTTACATTTGTAAGAATAAAAACGAGTCCGATCTGTGGAGAGGCAAGCTGTCAGAGGTGAGGGAGGGAGTATAGAGAGGAGGCGGAGGAGAGGGAGAGAGGAGGGGGAGGAGAGGAAAAAGGAGAGAGGATAGAGGAAAGGAGAGTGGGGAAACAAGAGAGTGGAGAGGAGAGAGAGAGGAGAGATAAGAGAGCGGAGAGAGTGGAGAGAGGAGAGAAGAGAGAGAGAAAAGAGAGAGGAGAGGAGATAGAGAGTAGATATGAGACAGGAAAGAGAGGAGAGAAAAGAGAGATGAGAGAAATGAGGGAGGAGAGAGATGAGAGAGAGGAGAGAGAGGAGAGAGGTGAGAGGAGAGAGGTGCGAGAGGAGAGAAGAGTTAGGAGAGAGGACAGATGGAGGAGGCAGGGAAGTTGTTCAAAGGTCGACATAAAAACTCCATAAAGATTTTAACGACTGCTAATGAGGAAGGAGAGAGGAGATAGGAGAGAGGAGATATAGGACAGAGGAGATAGGACAGAGGAGATAGGTGATAGAAGATAGGAGATAGGAGTTAGGAGATAGGAGTTAGGAGATAGGAGTTAGGAGAGAGGAGAGAGGACAGAGGAGATAGGACCGAGGAGAAAGGACAGAGGAAATAGGAGAGAGCAGAGAGGAGATAATGGTTAATGACTCCGCTCCTTTAACGAGCTTGTTAAAGGGGCGTCTGTTAGCAACTGCTATGATTGACAGCAGTGAGCCAGTTCCACCAGAGAGAGACCAGAGAGAGACCAGAGAGAGACCAGAGAGAGACCAGAGAGAGACCAGAGAGAGACCAGAGAGAGACCAGAGTTTATATGTGCTGACAAAGAACATGTGGAACTGCTAATGAGGAAGGAGAGAGGAGGCTCCAGACCTCCTCAGATCTTCCTTGACACATGCTTCTCCTCGCCATACAAGCTGACCTCTGATTGGCCGAGCCTCGTCATACAGGCTGACCTCTGATTGGCCGAGCCTCGTCATACAGGCTGACATTTGCTCTGTAATGTGTCTGTGAGACCGCGGGGGCGCCCTCCGCAGACGTTATTAAAGACAAATGTTTGAGTTAGATATTTCTTTGAACAGTTTGGATGTGACATCACAGGGTCAGAAGAACTCAGAGACTGTAGTTCTAAAGCTGTGTGTGTGTGTGTGTCTGTGTGTGTCTTAGTGTGTGTTATTAAGCCCTCTGTGTGTGTGTGTGTATGTCTTAGTGTGTGCGTGTGTTATTAACCCCTCTGTGTGTGTATGCATGTGTATGTGTGTGTGTGCGTGTGTATGTATCTGTGTGTATGCGTGTGTGTGTGTGTATTATTAACCCCTGAATGCTTTTTCCTTGTTCTGACTCAAACTTTGACTTTGACAAAACTGTTTTTCTGTTTCTTTTCTCCGGAGAACCACAGCAACCGGAGCGGAAAGCACGAAACAAGACCAGGACCAGAGAGAGACCAGAGAGAGACTAGAGAGAGACCAGAGAAAGACCAGAGAGACTAGAGAGAGAGACCAGAGAGAGACCAGAGAGACCAGAGAGAGAGACCAGAGAGAGAACAGAGAGAGAGACCAGAGAGAGACCAGAGAGAGAGACCAGAGAGAGAACAGAGAGAGAGACCAGAGAGAGACCAGAGAGAGAGACCAGAGAAAGACTAGAGAGGGACCAGAGAGAGGGACCAGAGAGAGACCAGAGAGACCACAATCTACACATGTCATCGGGATCCTGGTCCTGGTCTAGTCCTGGTCTCTGGGGAAGTTGGTTGGAGTCTTTCGCTCTGTTAGTTAAATTCCACCGCTTGGCCTTCTGGGAAACGCAGTACACAGCTATGCACTAAATGTAGTTTCTGCTCCAGTAAATTAATCACATCTGAGGGAGAAGTGCTACCCCACAGAACCATCCACCCTCTGTGTGTGTGTCTCTGTGTGTGTGTCTCTCTGTGTGTGTGTGTCTCTGTGTGTGTGTGTCTCTGTGTGTGTGTGTCTCTCCGTGTGTGCATGTGTCTCTGTGTGTCTCTCCGTGTGTGCATGTGTCTGTGTGGGCTTGTGTCTATGTGCGTGACTCTCTCTCGCTCTCTCTCTGTGTTTCTCTCTGTGTGTGTGTGTCTCTTGCTCTGTGCGTGTTTCTCTGTGTATGTATCTCTCTCTCTCTCTGTGTGTTTCTCCATGTATGTCTCTCTCTCTGTGTGTCTGTGTGTGTGTATGACTGCTGCAGTTTTTGTCTCTCAGCCCGACAGTGTGTGGTGATGCTGCCCTCGCGTGGACACACGTTTGAACTGCATGTTGGTCTATTGCACATTTACACAACACCTTCAGGTCCTTTCAGAGTTAAAGCCTCAGACAGATGCAGACTTTTATTATTACAGAAAGAAGAAGAAATATTTTCTCTCATTTTGACAAAAAGCTGCACAGATTCAGCACCAAATACAGTAAACAACCAGAGACCAGACCAGGACCAAGACCAGGACCATGGTCAAAATCAGAGAGAGAAAGTCAAGACTCAGACTATGGACTATAGCTTCAGATCTCTCTCTCTCTAGTCTCTCTCTGGGGTCTCTCTGGTCTCTCTATGGTCCTTTATGGTCTCTCACACTGGTCTCTCTCTGGTCTCTCTCTCGGGTCTTTCTCTGGTCTTCAGGCCCAGGACAAAAGAGGAAATCCACAAATTCATAAGTCAGGCCCAACGTAGTCCCGAGCCAACCCAGTTCTGTCCAGGCTTTTGTCCAGGCTTTAGTCCAGGCTTTAGTCCAGGCTTTAGTCGAGGCTTTAGTCCAGGCTTTAGTCTAGGCTTTAGTCCGGTTTGGATACGCGTCAAGACCAGAGGATGAAGGCCAGAGAGAAGAAGAGGAACAAGAAGAGGAACTGGGAAATAAACACAAAACACACCATCAGAATAAGAGTCTGTCAGAATAAGAGTCTTTCAGAACAAGATTCTGTCAGAATAAGATTCTGTCAGAATAAAAGTCTGTCAAAATAAGATTCTGTCAGAATAAGAGTCTGTCAAAATAAGAGTCTGTCAGAATAAGATTCTGTCAGAATAAGAGTCTGTCAGAACAAGAGTCTGTCAGAATAAGATTCTGTCAGAATAAAAGTCTGTCAAAATAAGATTCTGTCAGAATAAGAGTCTGTCAAAATAAGAGTCTGTCAGAATAAGAGTCTGTCAGAATAAGAGTCTGTCAGAATAAGAGTCTGTCAGAATAATAGCCTGGTTAAACTCACCTTCTCCTCCAGTTCTTTGATCTGTCGTTTCTGTGCTTCGATCACTTCTTCTAGATCTTTGTTTCTCTGTGAAAAAACATTAGCATTAGCATTAGCATTGAGAGGTACCAAGATGGCAGAGTAAGAGTTGGTGCCTTTAGCAGGAGGAAGAGGAGAAGCTGATTCTGAACCAGCTTTAGTTTTCTTTCAGGGAAAATGTGTTGGAAATCTGAACCGTTTCCTTTTAGCATCTTCCCTGGGCACCATAAAGATTCAGACTCTGGTCCACCATAAAGAGACAGACTCTAGTTCACCATAAAGATTCAGACTCTAGTTCACCATAAAGATTCAGACTCTAGTTCACCATAAAGATTCAGACTTTTTTAGTCCTATATCTTTAGTACATTAGTGTTGATACGAGGTCAAAACGATCGTTCATTGGGTTGATAGAACGCCAATGACTTCATCTTAGTCAGAGCCAGATTTCCCCTCACCTCCTCCTCCTCCATGTGTCGCAAATAAAGCTCTCTCGACTCAGTGGAGAAAGTCCTCCTCTGTAGAGAGAGTTATCCTCAGTAGAGAGAGAGTTCTTTTTCAATCTTGGGTAGAAAATCTGCCCACTACAAGGTCAGCTTGTTGTAGAGTTGTAGCAAATGTTCGTTTTGTGGATTTAAAATGAAGGTTTTCCAAAGTAAAAATAAGTTTTAGCACCCCTGAAAAAGAGTGTCTGCTCAAGCCACCATCTTGGCCCAGCCACAGCCTTGTGCTAGCATACACACCATACATGTTGTACTGATACTATGCATACATCCATCCACTGTGTGGCGCTGTTGCCTGAGTTACTGCCGGACGTGCTGATTAAAAGTTTGTACTGGAATTGCATCCTGAGTTCGAGTGCAGTCAATACATGGTACCAGGAGTAAATTAAGGACATTTACACAAAATGAACAACATTCGACCACCAGAAGAGTTGAAACTCTCGGGGAATGTGAACGAAAACTGGAAATCCTTCAGGCAGAGTTTTGAGCTGTATTTGTTGGCAGCTGGCCTCGATGACGCGGACGAAAAGCGCAAAGTAGCATTGTTGCTAACGGTTGCGGGCCGCGGAGCACTGGATGTGTTTAACACATTTCAATTCGACGATGAAGATTATGGATTGAATGATGTTGTGACAAAATTTGAGAACTACTGCACGCCACGAAGAAATGAAACCTATGAACGGTACGTGTTCAGAAACAGGATGCAAAATGAAAACGAGTCCATAGAGCAGTATGTAACAGATCTACGTCTCAAAAGTCAGTCCTGTAATTTTGGTACTCTCTGTGATTCAATGATACGTGACCAAATTGTGATCGGAGTACAGGACAAGAGGGTGAGGATGCTATTGCTAAAAGAAACAGATCTCACGGTGGAGAAAGCCGTACGCATTTGTCAAGCATCCGAGAGCACTAAGTTACAGCTAAAAACTTTTGACAATGACTGTGAACCAGCGACTGTGGACGCCATAAAGAAAGGCGCCAGAGAGACAGAAAAGAGGCGTTTTAGAGACACTAAAGACAAAAAGAGAGACAAAAGGGACTGTGAAAGATGCGGAAATAAGCATGCCCCAAAGCAATGCCCAGCATATGGAAAAGACTGCAGGAAATGTGGTGGCAGAAACCACTTTGCAAAGTGCTGTTTCGCAAAGAGAAAAGTACACATGGTGAGACAGGACAAGACGGCGAGCAGCGGTGACGAGGAAGAACCTCTGTATCTGGATGCAGTTACACTAACGGACATGGACGGTACTGAGGATGAATGGATTGCACATCTAAATGTCAACGGTGTTGAAGTGCCACTGAAAATTGACACTGGTGCAGAGATAAACGTTTTGCCATTAAAATATTTTGACAAACTGAGTCCAAAACCGCAAGTGAGGCCAAAGAAACTGAACTTGAGAGCATACAACAACCAGCCTATTTCCCACAAAGGAGTGTTTCGAGCAACTATCAAAGGGGACGGTCGTTCCTGCAATGCTCTGTTTGTCCTTGTGGAGGAGGAAAGACAACCGATACTGGGACTCAAGGCAAGTAAAAAGATGGGACTAATCAAAAGGATTAATGTTATCGATGGCACAGTTCTTAATACTGCCAATTCACAACAGAAAAACGCAAAAGAAAGTCCGAACACAAAAAATGAAACTGTGAAAAAGTACAGTGATATTTTTCATGGTGTTGGCTGTCTACCAAACAAATACAAAATACAGCTAAAGGACAATGCAGAACCAGTGATACACGCAGCAAGAAAAGTGCCTGTAGCACTCAAAGAGAGACTAAGAAAGGAGTTACAGACACTCATTGCCAAAGGAATTATCAGGAAAGTTGAGGAACCGACAGACTGGGTGAATTCTCTTGTTATTGTGGAAAAGAAAAACGGAGATCTGAGATTGTGCATAGACCCAAGAGATTTGAATAAGTGGATCAAAAGAGAACATTTCAAGTTGCCTACGAAGACAGACATTACAAGTGCAATGGCAGGTGCACGTTACTTTTCCAAACTGGACGCGTCATCAGGTTTCTACCAAATTGAACTGGATGAGGAAAGCGCAAAATTGTGCACGTTCAATACGCCCTTCGGAAGGCATTGTTTTCTGCGCATGCCTTTCGGGATAGCATCTGCACCTGAAGTTTTTCATCGGACTGTTCAACAGATGTTCGATGGTGTGGAAGGAGTTGGAGTATTCCTTGATGACGTGGTCATATGGGGAACCACACGAGCTGAGCATGACGAGCGTTTGGCAAAAGTAATGGAAAAAGCAAAGCAAGCAGGGCTGAAACTGAATAAACAAAAATGTCAGTTTGGGGTGAGTGAAATAACTTACCTGGGAGACAAACTGTCTGCTGCAGGGATACAGCCGGATCCCGAAAAGGTGAGAGCAATCACACACATGCCCATGCCCGAAAACAAGACAGACTTGCAGAGAGCTTTAGGCTTAGTCAACTATGTAGGCCGTTTCATTCCGAACCTGTCGGCTAACACAAAAGCAACTTCTGGCTACGTAGCCTGCTGGAAAACGGCATAGAATGGCAGTGGAGCCATGAGCACGACACAGAATGGGAGATGCTCAAGAGCAGCCTTGTGAGAGAGCCAGTGCTGAAATTTTATGATCCTGCACTTCCAATCAAAGTTTCCACAGACGCTTCCAAGGACGGTTTAGGAGCGGTGTTGCTTCAGCAGCATGAGGACACATGGTTTCCAATTGCGTATGCCTCTCGCACTATGACAGCAGCAGAGAGAAACTACGCACAAATAGAAAAAGAGACTCTGGGAGCGGTATTTGGATGTGAAAAGTTTCATGAGTACATTTATGGACAAGAAGTGGTGCTAGAGACGGATCACAAACCGTTGATCGCAATCTCCACAAAACCTCTAGGAGAGGCACCACCACGCATTCAACGCCTGCTGCTCCGCCTTCAAAAATACAGTCTCACATTTGAGTTTACACCTGGGAAACACCTCGTTATGGCAGATGCTCTCAGCAGAGCTTCTCTAGACTGTAAAGAGCCAAGCAGCACTGAACATGATGTGCAAGTGCATGTGGATGCAATAAGGAAGCACATGGCTGTGTCAGACAAAAAATGGAAACAAATCGCGAGAGCTACATCAAATGACGATACACTGCAAAAGGTGATCAAAAAGATTTGTTCACCAGGAGAACAAAACTTGAGCCACCCATACCAAAACTTCAAAGAGGAGTTGTCCGTGATGGAAGGAGTTCTTCTGAAAGGAAAGAGGATTGTCATACCAATTTCAATGCGCTCACAAATGTTACATCTCACACATGAAGGACATTTAGGCATTGAAAAGTGCAAAAGACGTGCAAGAGCCTTACTCTACTGGCCACAAATGAACAAAGACATTGAGAGTTATATCCAACGCTGCGACACATGTCAACAACACAGATACCGACAACAAAAGGAGCCACTCCTAGCCCACAGCAGACCAAATGAGCCTTGGAGAAAGGTTGGCGCAGACTTGTTTCACCTGGCAGGGAAAGATTACCTTGTTATGGTGGACTACTTTTCAAACTACCCAGAAGTTGCTTTTCTCACAGATACTACTGCAAAACAAGTAATCAAACACTGCAAAGCCATTTTTGCAAGACACGGAATCCCTGTGACAGTGGTAAGTGATAATGGACCTCAGTTCAGCAGCCAAGAGTTCAAGGACCTTGCTGACAGTTATGAGTTCAACCACGTAACATCTAGCCCACTGTTTCCACAGTCAAATGGCTTGGCAGAAAAGGCAGTGCAGATTGTAAAAAGACTGTTCAAAAAAGCAGCAGAAACACGCAGTGACATTTACCTAGCGTTGCTTAACTACCGGACTTCGCCACTGGAGTGTGGAAAATCTCCAGCTGAACTTCTGATGAGTAGAGAACTGAGAACCCGTTTACCTTCAGCTTCACTCTTGCTGGAAAAGGAGGAAGAACAGCGTACAAATCAAGCCAAACAAACCCAGGCTTACAACAAAACTGCTAAACCATTAAGCCCACTATCACAAGAGGACGTGGTACGTGTCAGGTGTGATGGGAGATGGGGACCTGTTGCAAAGATTATAAGAGAGACGGCACCTAGGTCCTATGAAGTCATCACTGAGTACGGCAGCACACTGAGAAGGAATCGACGTCACCTACTAAAAGTACCAAAAACATCTTTTGTGGAGCTCGAGAACAGACGAGATGGACTAATGAAAAACACCAATCCAAAGCGTCCAACTTCCACACAAGGTACCAGTGACATTGTGCATGCTCCAAGTGACACTACCAATGTGACACCTGCAAATGCAGTGCAAGAAAGACCACGCAGAAACATTGTGAAACCTAAAAGACTTATTGAGGAATATTGACTGAGATATAAAAAAAAAAAAAAAAAAAAAAAAAAAAAAAAACTTGGATTTAAAGGTTAAAGGTACATGTTTTATTTGTTTTACATGTATGCCTTATGTTAAAAAAAAACTGTTTTATTGACATGCTTTCAATTGTCATGTAAGACCATGTTTTCTTATGGTACTGCTATATACGGATTATATATATATATATATATAAAAAGTATATATTGATTTTGTCCATATTGTTACCTTTACATTTAAAAAAAAAGGATGATGTACTGATACTATGCATACATCCATCCACTGTGTGGCGCTGTTGCCTGAGTTACTGCCGGACGTGCTGATTAAAAGTTTGTACTGGAATTGCATCCTGAGTTCGAGTGCAGTCAATACACATGTTATGCTAGGTTACGTACCCGTTAGCATTAGCATACCTGTTGTGCTAGCTGCAGTAGCTCCATTCGCTCCCTCAGTATTTGTGCATCGCGTTCTCTCAGCTCACACATAACGCTGCGTTTCCATTGGTCCATGGCTCTACTTAGCTCCGCCCTCTGCTCTCCCGTTAGCCTGTCAGCTTGGAGCTCCTGTTTGAGTGAAGAGTGCTCGTCCAATCGTAACGCTTCATACAACATGGCCTCCAGCTCCAGGATTCGCTACGGAAAGAACGTTAGCGTTAGCTGAGGGGACGCATTAGCTGAGGGGACGCATTAGCTGAGGGGACGCATTAGCTGAGATTAGCATTAGCTGAAGTTGGTCTTGAAGACCTTGTGAGCTTCGTCCATGGACTGTTTCCTGTAGTCCAGCTCCTCGTCCAGATACCCCTTCAGTTTAGAGAAGTGCTCCTGAAGAGTACAAGTACTTTAGTACACAGAGTAGTAGTACTGAGTACACAGAGTTCTGTGAATACTGCTAGCCTTTAGCTGAGTACTGCAGTGTGCAAATACTGGTACCTTCTCAGTCTGGATGTCCAGTCTGGTTTGGTTCAGAGAAGAACGAGTCATTTCCACCGACTCCAACCACTGGGCAGAAGAACAGGGTTAGCTGTTAGCCTTTGGCTGTTAGCCTTTACTTGTCAGCCGTTACCTTCTCAGCGAGCGTCAGCACAGTCCGGGCCTGAATCACCACCACCTGCTCCTCATTTGACAGAGTCTGAAAAACACCAGCCTCAGTCCTGCATCTACAGACTCAGTCCTGGATCTACAGACTCAGTCCTGGATCTACAGACTCAGTCCTGGATCTACAGACTCAGTCCTGGATCTACAGCAAGCCCAAGATGGCGCCGTATTCAAATGAATGGTTTGTGCTCAGTGGCGCATGTGGCGGCACGGGCGCTGACATATTTCAGAACTCGCCTATATTTGGGCATCGCCTGGTCCTCCCGATTCTGCGCAGTGGATCTTCTCCCATGATGCGTTGCGCCAAATACACGTGTGTGGCTTTCATGCACGTGCACAGAGGGGCTCGCGCTGATCAGAGCGGAGCTAGAGCGGGAGCCAGACGAGCAGAGTTTGTGGCAGTAAAGTGTGGATTTAAAGAAAACCAAAGGATTTAAGAAGAAAAAAAGTTCAGTCTGACAAGGGACACTAAAATCCCCACAAAATCCGACCTTTATGAAAGCTGTAGATTCTCTGTCAGCTGAGGTCGAGCTGTTTTAGTTTACATTGAGTTCTATGGGTAACATTTCTGAGTAGCTCATGTGAATTTAGTCTGGTTCAGTCTGCAGTACCGCAAGAATCCCCCGAGCACGTGGGTTCTTCAGCTCCAAGCTAGTAATACCCTATCCAGTAATTATAATAGATCCATGGTCTACAGCCTCAGTCCTGGGTCTACAGCCTCAGTCCTGGGTCTACAGCCTCAGTCCTGGGTCTACAGCCTCAGTCCTGGGTCTCATGAGTCAGAAACATGTGTAAAACAACGTGACATAAATAAAGGAACATACACTTACGGCGTTATCTCCCAATATATCCAACTTCTTCATGAGGTCAGACATCACCACGTCCTGCACACAACAACTGTCAGTCTGCTCCTCCTCTGTCTCATCCTCCTCTGTCTCCTCCTCCTCTGTCAGTCTGCTCCTCTGTCAGTCTCCTCCTCTGTCTGCTCCTCCTCTGTCAGTCTGCTCCTCTGTCAGTCTCCTCCTCCACTGTCTCCTCCTCCTCTGTCTCCTCCTCCTCTGTCTCCTCCTCCTCTGTCAGTCTCCTCCTCTGTCAGTCTGCTCCTCCACTGTCTCCTCCTCCTCTGTCTCCTCCTCCTCTGTCTCCTCCTCCTCTGTCAGTCTGCTCCTCTGTCAGTCTGCTCCTCTGTCAGTCTCCTTCTGTGTCAGTCTGCTCCTCTGTCTCCTCCTCCTCTGTCAGTCTCCTCCTCCGTCAGTCTGTTTCTCTGTCAGCTGCCTCTCACCGTGACTCCTTCTGCCTGGCAGTAGATCTGCAGAGCACTGAGGCCTTCTGGGAAGTGTAGTTGTTGGAACAGAACAGGAGAGCGGCGTTCCCTCTCCTGAAGTCAGAGGTCAAAAGTCAGAGGTCATGAACGGTCTCCTACAGACACATGAGACTGACCTCCAGCTCCAGGATCCTGAACTCCAGAAGCTCGTTCTGATCTCTGAGGTCCTGAAGCTCGGAGCGGAGCCGCTGCTCCTCGCACTCACTCTCACTCACCTGGAAGCACACGATACATAAAACTACATCCCATGATTCTTTTTACTATCACATATAAACTACATCTACCTGCACATGGACTGTTCCAACACCCCCCCTCACCTGCACATGGACTGTTCCAACACCCCCTCTCACCTGCATATGGACTGATCCATCACTCCCCTCTCACCTGAACATGGACTGTTGCAACACCCCCCTCTCACCTGCACATGGACTGTTCCAACACCCCCCCTCACCTGCACATGGACTGTTCCAACACCCCCCTCTTACCTGCACATGGACTGATCCATCACTCCCCTCTCACCTGAACATGGACTGTTCCAACACCCCCCTCTCACCTGCACATGGACTGTTCCAACACCCCCCCTCACCTGCACATGGACTGTTCCAACACCCCCCCCCTTACCTGCACATGGACTGTTCCAACACTCCCCTCTCACCTGAACATGGACTGTTCCAACACCCCCCTCTTACCTGCACATGGACTGATCCATCACTCCCCTCTCACCTGCACATAGACTGTTCCAACACCCCCCTCTCACCTGCACATGGACTGTTCCAACACCCCCCTCTCACCTGAACATGGACTGTTCCAACACCCCCCTCTCACCTGCACATAGACTGTTCCAACACCCCCCTCTCACCTGCACATGAACTGTTCCAACACTATTTACGCTCTGTTAAAGTGTACTTAATGCACTTGTGGATGATTGTAGTTTTTAGTGCACTTGTATATAGTAGTACTTTTAAGTGTACTTTGAGAACTTAGAACTTAGTAATTTCCTATTTTGTGACTTTCTGTTTCTGACAATGGCAATAAAAATAATTCTGACTCTAACACATAAACTACATTTCTCATGATGCTCTGCTCTCGCCTTCTCCAGCAGTTCCTGGTTCTTCTGAAATAGTAGCTGCTTCTGCTCCACCCACGACACGTCCTGTAAACAAAACAGCAAGTAAACAACAAGTTACCAACAAGTAAACAACAAGTTACCAACAAGTAAACAACAAGTAAACAAAACAATAAGTAAACAACAACAAGTAAACAACACACACACACACACACACACACTGTGACCCTGGTGAGACCTGAGCACTCTGTCCCATGGAGCGCATGTGAGGATGAGCCCGGTCCCTTGGTGGCCTAATCAATGAACTACTGCTGGTACAAGGGCTGTGTTTGTAACATGTAGTGTGCGCAAACGCGTCTACATTTGGAAGCATCTCGCAGCATGGGTTATTTCACTCGTCTGTGTGCTGGCATTTTTGTAGTGTCTCCGTGGTGTGTTTTGGCAAAAACCAGACATATGGTAATCTGACCTTGTATTTCACTTAGCTCCACACAATGGTCTGGGATTTCTCAATAGGATGTATATTTCAGAAAAAAAAAACATTGCATGTGATTGGATACACGAGTTTTCTGTTTTATCTTGAAAGACGTGCTGCTCATATCAAAGCACACGACTACTCGCTGCGTAGTGTAGTTTGACAGAAATAGTTTCTTAAACCAAACTTTAAACAAAAGTTTTACTCTTAAAACCCACACATCACAACATGGAACTATCAACATCTCGCCGCCAATTGCATTAAAAGTGACATCCGTGTCTTAACTTGTTTGTATTTAAACTTTATAAACAATTCATGGACCCATGATGTGTTGTAGATAGGGTGTAATATTTGGTTGATTGATATTTTATAGTAGTTTTAATATATATCTTATCTTATCTTAGTAAAGTGGGAGGGGCAAGTAGAGTACTTAATATGTACTTGGATACAGAGAAGGTAATGTGACCAGCAGGAGCGAGAGAGAAAGTTAAGGAAAAAGAGACTTATAGTAGAATTCATGTAATTTTTTGTTGTAAATATCCTTTTTGCCTGTAGATTTTTCACTGTGCTGTAAATACATTTTTGACATTTGCTTGTTTTTCTACTCAGAGATAAGTGAATAAGAGTTAAAATCTCAAAAAACACCTATTCCAACCCAGACATGAATAAAAAGAACCCATCATACACACACACACACACACACACACACACACACACATACACGTTTTTGTTACCTGGTGGGTCCCTTTGACAGGGCCGTTCAGAATGGGACCCATAGACATAATCTTTTTTTACTGGGACTACTTTAAGTAATACAAAACAGTCAATAGAAACCAAACAACTATTTTAAAGGAATTTTATTTGAGATTTTTTTTTCGAATTGCAGTGATTCTATTTTTGACATAGAATTTAATGCCACTCCATGTCCGATGTCTAAGGTCATCTGGTGAGGCATTAATGCAGGCCAGGCAGTGAGACTTCCCAGGGACCTTTCCAGTCTGTATGAAAGGTGTCATGGTCTTCTCCACAGCCTTCACCTCAGATGCAGACCATGGCTTTCTTACACGTTCTAGGGAGAGAAATAAAAATATATTAGCAATATACACTCCCAGGGTTAGGACCAAGCAGCCTGGCTGTAATCCCCCACCTGGTACACTTACCAGAAGGGGCACTGCCACTACCATGGGGTGCATCTGGATGAATGGTTGAAGGTTCTCCGCTTGAAGTTTCTTTTAGCCCGTCCGTTTGTGAGAGGATCTCTACTGCTCTCCCTGTCGCACAGAAAATAAAAATACAAGTGGCCTTTAGGGGAAAAAAATCATACATATTTTAATAATATCAAGAATTACCTTCAGGCTCAATTTGTATCTGGTCGAGGCTCTTTCCTTCGAATTCCGTCACTCTTCCCTGCTCCATGGCCATCAACACTTTGCTGATTTTGGCCAGCTCCAGTGTCCCCTCTGGTAGTCTGTAATATTGCCTGTGGATGCGAATGTCATGGCCGAGGAAGTTGGCAAGTATGTCCATCTCATTCTCTTTCATATTGAGAACTGTAGACATAGTAGCTATGTGCTTTCTAAGTTTGGTTGAGGATAGCATCTCTGGATGCACCGCACCACATTCTTTGGCTACCTGGCGTAGGGAGTCTGATCCCCTGATGTGGGTGTCTGCGCCCGGGTGGGAAAAGAAGTATGGGTTATGGTCAGAGATGGAACAGGCCCTTCTGTTCTCCACCAGCACCTCCATCGAAGCAATCATTTCAGGAGTCAAAAGAACCGGCACTTTCCGACTTCTTTTCCCTTTAATTTCAATGCGTTGAAAATGCTGACACAGCTTTTTCTCAAGTTGGGACAGTCCCAGAGCAATGTCAGAATGGATCCCAGTCTTACTTCTTAAGGTAAAGGCTGTCAGTGGCATCTTTGAAACCTCACCTTCCCTTCTTCGATTGAAAATGATGACCTCACAAAGAGTCAAAACTGCCAGTTTAGACCAATGCTTAGACGTTGGCTCACTTATTAGGGTTTGCACATATTCAGGTCGACATACCTCAATATGTGCATGCATGGCTCTAACGTCCTCAGTCAGAGGGAGCAGGTCCGGAGTGTTCCACTTGGCTTGCCGGAGGGTCTGTAGGGCAGCAGAAGAAACACAGACGTCCCACCTCTTCTCAAAAAGCAGCCGGCTTCGTTGGAGGTTTTTAATAAATAGTTCATCAACACAATGCTCCATTTTTGAGTCACATTCAAGAATATCTGCTAGCTTTCTGAGGCTATGGCCGAGTTTGAGGGCCAAGGATGGAGTCTTGTATTGATTTGTTTCCTCATCATATCCAGCCACAGACCTGACTGCATCAATCACATGGTTAAAGTTGGAAGGAATAAAGAAATCCTTAATTGTTTTCAGTTTCCCTGCAGTTTTTGCTTCGTTAATTAACCTACCGACTTCTCTCATTTTCTGCCTAATGTAATCATGCTTAGTCTTATCATGCCCGTGTTTTAAGTACAGGTGCTCTCCGAGTCTCAGAATCCCCTTTTCTGCTTTGACAATACCCGTGACCTCATCCTGATGCATTGCCGAAATTAAAGACCACAGCTTTTTGCTGATGCCCTCCGGTACAGGCTGGGCTAGGGAGCAGAGGGACTGGACCCTACTTCTACCTGGTTTAGCCTGGGCATCTTTCTGTGAAAGCCGGCACCTGGCCACATGCCTCCACAGCGACTTTCGCTTAAGCAATGCCCCACAGTCTATACAGTGCAAAAACTCACTGGATTTAACTGGGGAATTTGGCTGTTTAGCTGGGACTAAAGTTCCAATGCCGGCCTTTAAAACCTCAAAATTGTGCTCACGGTTTCCACTATTCCTGATCAAATCAAACTGAAGTTTACGTGCTTTAGATTTCACAGGTAGAGCCAATGCTCTGGCTACGTCACTTTCATTTCCATGTTTTCTAGTCAAATGACGGGACATTTTGTGGCAGGACATTGAACAGTAGAGGCAGAAGTGTCTCTTGCTATAAACTCGCCCCCCATTTTTCTTCTTTTGCAGCTGCATGATAACAATCTTATTTGCCTTTGGTTCGTCACTTTCCGAGTCTTGAAGAAAAGTGTTTTTGATTTTTCTTTTTCCATACTTTTTTACAGGTTTCTTCTTGACAGTTAAATCGTCAGAATCTGAGTCGACTTCATCAATTAGGGACTCTTGACTAAGCTGCACAAACAACAAATAATTTGTAATCATTCTATATAACAATTTGAAGTCATGACTTGTAGTCAGCACTTACCAGTGGTTTGTAAGCGTGCGCTTCAGTGTGCTCCTCCATGATGTCTTGCAGCCTAATGAACCACACACTTGCACCTTTTTCTAGCCTGACACCTGATTTCCTCTGTTGTGCTGCTCCATGATTGGCTCCAGCCTGCTGGACTGAAATTGCCCCAGTGTGCCCCTCCTGATATCCCGCAACCCACCACCAGGGTTCCGACACATAACACACTTTTTTCAGGAAAGTAAACCTCCAGGGGTCCTTTCCATATTTTTACAGAGACTGCATAAGGACCGTTAGAAAAGCATTACCCATTGATTATTAAGCTTGGACCAGTGGGGTCCGGTGTTCGGGCCCCACCACGTAAAACCAGTCCCCATGACGTGAGTGGAATCTCAGGTTATGGAACCCACCAGGAGTTGAAAACAAGTGCACACACACACACACACACACACACACACACACACACACACACACACACACACACACACACACACACACACACACACACACACACACACACACACACACACACACACACACACACACACACACACACAGACCTGTCCCTTGTCGCTTAGCGCTGACTCCAGATCAGTGACTTTGGTTTGAAACAGAGCGAGCTCCAGCAGCAGCTGCTCTCGGCTCTGAACAGACAGACATTTTGGCTCAGATGAACAGACACTTTGGCTCAGATGAACAAACATTTTGGCTCAGATAGACAGACCTTGATCTCAGTCTCGGGGTCGTAGCGCCCCCCGCTGGTCTGGGACAGTAGAGCGTATGCGCGCTGTAGAGCCTGGTACTCCTGATTCAACTGACGATACCGAAGTTCCGCTTCCTCCCTCACCTGAGCCAATCAGAGGAGACCAATCAGTGCAGAGCACAGTGGGCCGTGAGCCAATCAGAGTGCATCTTGTTACCTCAGAGTCCGGCTCCAGGTCTGGAGTCCGGACTGACGGAGTCGAGGCATCAGAGTCCAGAGAGACCTCCTCATCGTACCCAAAGAAGGTCTCCACTACCTGCACCAGACCAAACTAGACAACGCCAGACCCGACCAGGCCAGGCCAGACCCGACCAGACCAGGCCAGACCCGACCAGGCCAGGCCAGACCCGACCAGACCAGGCCAGACAAGAACAGACCAGGCCAGGCCTAACCAGTTTAGACCAGACCATGTTAACTTGTTTGCCTGGTGGTTAGCATGTTAGCACATTAGCTCAGGTATTAGCATTTTAGCTCATAAGCTCTGTTGTTAGCATGTTAACCCAGTTGTTAGTATTATGCTCGTTGCCTCTGTTCTCTGCGTGTAAGCGAGGTAGCTCAGTTGTTTAAATTTTGCTCGTTAGCTAAGTTGGTAGCATGTTACCATGCAATCTGAGTGCTCTTATTTCCTTTCTCTGCTGTAATGTGCGCAACGATGACACTGAAATTTCTCCACTGTGAGACTAATAAAGGTTTATCTTATCTTATCTTATCTTAGCTCAGTGGTTAGCATGTTAGCTTGGTGTTTAGCATTTAGCTCGGTGGTTAGCATGTTAGCTCAGTGGTTAGTATGTTAGCTCGTTGGCTCACCCTGCAGGCTCTGAATCGCCTCCTTTTAAATGAGTCGTGTCGTCTGTGTCTCAGCAGCATATCTCTCTCCTGAACACATGGAGAACATGCAAACAGCTGAGTGTAACACAGGGAGAACATGCAAACACAGACACAGGGAAGACATGTAAACTCAGACACAGTCAAAACATGTAAACACAGACACAGGGAGAACATGCAAACGCAGGGAGAACATGCAAACACTCACAATCACGTTCTTGACGTAATCGGCAGTGTCCAGGGCCTGAGGTCAGAGGTCACAGAGGTCAGAGGGGTCACAGGGATCAGAGGTCACAGAGGTCACAAAGGTCAGAGGTCACCTTGCTGAGGTCGTCGATGACGCTCTGCTGCTCCATCACCTGTAACCGTAGAAACTCCATCTCTCTGTCGTCGTAACCGCGGAAACAGGACCGGTCCAGATCATTCAGAGAAGACGGTCTCCTCTGAGACAGAAGTGTGAGGCTCAAAAGCACAAGACACACACACAGCAGTAGGATCTCACCATGCTGGATTTCTCCAGGTGCTCCTGGGTCATATATCTCAGCTTGTTCTTCAGTCTCCTCACACTCAGAGCCAGTTCCTCGTTCTTTTTACTCAAACGTTTGTTTTTGTCCAAAACTGGAAGAAACTGAGACTCAGCATCACGGAGGCGCTTCAGCTGCAGAGACAGGGTTAGGATTTGTATTAACATAATTTATCATTTTTATTATTACTATTATTAATATTGAAATTATTACACGGCTCCTCACAGCAGCAGTAGAACGCTTCATTGATTTGAAGGTAATTTCAAAACGTTCTACAGGTCATTATTTTTTTATAACCGACCTCTCAAAACAATAATGACCGCTGCCCTTTGGCAACACACTCCCTGCTTGTAATTCAGATGTGTAGATTACTCCGCAGGGGCGACAGTAGCTCAGTTGGTAGAGCATTGGCCTTCAGGCCTGAAGGTCGTGGGTTCAATTCCCACCTCTACACCTTCTCCACCGACTCCCACTGATGACTGCTGTCGTTGTGTCCTTGGGCAAGACACTTAACCCCACTTTGCCCAAAGCCCCCACTGAAAGATCAAGGCTATGCTCACACTCAGAGAGCAGCCGTCCTCCTGTGGACTCACCACCTGCAGAGGGTCAGTGAGGGGCTGGTGCTATGAGACTTGGGTGGCATCTCTGACTGCCACCCCCCTGACCCAGAAATGGATTAAAGGGTAGAAAATGGATGGATGGATAGATTACTCCGCAAGTAGTTCCGGTCACTCCGAAGCTAGCCACGCTCAATAAACGCAAATACCAATCAATCAACACATTTAAATGTTAATCGGAAAAAACATTATACAAATACATTCTTAATACACATGCACGGAGGTATTCAGAAGTATCTGTTGAGGTTTTCACGACAAAAATACTGTTTTAATGCGAGAAAAAGCGATCGCGATAAACCCGGAAATAGATTCCGGGACATTTTAGGAACATTTGCAGAGGATCAAATTATGGATTTAGGTTATGTTTATGTTTGGGTCACTCACCGCTGATGTTCAGAATTCTTAGTTCAGTTTTCATGCAGTTCAAGAGAGTTCTAGTTTGGAAGTTGCTAGCCTAACTGTTACTCACATAGCCACGGGAAAACCTTTGGGAACTATTTTATTTTCTGTCATTAAATAAACCTTTCGGCATTCCTGTTTACATGTTGTTGTTCAACTGTTGTTCACATTTTGTCGTTGTTTACCAGCTCGTTGCGTTCCTCTGACAGCAGTTTGTTGCGATCCTCCAGTTTCCGGACGATTGAACTCAACTCTGCAATTTTCAGCTGAAAACGACGCAGGTCTCTGTCGTCCGGCAGCTGACAGGAAACAGGAAGCAGTTAGAATCCTCCTTTTTGGACTGACTCCTCCCACTGGTCCGTACCCTGTGTGTCTAACGCTCTGATAGGCCGACCCCTGGCCTGGTCCCGCCCTTTGTGTGTGTGTGTGTCTTACGCTCTGATTGGCCAGTCCCTGGCCTGGTCCCGCCCTTTGAGCGTCTCGGAGGGCTGTGATTTGCTGTTCCGCTGCCTGCGTCTGCAGCTGCAGTCTATGGGCGTGTCCCGCCTGAAGACCCAGCGCTTTGTCCAGAACCGAGACCGCTCTGTCCTTCAGACGGATCTCCTCCATCTGAGGAACATATTCAGATTCAGATTCAGATTGATTGATTTATTCAGACAAAATTAACATTCATTACATGAAAGTAGTAAATGTATACACATGTCACATAATATGTACTTGTATATACTCATACTTATATACCGTATTTTCTGGGCTATAAGCCGCAGGCTGCAAATTGTAGAAATATATGTAATTTAATTTTTTATTTGTCCCACTCTGTAATATTGAAAAATGAGTAAGAAGTGAGTCACTGACTGTTCTGAATCTTCCAGTGTGAAGCAGAAAGATAAGGAGCAACATCTACTGGTCTATTTTCTCTTTCATGTTTATTATATTAAACATTTACAAAAGGATATTGTAAAGGAGGATTTTTAAACTTAATTTAATCTGCTTTATTGACAAATCTTACATTTAATTGGACCTCTGTGAACAGCTCATCAATTTTGTTGATCTACTGTTACTTGTTACTACAAAATGTTTTTGGCAACACAGGAAAAAAAAAAAATAAATAAATAAATTAAGCCGCACCTTACAATAAGCTGCAGCCTTCAAAATGCAGGAAAAAAGCCGGAGCTTATAGTTTGAATAATACGGTATGTATTATTATATGCCATACTTATACATACTGTTATATGTTATATACTACTGTCATATATCTCCTTCACCAGGGGGTAAATCTCTATCTCGCTCTCCCTCCTGCCCTGCTGCAGTTCCTCCCCTCGTCCCCTCACCAGGCGGCGTATCTCTCTCTCACTCTCCCTCCTGCCCCGCTGCAGTTCCTCCTGGTGCCTGTAGTGGGCGCTGCGTAGCTCCTGTGTTCTTTCAGCTGCGTTTGTTTGAGCAGACATTAGAGCTTCTTCACTGCTGCGTCGAGAAGATCGTAACTCCTGGTTCTCCTGCAAGAGGCGCGACCTCTCCACCTCCCAACTCCTGCGAGACTCCTCCCACTCAGACACCAGAGAGGTGCGCACCTGGAACCAGAGAGACCATGTGGGGCCAGGGACCAGAGAGACCAGAGCGAGACCTGAGAGAGACCAGAGAGACCAGGGAGAGCAGAATGGTACCTTGTCCGCAGAGCCCTGCTGCAGACTTCCCACCAGAGTATTGAGTCGAAGTATTTCCTGGTCTTTGATCTTGATGACCCTCATAAGCTCCATCTCATGTTGCCGTAGTAATTGCTCTCTGACTCCGCCCACTTCTTTGATCTTCTCATCGTGGAGTTTAGACCGAAGCGCCGTCAAAGCAGCAGCCGAGCGGTGATGTTCTGCCTTCAGCTCTGCGGCTTTGTCACGTTCCAACCGGCTGACCTGAATAATCAGAGGAGAACCATAGGAGAACCTGAGGAGAGCCAGAAGACCCAGAGGAGAGCTTAGGGGAACCAGAAGAACAAGAGGAGAACCAGAGAAACCAGAAGAGAACCAGAAGGAGACCTGAGGAGAACCAGAGGAGAACCAGAGGAACCATAGAAGAACCAGAGGAATAAGAGGAGAACCAGAGAAACTAGAGGAGAACCAGAGGAGAACCATAGGAGAACCAGAGGAGAACCAGAGGAGAACCAGAGGAAAACCAGAGGAGAACCAGAGGAGAACCAGAGGAGAACCAGAGGAGAACCAGAGGAAAACCAGAGGAGAACCAGAGGAGAACCAGAGGAGAACCAGAGGAGAACCAGAGGAACATCTGCAGCATTAGCAGTAGCAGTAGCGGCAGTAGTAGTAGTAGTGGTAGTAGTAGTAATAGTAGTGGTAGCATTGGTAGTGGCAGTAGTAGTAGTAGTATTAGTAGTGGCATTAGCAATAGTAGTAGTACTTTGGTCTTTTCATGCTGCAGTTCTATCTGGATCTCCGTCAGTTTACATCGTAGCTCCTCATTGGCCGCCTGCAGCGTTGCCATGGTGTCGGCTTTGCCCCGCCCTCCATTGCCTTTTTTGGCCATGATCCTTATGTGTTGTCTGTCAATCAAACTTGGTCCCGCCCCTCGAGCCAGGACTGCATTTTCTGTTGGGACAAAACAGACAATACAGGATTTGTATCAAAATAAGAACTGCATCTGTTTGTGTTTAATCCTCAATGCTAACACTAGCTCAATGCTAACACTAGCTCAATGCTAAACTGCTAGCTCTATGCTAACCCACTAACTCCAATGAAGTACTCATAACTCACGTCACATGCGAGTCATGTGACTGTGTGTCATGTGAATTATGCCACCAGTGCTTTAAAGTGGGTGACTCACAGCAGGAGGGTCCCCTCCTCCATCGTGTCCTCACACCTGGAACACAACATTACAAACGTTGTATTATTTAGCAAAACATTTCTGTATTTACAAGTTATTACTCATAATCAATAGTGAGATCTTTGAAACATGTGACTTAAAATTTAACATTCACTACTGCAGTTACTACTGTTATTACTACAGTTATTTACAGTTACTACAGTTATTACTACAGTTATTTACATATACTACTGTTATTACTACAGTTATTTACAGTTACTACAGTTATTACTACAGTTATTTACAGTTACTACTGTTATTACTACAGTTATTTACAGTTACTACTGTTATTACTACAGTTATTTACAGTTACTACAGTTATTACTACAGTTATTTACAGTTACTACAGTTATTACTACTGTTACAGTATTACTATAGTTATTTACAGTTACTACTGTTATTACTACAGTTATTTACAGTTACTACTGTTATTACTACAGTTATTTACAGTTACTACAGTTATTACTACAGTTATTTACATATACTACTGTTATTACTACAGTTATTTACAGTTACTACAGTTATTACTACAGTTATTTACAGTTACTACTGTTATTACTACAGTTACTACAGTTATTACTACTGTTACAGTATTACTATAGTTATTTACAATTACTACTGTTATTACTACAGTTATTTACAGTTACTACAGTTATTACTACAGTTATTTACAGTTACTACAGTTATTACTACAGTTATTTAGAGATATTACTGTTATTACTACAGTTATTTACAGTTATTACTACAGTTATTTACAGTTACTACAGTTATTACTACAGTTATTTACAGTTACTACTGTTATTACTACAGTTATTTACAGTTACTACTGTTATTACTACAGTTATTTTGAGTTATTACAGTTATTACTACAGTTATTTACAGTTACTACTGTTATTACTACAGTTATTTACAGTTACTACAGTTATTACTACAGTTATTTACAGTTACTACTGTTATTACTATAGTTATTTACAGTTACTACAGTTATTACTACAGTTATTTAGAGTTCTTACTACAGTTATTTACAGTTACTACAGTTATTACTACAGTTATTTACAGTTACTACAGTTATTACTACAGTTATTTAGAGTTATTACTGTTATTACTACAGTTATTTAGAGTTATTACTGTTATTACTACAGTTATTTACAGTTATTACTACAGTTATTTACAGTTACTACAGTTATTACTACAGTTATTTACAGTTACTACTGTTATTACTACAGTTATTTACAGTTACTACTGTTATTACTACAGTTATTTTGAGTTATTACAGTTATTACTACAGTTATTTACAGTTACTACTGTTATTACTACAGTTATTTAGAGTTATTACTGTTATTACTACAGTTATTTACAGTTACTACAGTTATTTACAGTTACTACAGTTATTTACAGTTACTTCTGTTGTCACTACAAAACAAAGGAAGGTTGCTCATCCGTCATTACTACAGTCATTACTACAGTTATTATTGCAGTTACAGCAGTTACTACAGTTATTACTACAGTTGTTACTATAGTTATTACTACAGTAATTACTAGTTACTGCAGTTACTAAAGTTATTACTACCGTTTCTACAGTTACTACAGTATTACTACAGTTGTAACTACAGCATTACTACAGTTATTACTACAGTTACTACATATATCACTACAGTTTCTAGTTACTACTACAGTTACTACAGTTTTTACTAGAATCATTTTTCTTGCCAGGTAAGTAACAGGAAGTCACAGACTTGGAAATTGCTTTGGCTCAGTGCAACAGTCAGAAAGAGATGTAAGGGTCGAGAAGGCATAATACAAAATAAAAAGCACTTCTAAGGAATACATTTAAAATAGAATTAATGTTACAAGAGTTATTGAAACAGTAACTACAGTTATCACTACAGTAACTACATTTATTACTACTTATTACCACAGTTAATACTACAGTTACTACAGCTATTACTACAGTTACACCTACAGTTGTTACTACAGTTACTACTAGAATTATTGCTTATTTAAACATCAATTGAGTTTGGGTTAAATATTATGAAATTTATATTTATTTATTTAAGGTCCATAAATAAACATTATTTTAACATAAAAATACATAACGATTAAACATTGAAAAACATAAAATAAGAAAATAAATAAAACTATTCTAAGCATTTGGAATATAGAAATACTTTTTAATGTTTCAGAACTCCAACTATGAACAGCAATAGGAGGTGACAGAAGGAAAGAGGGAGAGGAGAAGGAGAGGGCTAGGAGGAGAGAGGGAGAGGAGGGTAAGAGAAGGAGAGAAGGAAGAGGAGAGAGAGGGGAGAGGAGGAGAGAAGGATAGAGGAGAGGGCGAAGAGGAGAGAGGAGGATAAAGGGAGAGAGAATGAGGAAGAGGAGAGGGCGAGGAAGAGAAAGAAGGAGAGAGAGGAGGAGGAAAGGAGAGAGGGAAAGGAGGATAAGAGGAAAGAGAAGGAGCACGGGAGAGGAGAGGGCAAGGAGGAGAGAGAAGACAGAGAGGGGAAAAGAAGAGAAGGAGAGAGATAGAGGAGGAGAGAGGAGGATAGAGAAGGGGAGAGAGGAGCACTGTTGGAGCGACACATGCAATACGCTGAGGAGGCTGAAGACATGGACTCACAGTTAGCTGCTGCTTTACCCCAGTCTGCAGTGAGGAGAGGAGGAGTTAGAAGAGAGGCGTGAGGGGAGAGGAGTTAGGAGAGGGGAGTGAGGAGAGATGAGTTAGTAGAGAGGAGACAGGAGTTAGGAGAGAGGAGACAAGAGTTAGGAGAAAGGAGACAGGAGTGAAGAAATAGGAGACAGCAAATGAGGAGCTAGGAGAGAGAAGACATGTAGCATCCTCCTGTTTCCCAGCATCCTCCTGTGCTCTGACTCACGGACCTGCGCCCCCCAGGCTGACAGAGGAACTGCAGTCTGGTGTCCTCTGCTGGAGAGGACTGGAACTGCGTCAGGTTGTTGGTCTCCATGGCAACCACAGGGCCAGTGATCTGGCATCCTTTGCCTATCAATGAACCACATGGCACTGACAACAGTGCAATTCAATATGGGGGACTTGACTTGAAAGCTGGGGAACGTAACATTCCGATCACATCAGAACGCCCCTAACTCAGCCCTGAAGAGTCAGAAAGTGACTCACAGGGCTCTTTCTGACACAGAGGATAACATGTTTGGAGATGGGCTTGACTCTTGCTGTTGAACAGAAATCATGCACAAAAATGAATGATACGGACTACGACTCCCACAGCGCTTTGCGGCAACTCAAGAATGTGGGGAATGTGTTTCCTGTTCACAGACGTGAGGACTGAGGAGTGAGAGAGAAGAGAGGGGGGAGAGAGGAGAGGGAGGGAGGAGAGAGACAGGAAAGAGAAGAGGGAGGGAGGAGAGAGAGAGGAAAGAGAAGAGGGAGGGAGGAGAGAGAGACAGAAGAGAGAGGCAACAGGGAGAGAGAGAAGAGAGGGAGGGAAAGAGGAAGGAGGAATTTGAGAGAGTGAGAAGAGAAGAGAGAGGGGAGAGAGAGAAGAGAAAGAGGAGCAACGTCTGTTCAGAGGAAAAAGACGAGCCGGGTCTGCGGAGGGGAAAGCAGTGATGAAGAAGACTCTGTCCCGACTGAGGAGCAGAACTGGACCTGGAGGTGAGAGCAGAAAGTACTGTAGCTGTAGTATTTTGTAGTATAGTCATGTATCATGTAGTACTGTAAACTTAGAAGCACGGCAAAACACTCCAAGAGTTCAGGCCCTCATCCACAATCATTACACAAACACAACAATCACTGTCCTCAGGAACCCCAACTCACAGCAGGGAGGAGGTAGGGTTAGGAGGGAGGAGGTAGGGTTAGGAGGTATGGCGGTTTGGGAATAGATCTGCTGCTGTTTCCTGTTATTATTGCTGAGTTTTGTGTTTCCTGTTTATCTCATTTGGATGCAAGTCATTGCTACTACTACTACTACTGCCACTGCTACTATTTCTGTTACTTCTACTGGTACTACTGCCACTGCTACTACTACTGCTGCAGAACCATGTTGAATGAATGACTTTAGTGTTATATCAATGGCCCCAGTGTCTGAGTCTGTGTGTCTGTGTCTGTATGTTTCTGTGTGTTGTGTCTTCTTTGTTTGTGTGTGTAAGTAAGTAAGTACGTAATTAATGTTTATTTATATAGCGCATTTTACAGACCAAGGTCACCCAAAGCGCTTTAGAATGTGCAGAGTTCAGATATCGCTCCAATCATTCCACACACGGTGATGACAGAAGCGAGTCCAGAACACACTGGACCATCAGCTCCCAATCAACACCCTCCATTCACTCTCTCATTTACATTCATACCTATTGTGCATGTTTTTAGTGGTAGGGGAAACCGGAGCACCCGGAGGAAACCTACGCAGACACGGGAGAACATGCAAACTCCACTCAGAAAGGCCCTGTTCCGACCGGGATTCGAACCCAGGACCTTCTTGCTGAGAAGCGAGTGTGTGTCTTTGTGTGTGTCCGTGTGTCTGTGTGTGTTGCTGTGTGTCTATGACTGCTTTGTACAGTACTTTTACCTGAGTACTAAAGTACTAGTACTGTCTTTTCTCGGTTACAGACGCTTGTCCCATTGCCACGCCCCCAACACAAAGCCACGCCCCCTCGACCATAGCTCCATCAATAAGGAGAGACGGAATCAGAGCACATGGGGGCGGGGGCAGCGCACATGGGGGCGGGGCTTACCTGCAGTCCCTCTTCAGCAGCAGCAGGTCCTGGGTTCTATCCGACCATGCCCAGGCCCCGCCTATACTGCCTCTGGGGGAGGGGCTTATCTGGTACAACCCAATACCTGAAGAGGAGGCGGAGCTAGAGAGAAGAGAGGAGGAGCCAAAGGAGAGCTCAGGTGAGATTCTGCCACCCAATGCAGCCCAAATCCATATGGACAAGAGGCCACCCGTACAACTGCAGCCTAAATCCACGTGAACTGTACAGGCCCTCTCATTGGTCAGAACAAATCATATACTACTGCACTAACCAGGAGAATCAGAGCCAGAATGTGTCACTTCTGCTGATGTTTTGCACGTCCATGGTGCGATCATGAGCCAATGAGCACAGGACACTGATCTGATTATAGGATGACATGTTGGAGAGACCAGGGGCAGATATCTTTGAGGGACCAGAAGCAAATATCTTGGAGAGACCACGGACAGACATGTTGGAGAGACCAGGGGTAGACAAGTCCTGACGATCCAAGATGGCGCCCTATTCAAATCAACGGCTTGAGCCACTATGGGGACAGAGAGATTAGCGGATGTCACCTATATTTGGGCATTGTCTGGTCCTCCCGGTTCTGAACAGTTGACAAACTCCCATGATCCATTGCGCTAAATACGCATGGGTGACTCTCATGCACAGAGGGGCTCGGCCGCGCTTTGACCAATCAGAGCTACTGATCAGAGCAGAACTAGAGCAAGAGTTAGAGCTAGCACCAAACAAGCAGAGTTTGTGGCACTAAAGTGTGGAATCACAGAAAACCAAAGGATTTAAGAAGAAAAACACGCCCCACAAAACCCGACCTTTATTGATGTTGTAGGTTCTCTGTCAGCTGAGGTTGAGATGCTTCAGTTTACATTGAGTTTTATGGGGAACCTTTCTGTGTAGCCCACGTGAAGTTAGTCTCATCTGGTCAGCAGTACCGCAAGAATCCCCCGAGCACAAAGGGTCCTTCAGCTCCAAGCTAGTAACACCCTATCCAGTTATTATGAAAGATCCACGGGGTAGACATTTTGAAGAGACCAGGGGCAGACATCTTGGAGAGACCAGGGGAAGACAGATTATTGAATAAATTATTTTTAAATTATTAGATTTATTCAAATAATTATTTTTTCCTCCAGGGGGTGGGTCCGAGAGTGTGATTGACAGAATTCGCTCTCCAGCGCTGAAGCTGCGGCGTAAGCTCAGCTTTAAGTCACGACGAGATCGCCGCGGCAACAGCAGCCAGGACGCGCCCCTTTCTGTCCAAGACACACCCCCCTTCAAGAAGCGTCCACTCATTCAGCCACAGAGTGACGATGACGAAGTGTCACCTGTGACATCACTGCAGGGGGAGGGGCCACGTGGGTTTAGCCCTGCCCACAGTGTGACGGGCGTCCTCACAGTGAACCTGAGACGACTAGAGCTCATCACAGACAGGTGAGAACTGAGGAGTAGCAGCTCTATCTGAAGCTCTAATTGAAGCTGACAGAGGAGCAGCAGCTCTAACTGAAGCTGACAGAGGAGCTACTTTGTGATTGACAGGTGTGTGTTGCAGAGTGGGCGTCTCCAGGTGTGTCTCCATGGTGATGCAGGTGGATGATGTCATCAGAGCTCGCACTGCTGTCATGACGATGACAGACTCTGCTCTTCAGCTCGACCACAGCTTCAGCCTGCAGCTGGAGCGAGCACAGAGGCTGCGGGTTCTACTCCTCCGCAGTAACAGTACTGTAGTAATACCAGTAATACTCTTACTGTAGTAAAATTGACCAGCCGGAACAATATTGTAATACATACTGTATATATACGTATTAATCGCATATAAATACTTGACTTGAGAACTATATTTTGTATACAATTGAATACACACGCCTAAGCACGAAAATATTGTTTATTTTGTTCAACCAAGTCCAACAGACCAGTGCAACTTTACCATTAAAAGAGCAATACGTAAAAATCTGGCCAAAAGTGGTACTGAAAACTCTCCCACTTTCCCTGACTCAGGTTGCCAGATAGGCAGACGAATCCAGCTGGTACCATAATATCTGAATAGACAAGAGTTTTGTCAACAACAAATCTTTTTCACAAAGGATGATAGAAATCTTGTTTTGTTATTAATTGCGGCCACGTTGTGAGATTAGCTAGACACAGTATCTGGAAGTCCCACAGGATACTCACACACTCATTCTCCACCACTTTTGGAGGAGTTTAGACCATATCATTTTGTTTGTGTCTATTGAGCAGAGCTTGCGTGGCCAGCTCCGACAGCTTCTCTCGCAGAGACAGAAGTGGATAATGCTTGCGTAAATGTGCTCGCTGACTAAAAAACTTTTATAACACATAAAATGCATTTATAATTTAAATATAAAACATACATATATTTGTATATTTATATAACACATACATACACATGTAATGTTTGTGTTTCAGTGACGTCACAGATGCAGAGCTCCAGGACCAGACTATGTGCTGGGGGCGGAGTCTCACTGTCCACACTGTTCACAGGTGAAGCCCCTCTCCCTCCTCTGACCACGCCCCTCTTCCTTCCTTGACCATTCCCCTTCCACTCCTATGACCATGCCCCTCTCACACTGTGTCCTTAGCAGATTCTCAAACTGTGGACCTGGTCCTGGACTTAGAGCCCAGAGGAAAACTGCAGCTGTCCCTGAACTTGAAGGTCACACAGAAAGGGGGCGGGGCCTCAGTGTCAGGGGGCAGTGCCCAGGTGTTTGGGGCGGAGCTTACAGATCTGGTGCAACGAGAAATGTCTGAAGAACTGGTTCCACTGATCGTCCAGAAAACTGTGAATGAGATCAACAGACGAGGCTTGAAGGTACAACTCCCCCTCCTCATCCTCCTCACCCTCATCATCCTCATCCTCACCCTCCTCATCCTTATCATCCTTATCATCCTTATCATCCTTATCATCCTCACCCTCCTCATCATCCTCATCCTCCTCATCCTTATCATCCTCACCCTCCTCCCCTCATCATCCTCCCCCTCCTCATCCTCATCATCCTTATCATCCTCACCCTCATCATCATCCTCATCCTCTCCCTCCTCATCCTCACCCTCATCATCCTCACCCTAGGGCGGCACGGTGGCTGAGTGGATAGCACTCTCGCCTCTCAGCAAGAAGGTCCTGGGTTCGAATCCCGGTTGGACCAGGGCCTTTCTGAGTGGAGTTTGCATGTTCTCCCCGTGTCTGCGTAGGTTTCCTCCGGGTGCTCCGGTTTCCCCTACCACTAAAAATATGTACAATAGGTCTGGCATGTGCCTCCTGTACTGGCACCCCCACTCCCAAAAATAACAATTGTAAACCGCTTTGAGACTCCGATGTGCAGTGAAAAGGCGGTTTATAAATAAAGATTACTTACTTACTTACTCAACCTCCTCATCCTCACCCTCATCATTATCACCCTCCTCATCATCCTCATGATGATGATGAGCGTCATTATCCTTGGCTAATGTCCTGGTCCTGGTCTAAGGTCTTGGTCTTGGGTCTTGGTGTAAGGTCTAAAGACTAAGGTCTTGGTCCTGGTCATAGGTGTTGGTCCTGGTCTTCAGTCTTGGTCCTAACCCTAACCCCACTACAAAAGGCGGCAATGAACATTCACCAGAACTAAAAAACATGCAATCGTAACTTGACCATATTCTACAACAAAAAACAACTTCATAATACAGAAGCTAAACTATGAAATACTTTCCGGAACATCCGGAAAGTATCTTGCCAACTTATTGCAAAGATAAAAGGACATATCATTAATCCCCTCAATTCTGACTCCTGAAAACCAAATCACTAATGACCCTCAAGAAATTCATAATACTTTTAATCTCTTCTATAAGAAACTATATTCCTCACAAGCAGAACCCAACCTTAAAAATATAAATATAAATATATATATATATATAAATTAGCTCCGCTAACTATCCAAGAATTACATAAATCCCTCATTCATATGCCCAACAATAAAGCGCCAGGACCAGATAGATACCCCTCCTTCTTAAACCTAATAAAGACCCCAGCCACCCCTCCAGTTACCCCCCTCTCTCACTACTCAATACAGACCTAAAAATGATCACAAAAGCACTTGCACACAGATTAGACAAAGTCACCCCACTACTGATCCGAACCAGACCAAACTGGATTTATTAAGAACCGTAACTCTCATCTATATCTGACTACACCATAAACTGGAACAAATCAACAATACTACCGCTTTTGGACAACAGTGGGATTCTGCAGCCCAGGACACCCTTCACGGAATGCACATAGGCAATATCAGATACTTGGGCATTAACATTTTCTCCAGGCTGTCAGAGTTGCTCTCATTTAATCATACTCCACTCCTTAAAACAATCCAACTCGATTTAGAACGATGGACAAACCTACCACTCTCAATAATTGGACGCGTCGCCGCTGTTAAAATAAAAATACTCCCCAAACTCAACTACCTATTTGCTAACATGCCCACTACACCTCCAGACAAACGGTTTAACTCACTCGACTCAATAATAACACAATTTTACTGCACGAAATTTCATACACAACTATTTGGCAAACCAGCTACAATATTTGGTAAAATGGACAAAACCACCACCCAACTCCCCATGGATTCAAATAGAACGATAATATTTCAAAAAACTGCCCTTAGAAGACACCACAGCCTTAAGCACCTGCCTAAAGAAACATAACTCATTTAAGAACATAACCATCTCACTCTGACAGCCTGGTGGAAAACTTTGAAATTAAACAACTCACCCACTACACCCTGTAAATACACACCCCTCTGGCACAATCCTGACTTCAAAACTAACAAAAAACCTATTCATTTTCTCTTTTGGGAACATAATGGAATTACTCACTTGCATCATCTTATCAATAACGGTAAATTTATGACATACAGATAACTCTACGAAAAAAATACAAACTGCACGTCAACAATAGCTTTCAATACTTACAAATCAAGTCTGTAAGAAAAAGTAAAATTAGTATAATAACTAACCCATTAAATCCTCCACAAATAATAGAAAACATGAAGAAAATCCAATCATTTAAGAAACTAATTTCAAAATTCTACAAATTCATAAAGACTGACAAGACAATACATACACCTCAGATCAAATGGAATACGGACATCAACACATCCCTCACACAGAAATATGCAACAATACCTTCTCCATGACACCCAACACTAATCTACAACTAATTCAGTATAAAATTATTCACGGAACACACATTACACAATATAAAAAACCTGCATGCACTCTGGGAATGCACCCCCGTACAGACATTCTGGAACACCGTAACCCACAAACTCACAGACATCCTGGGCTGCAGTGTCCCCCCCCCCCCCCCCCTCCCCTCGCTCTGTATACTCGGTCTGACCACAACACTTCAAGTCCCAAGAAAACAATCCTACAAAACTGGCAATCTAAAAACTTTCATCTTCACTCTCTACTGCTCATCATGATGGAGACATACAGACCCTCACGGAAACCTGGAAACCCTTCATAAACTACTTGAATATCACTAAAACATTTACAACAGCTTAATGACAATGATAACCCAACACAAGCCACTCTCTGTCTGCCACCAAACACATCCTGATTGACTCCAAACAACTGCAGCATGCGCACACACACACACGCACACACACACACACATGAACTCACACAAACATAAACATGCTCATACACAAACACGTACAAACATAAACTTACACATAAACTAACAAAATGACTCTGAGAGGTTGTATCGCAGTCATTTTACTACCCATACCCACAACAAAATTGCTTTTTCTATCTTCTTTTTATTTAATTTTATTTCGACACCTGGTCTGTTGACTGCCTCTGCCGATACCAGCACTACGAATATTTAATTGGGGTATACATATCACAATCACAATAACATAATAACAATAACAATAACATAATAACAATAACAATCATAATAATTGGGAGAAACAAAAAACACACACAAACATATATATATACATACACACAAACTCCACATGAACACAGATTATTGTCACCAGCGGGGATGGTTGCCAGAGGGAACACTCTTTTGCGCCACCCCTGCTTGATTTTTAATGCATCAGTCAGGACACTGCATCCTAGCACCTCAACACCACACCCTTCATAATATGTCTATCACATCCCTCCCAGGACTGTTCAGAACCTTTTTGAGTGGTGGAATCAGCGGCAGGACCAGTCTGCTTTACTTCATTTTATTTTTATTTAACCATATCTCTCTCTCACACACACACACACACACACACACCATTCTTGTGCATCTCTAAATCCCCTCCCCTCCTCCCCACAATGCTACCGTACAGGAGTTTGTATAATCTATATTTCTTTGTAGGTAATTACTGTATATGTTTTCTCTGGATGTAACTACTATATGTACTCCCCTATCACTGGGTGTTTAAAACTCAATAAAAATATAAAAAATAAAGGCTTGGTCCTTGTCCTGGTCTTAGGTCTTTGTCCTGGTCTTAGGTCTTGGCCGGGGTCTAAGGTCTTGGCCGGGGTCTTACTGTAGGTCTTGGCCCGGGTCTTAGGTTTTGGTCCTGGTCTTAGGTCTTGGGGATCTACAGAGTTTGTGGATCTTCCTCCCTGAAGCAGAAGCTCAGACTGAGTTTTGAGAAGAACAGTTCAAACGTGGACCTGAAGGGGGCGGAGCTACATGACATCACAGGTGAGGGGGCAGGGCTACAGGTGAGGGAGCGGAGCTACAGGTGAGGGGTGCTCTTCTCCCGCTTGGTCTGAAAACCTGCCGGCCTTGGGTATTGCTGTACATGAGTTCTGTAGTATTTCTGACTGCACTAGTACTTGTAGTACTTGTGGTGCTTTTACAGGCATACTGAAGGATTTCCTCCGGGAGCTGCCGTCACCACTTGTCACTCTGTCTCTGTGTGAAGAGGTGAGGCGGGTCATGATGTCTGACCCCTGTGTGACCCTGGACCCAGTGCAGCTGCTGCAGTGTCTGCCCCCAGTGGAGAGAGTGAGTACTGCATCACATACTGTGTACTGTACACATGACTCTACAGCGCTCTAGAGGATAGAGAGAGAACTGCAGTGTTGTGGAACAGTAGGAATGAGGAGCACACCAACATAAGAGAATATGAAATATAACTCTTAAGCGTTTCAAAAGTGTGAAGGATAAAGTTAAATATATTTATGAAGTACTCAACAGTATCATGAATACACTGTGATACTAGTCTGGTTTCCTAGGCGACCCTGTCCTTCCTCCTGGACCACCTTGCTCTTGTCTGCAGCTTCAGCTCCTTCAACAAAATGTCCGCCCAGAATGTCGCTGTGTGCTTCGGACCCGTCCTTTTCATTCAAACTGACCAATGGGAACACAGTACCACACTCACGGGCCAATCAGGGCAGGGCCTAGACTTCAAACAGCACATTGAGGCTTTACACTTTCTGCTGACACACTGGCCAGGTACGGACGCCACAAGAACACTCTAACAACATGCTAACAACACACTAACAATCCACAAGCAATAGGCTAAACCGCTAACAAGTTAATGAGATGTTAACACATGCTAACAACATATTTAGCATACACTTAAAAGAAAACATGCTAAGAACAAGTTAACAACATGCTAACACTCTAAGAACAAGCTAAGAACACGTTAGATACTAATAAAAGGGAAAGTGATGAAGACAGATCAAACTGACATTGTATGTTTGTGTTAGTCCCACCTCTTCAAGGCCCCGCAGAGGAAGTGGATGGGGTCTTACCTCAGCACAGGTGCAGGGGGCGGAGCCTGAGGCACAGACAGGCCGGAGACTGGAGCTGCTACCACCAGAGGGCGCCAGGTCAGTCTACTCTAATCAGCTCCTCTGTCAGCTTCAGTCTCCTCCCCTGTCAGACTCCTCCTCCTGTCAGTCTGCTCCTCTGTGAGTCTGCTCCTCCTCTGTCTCCTCCTCTGTCAGTTTATCAGTTTCTTTCAGCTTGTGTCTCTTCTGTTTCAGCTGCGGTCGATGAGGAGTCGGTTCTGGATGTTGAAGCTCCATTCAACTGTCGCCTGAGTCTGAAGGATTTTGATTTACTGATCCAAGACTTTCACATGCGACTGAACCAGGTCTGAACCGGGTCTGAACCAGGTCTTTTGCACTTTGTCATTGTACCACAGTAGTGATAATATTTAATATCCTCCTTAACACACACACAGACACACACGCACACAGACACACACGCACACAGACACACACGCACACAGACACACACGCACACAGACACACACACACACACACACACACACACACACACACACACACACACACACACACACACACACACACACACACAAACACAGAGCAGTGATGTTAAATGTTGATTATAAAAGCAGTGTGCACTCCCACCACAGCAGGGCAGCCTTCTTCTTCTGGTTTTATAAGGTTTTATAATAATAACAATATTAATAATAATGTTGAAAATGATAATAATAATGATAATTGTTCTTATGTGTTTCTTGTTTGCACTTGATTCAAGCCAAAGACTGAAATGTCTCAAAATAAAATAAAAACTTTTCCACCTGAGATTCAACTGTTTCATTCAATTATCACAAATACAGATGTCACACAGGCGTAACTCAGGTGTATTGTGAACTCTTAACACAGGTGTAATGTGAGGCCTGTAACACAGGTGCAATGTGAGGTCTGTAACACAGGTGTAATGTGAGGTCTGTAACACAGGTGTAATGTGAGGTAGAGCCCTGCACGGGCCTATTATCTGGGCCCGAGCCCGGCCCTGGCCCGAGGGGGTGGCGCCCCAGCCCGGCCCGGCCCGATATGGTTTCTCAATTTTCAGGCCCGAAACCCGCATCAAGCCCGCCTTTTTTTTTTTTTTTGTAACCTCCCATAACAATGTTTAAGCGTAGTATATAGTGCCGCGCACTGATATGAACGCAGACTTAGCTAGAGGGCGGAGTTATACATGGTAGTGATGTGTTGCAATGAGTTCTGTGTGTGCGGAGTGGTGCAGAGTGAACATCTGTATGATACACAGCTGTATGATACACAGCTGTATGATACACAGCTGTATGATGCCCAGATGCTGCAACACACCTGTAAGTAACGCTGTGTGTCGTCAATGACAACACTACACAGAACAACAAACACTACAGCGTGATAGAACGCTATATTCAGTGGGTGTGTTCGTAAATGTATTCTGCCGCTCTGAAAATGAAGAGCCCGAGCCCGGCCCGTGTCCGAGGTCATTATGCGGTCATCGGCCCGAAGCCCGGCCCTCGGGCTGTCGGGCCGTCGGGGCCCTCGGGCCAAGGGCTCAAGTGCAGGGCTCTAATGTGAGGTCTGTAATACAGGTGTAATGTGAGGTCTGTAATACAGGTGTAATGTGAGGTCTGTAACACAGGTGTAATATGAGGTCTGTAATACAGGTGTAATATGAGGTCTGTAATACAGGTGTAATGTGAAGTTCTGAAGGTGGAGGTGGTCGGCAGCTGTTCACCAACAGCAGGAACCATAATCCACATACGCCTAGTTTCACATTAGAGTGTATGTTCATTATAGGAGCCATAAGTTGAATATAACAGTGGGCTGTGATTTGATTGGGTGTTGTGCCGGGTGTGGGTCACGTGGTTACTGGGGCGGTGGCTACTTAGTTCTCACCTCTGTTTTATGAATGAAATCGGTAGTAGAGAGGGGGGACTGGGTCGCCGTAGTTTTTGTTGACCGTTCGTTTGTGTTTGTTTCTTTCGTACCTTCGTTTTTCTCACTGTTTCGTTCAATATCAAGACGTCTACGTTATGTTATCACCTCCGTGTTTCTTTTCATTAAAACGCCATCAAACTTAATCCCTGACAAAGTGTGCTCTGTGACAGCCAAGCAGCGCGTCATACAATTAGACGAACCCGGTTTCTTCTCTCCAGCGGCAATAGGCACTAGAGTCGCTACATTCATGTCCCAATGTTGTGTCAGATTATTGTGCATAGAGTTTTGGGACAATGAGCCAAATGTTGCTAAATGTTTATTTATTTATTGATTTATTTAATAGGGAGAAGTGTACAAAATCAACATGTGAAACACTACAACATTTATAGCTAAGACTAATTTGCAATGTCCGTCCCTAGGAGGGCTTTTAACACGATTAAAAACAACACATGTTACATAATAGCGTTCACATTATACACACACAGGTGTTCTCCAACTCATTCATGATCACACAACTGGTTTGTTGCTTCTGTTTGTGTTTAAAACCAGCTCGTGTGATGGACCTCGAGGGATCTACAGTATGAGGGCCCTCAAGACAGCAGGGGCTCGAATGTGTTCGAGCAATAGGAAAACATCTGTAATACAGGGTCAACTTGGTGTAATGTGAGGTCTGCTTATTTAACACACTGAAGAAAGTGTGTTAAGTAATTATCAGATGTGCTATGCTAACATTTGTGTTTCAGATGTGCTATGCAAACGCAGAGGAGCTCCTCTGAAAAAAAATATAAAACAGGGTCAACTTGGGGAACTCTTTAACATCTGCAGTACTCATCTGGATTTTCATGGTACTGGGGACTCTCTGGTCTCTCTCTGGTCTTGTTTGCGATGTTTTATTGGAGTAATTAGAGCCAATCAGATCAGATCTGTGATAAATAAACCTCATAAAGTTGACCTTCAGTCTTAGATAAACACACATTCACTCTCAGACAGAGGACAGGTGAGACCTGCTTTAGTCCTGATTTAGACCTGCTTTAGACCTACTTTAGATCTGCTTTAGATCCACTTTAGACCTGCTTTAGATCTGCTGTAGTCCTGCTTTAATCCTGCTTTAGACCCTCTTTTGTCCTGCTTCAGACCTGCTTTAGTCCTGCTTTAATCCTGCTTTAGACCTGCTTTAGACCTGCTTTAGTGCTGCTTTAGACCTGCTTTAGACCTGCTTTAGTCCTGCTTTAGACCTGCTTTAGTCCTGCTTTAGTGATGCTTTAGACCTGCTTTAGACCTGCTTTAGACCTGCTTTAGTCCTGCTTTAGTCCTGCTTTAGACCTGCTTTAGACCTGCTGTTTTGTAAACTGTGACAGAGTTTTGCTTCAGCCCACTCCTTTTGTGCAATACTGTTCAAATAAATAGAGATGGATGATCCTTGTGGATTAGGAATAGGAGTATGTGTACTTGTACTACAGTGTATGTACTTTTATTACAGTATGTGTACTTGTACTACAGTATGTGTACTTGTACTACAGTGTGTGTACTTGTACTTTATGGTAAGTGGACTTGTACAGAATGGCCTCCAGCCGCAGCTGCTGTGGAGCTCCTCTCCTGCAGGTGGTGCTGTCAGTGATGCTGCTTCTGATGACTGTAGCCTGTGTGGGACTCATCATCGCCATGGCAACAGGCCCAAATACAGGTGCTACTACTGATACTGCTAATACTACCGCTACTGCTACTGCTACTATACTACTACTATACTACTACTAATACCGCTGCTTACTGCCCCCAGATCCTCCCCCTCCACCCCCTCCTCCCCCCTCATACCTCATTGGTCTGGGACGAGCTGACTGCACTGGCCCCCCTGCTGAGGTCCCACTGGTAAGGTCATCTCATACTCCATAAAATAGGTGTGACACAGGTGTGACACAGGTGTGACACAGGTGTAATGTGAGGTCTGTTTATTTAACACACACTAAAGTGTGTTACATAAGTATCAGATGGGCTATGCTAACATGTGTGTTTCAGATTTGTTACACGAACATGTGTGTTTCAGATGGCTATGCTAACATCTGTGTTTCAGATTTGTTACAACATGTGTGTTTCAGATGGCTATGCTAACATCTGTGTTTCAGATTTGTTACGCTAACATGTGTGTTTCAGATGGCTATGCTAACATCTGTGTTTCAGATTTGTTACACTAACATGTGTGTTTCAGATTTGTTATGCTAACATGTGTGTTTCAGATGGCTATGCTAACATCTGTGTTTCAGATTTGTTACGCTAACATGTGTGTTTCAGATGGCTATGCTAACATCTGTGTTTCAGATGGGCTACGCAAACGCGGAGCAGACGGCGGCAGGTTTACACACGCGTCTCTACAGCAGAGCGTTCATCGTTGACGACGGTCGGAGACGAGTCGTGTTTGTATCAGTGGATGTTGGTATGGTGTCACAGAGACTTCGGCTTGAGGTGTGACTCTGACTCTGACCGCTCCTCTGACTCTGACTCTGACTCTGACTCTGACTGACTCTGACTCTGACTCTGGCTCTGACTCTGACTCTGACTCTGACTCTGACTGACTCTGACTCTGACTCTGACTGACTCTGACTCTGACTCTGACTCTGACTCTGACTCTGACTGACTCTGACTCTGACTCTGACTGACTCTGACTCTGACTCTGACTCTGACTCTGACTCTGACTCTGACTGACTCTGACTCTGACTCTGACTCTGACTCTGGCTCTGACTCTGACTGACTCTGACTCTGACTCTGACTCTGACTCTGACTCTGACTCTGACCGCTCCTCTGACTCTGACTCTGACTCTGACTCTGACTCTGACTCTGACTCTGACTGACTCTGACTCTGACTCTGACTCTGACTCTGACTCTGACTCTGACTCTGACTGCTCCTCTGACGAGTCCTTTCGAGTTTGGTTCCCTTGTGTGTGTAAGTGTTTGTGTTCCAGCTTTGTGTCTCTGTGTGTAGGCGTTGTGGGGTCCCAAACAGAGTTTCGGGTCCTGTGTTTGTGCGTGTGTGTGCTACAGTTATGTGTCTGTTGCAGGTGTTGCAGGGTCTCAAACAGAGGTTCGGGTCCCTGTACACCCGTGAGAACGTGCTGCTCAGTGGGACACACACACACAGTGGACTTGGAGGATACTTTCAATACACACTGTTCATGCTCAGCACCAAGGGATACATCAAGGCATCAGTACAACCCCTAGTGCAGGGCATCATCAGGGTATGTCCTACTGCTGCTGCTACTGCTCCTGCTGTTGTTTCAGAGTAAAGTAGTCTTCTTCTCTTGTTTCAGAGTATAGCAGTCGCTCACAGAAACATGAGATCTGGGAGGATCTTCCGAAACTCTGGACCTCTGCAGCAGAACAGCCTGAACCGCAGCCCACAGTCCTACAGCAACAACCCCCAAGAGGAGAGAGAGAGGTGAGGAGGGGAGAGGGAGAGAGAGGCGAGGAGGGGGGCAGAGACAGGGAGAGAGAGGTGAGGAGGGGGAGAGGGGAGAGAGAGGTGAGGGGGGGGCAGAGACAGGGAGAGAGAGGTGAGGAGGGGGAGAGGGGAGAGAGAGGCGAGGAGGGGGGGCAGAGACAGGGAGAGAGAGGTGAGGAGGGGAGAGGGGAGAGAGAGGTGAGGGGGGGGGCAGAGACAGGGAGAGAGAGGTGAGGAGGGGGAGAGGGGAGAGAGAGGTGAGGGGGGGGGCAGAGACAGGGAGAGAGAGGTGAGGAGGGGGAGAGGGGAGAGAGAGGTGAGGGGGGGGGGGGGGGGTAGAGACAGGGAGAGAGGTGAGGGGGGGGGGGGGAAGAGACAGGGAGAGAGAGGTGAGGAGGGGGAGTGTGGCTCTGACCTCTGACTCTGACCCAGGTTCCCTGATGACACGGACAAACAGGTGACAGTTCTGAAGTTCACTGATGCTGACGGCGACGGCCTCGGAGTCCTCAGGTCTGCCTCTTCTTCACCTGTTTTTTATTAATGTGGAGGTCATGTGACTACCCTCATCTCTCTCCTCCTCCTCCTCCTCCTCCTCCTCCTCCTCCTGCTCCTCCTGCTCCTCCTCCTCAGCTGGTTTGCAGTCCATGCCGTCAGTATGAACTACACTAATCGTCTTGTGAGCAGCGACAACATGGGACTGAGCTCCATCATAATGGAGACAGAGAAGAACCAGGACCTGCCAGGAGAGGTACTACTGCTGCTGCTGCTACTGCTACTGCTACTGCTGCTGCTGCTGCTACTGCTACTGCTACTGCTACTGCTGCTGCTACTGCTGCTGCTACTGCTGCTGCTGCTACTGCTACTGCTGCTGCTGCTGCTGCTGCTACTGCTACTGCTGCTGCTGCTGCTGCTGCTACTGCTACTGCTGCTGCTGCTGCTGCTGCTACTGCTACTGCTACTGCTGCTGCTGCTGCTGCTGCTGCTGCTACTGCTACTGCTGCTGCTGCTGCTGCTGCTACTGCTACTGCTGCTGCTGCTGCTACTGCTGCTACTACTACTACTACTACTGCTGCTGCTGCTGCTACTGCTACTGCTGCTGCTACTGCTACTACTGCTGCTACTACTACTGCTACTGCTGCTACTGCTACTACTACTGCTACTACTACTGCTACTGCTGCTACTGCTACTACTACTGCTGCTGTTACTGCTATTACTGCTACTTCACTTCACTTGTATACTTGTAGTTGTGGTGTACTTAGTTGTGGTGCACTTGTACTTGTACCTCAGGGCCGGTTTGTGGCTGCCTTCTGCAGTTCTAATCTGGGAGATGTGACTCCCAACACCAGGGGGCCCTACTGCAGCAACACAGGCCTGAAGTGTGACTACCTGAACAGTTCCTGTCCTGTGGGGGGGGTGAGTCATGTGACATCACACTGACACATGTGACATCACACTGACACATGTGACATCACACTGACACATACGACATCACACACCAAGAGCCATAGTTGCCAATTGGTGGAGCCGCTAATACATAACTATGGTAACTATGGTAACTGTGGTGGTAACATTATTTTCTTTCTCTGGTCTCTCTTTCTGGTCTCTCTCTCTGGTCTCTTCAGACTAAGTTCTGTCAGGGTCTGGGTCCTTCAGACGACATGTTTGAGAGCACATGGATCATCGCTGAGAACATCTATAAGAAGACCAAGGTCGGCCCAGGACTGAGACCGGGACTGAGACCGGGACTGAGACCGGGACCGAGACCGGGACCGAGACCGGGACCGAGACCGGGACTGAGACCGGGACCGAGACCGGGACTGAGACCGGGACTGAGACCGGGACTGAGACCGGGACCGAGACCGGGACCGGGACCGAGACCGGGACCGAGACCGGGACCGAGACCGGGACTGAGATGTACTAATCTATTACACCGGCTGTTGTACTACTATCTATTCTACAGTAGAGCTATAATACTGCTGTACTCTGTAGGAGCTGTATTACTGCAGTACTCTGTACTCTGTAGGAGCTGTGTTAGCTCTGTATTACAGCTCCTGCAGTAATACAGGAGTTGTAATACTGCAGTACTCTGTGTACTACAGGAGCTGTATTACTGCAGTACTCTGTATACTACAGGAGCTGTATTACTGCAGTACTCTGTGTACTACAGGAGCTGTATTACTGCAGTACTCTGTATACTACAAGAGCTGTATTACTGCAGTACTCTGTGTACTACAGGAGCTGTATTACTGCAGTACTCTGTATACTACAAGAGCTGTAATACTGCAGTACTCTGTATACTACAGGAGCTGTATTACTGCAGTACTCTGTATACTACAAGAGCTGTATTACTGCAGTACTCTGTGTACTACAGGAGCTGTATTACTGCAGTACTCTGTATACTACAGGAGCTGTATTACTGCAGTACTCTGTGTACTACAGGAACTGTATTACTGCAGTACTCTGTGTACTACAGGAGCTGTATTACTGCAGTACTCTGTATACTACAGGAGCTGTATTACTGCAGTACTCTGTGTACTACAGGAACTGTATTACTGCAGTACTTTGTGTACTACAGGAGCTGTATTACTGCAGTACTCTGTATACTACAGGAGCTGTATTACTGCAGTACTCTGTATACTACAGGAGCTGTATTACTGCAGTACTCTGTGTACTACAGGAACTGTATTACTGCAGTACTCTGTGTACTACAGGAGCTGTATTACTGCAGTACTCTGTATACTACAGGAGCTGTATTACTGCAGTACTCTGTGTACTACAGGAACTGTATTACTGCAGTACTCTGTATACTACAGGAGCTGTATGTGTCTGCGGTGGAGGAGGTTTTGGGCCCGTTACACTTCGCTCATCAGTGGATCGACATGAGCAACGTGAGCGTGAGGCTCAACAGCACTCACACGGTAATACTGCATTTACAACAGTACTGCAGTAGTACTGTAGTACTTCTACAGTACTGTAGTATTTCATCCCCCTCAGGTCCGCACCTGTAAACCTGCGCTCGGACACAGTTTTGCTGCTGGAACCACAGACGGAGGAGGAGACCTGAACTTTACTCAAGGTACTGTACTTTATGCTGTACCTGTGCTGCAGTTACTCTGTACCTTTGCTGCAGTAGTAGTACTCTGTACCTGTGCTACAGTAGTAGTACTCTGTACCTGTGCTGCAGGTTCCGTGGAAGGAGACCCGTTCTGGGACGGGATCAGAGATGCTCTGCTCGGAGCTCCGTCCAATGAGACTCAGGACTGTCACCGACCCAAACCCATTCTGTTCAGCACCGGAGAAGTACGAGTACTGTGAAGTCTATTTAGTAGAAAGATAGATACTTTATTGATCCCCTGTAGGAGAAATCCAGGAGTCCAGTAGCAGCAAAAAGTAATAATCAGCAACAGTCCTTCAGGTCACAGCAGCAGAGGTGGAGGAGCATCTGGGTTCAGACCATTTTCTCTGCTCTAGTCAGTGGGGGAGGGTCCCGGCTCAAAAGTGGCCAAAATGACGTGCGCTGACATGCTGCAATACCACCCTGGGCCGATGAGCGTGGACCCGTAATAAGAATTAGCCAATGCTAACACATAGCATCTTCTGACCTCTCAAAAACACCTTTACAGGATGGTCCAAAAGTTGGCTATTGGCCCAAAGCTCCGTTCCACATGTGTGTCAATGCTGAGGGGAGGGAATTTTTTTTGGACCACTCTAGTTTACTTGCTGTGAATTTTTGTAGTCACTCGTTTAAATGAATGGGGCTCGTGCCGGCTGACGCATGCGCAGATGCGTTTTTCCACATTTTCCAGGCCAGCCCCTGCGGCCATTTTGAATCCCTCCATGAAAGCCCAATATTTGGCCCATTAGTTCGAACGGCGGAGAAAGGTGTGACTATGTCCATTAATATATACAGTCTATGGCTCTAGTCCAAAGTAAAATGCTGAATGCTTCTTTTGCATTTTTCAAAAAGTTAGCATTCCTCCAGTATTCCTCCAGGTCTGGACCAATGTAAAACCATGAACACTTTACTGCAGCAACATCTCTGGTAGAATAAAGCAATAAAAATAAAAATTGTAAAGCACAAAACAACAACTGTTTCAGAGCTACTTAGGACATGCAGCTGTTTCCAGCGCATTCAAAAGTAAACACATTTGAATGCGTACTGTACTGTAGTACTGTACTGTAGTACTGTACGACAGTAGTAGTATAGTACTACAGCACTCGTACTGCCTTGTTGATTAGGTGTTTGTTTACAGATGTCAAAGCCATTGCCGTGGCACCCGACCATCATCGATGTGCAGATCCTGGTTTTGGGGTCACTGGCCATTTTAGGAATCCCAGGAGAAATCACGTAAGTCACATGACCACATCTATGACATCACAGAACTAGTCATGGTCCTGTGTCTGTCTGTGTGCGTGTGTGTTTTTACTTTTGTGTTCAACCGTGACACACACCTCTTCTTTCAGGACCATGGGAGGACGCAGACTCAGAAAAGCTGTCAGACAGGTACACACACACACAGGTACACACAAAAATGTAAACACAGAGAGACGCACACACACACTTTAGTGTGTTTTCAGGAGCTGCAGAGCGGAGGATCCTTCAAAGACGTTGAAGTCGTCGTCGCTGGTTTGAGCAACGTCTACACGCATTACATCACCACCTATGAGGAGTACCAGGTGAGTGTGACATCACCAGTACCTGTGTGTTATATAGTATAATAGTAAACCATATGTGCACCAACACCATGTGGGCATCAGGTGCAGAGGTACGAAGGAGCCTCCACCATCTACGGCCCCCACACGCTCAGTGCCTACATCCAACAGTTCACCAGACTGAGCCGAGCCATCAGAGAGGTGAGCTCTTCTCCTCTGGTCCAGGTCTCTCTCTCTGGTCTACGACTCTGTCTCTGGTCTCACTTGTCACTATCTCTGGTCTCACTGATCTGTCTGGTCTAGGACTCGGTCTCTGGTCTGGACTTGGTCTCTCTGTTCTAGGACTCGGTCTCTGGTCTGGACTCGGTCTCTCTGGTCTGGACACGGTCTCTCTGGTCTGGGAATCAGTCTCTGGTCTGGACTCGGTCTCTCCAGTCTAGGACTCAGTCTCTGTTCTCACTGGTCTTTCTGGTCTAGGACTCGGTCTCTGGGCTGGACTCGGGTCCGGAACCTCCGTTCGTGTCCAAACTCTTCAGTCTTCTTCCTGCTGCAGCCGTCGACAAGAAACCAGAAAACAGCAGCTTTGGGGACGTGTTGGACCAGGTCCACGGGGTGTACAGGCAGGTGGGTCTGAACTAGGACTGAACCGAATCTGGACTGGGACTGGACCAGGACTGGACCAGGTGTGTACCAGGTCTGACATTTGTTTCAGGGAGATGTGGCGTCAGTGACGTTTGTGGCAGGAAACCCTCGACACTCGGAGATGGTGAGTCACATAGTACAGGTTACATGGTTCAAAGTGTCACTTTCCTCATGTGCCTCTTGTCATGTGACATCACAGCCAGACCACACATTTGCCGCAGTTGAAAAGTTTGACAACTTGACGCAGAAGTGGGACCTGGTCTACACCGATGCATCATGGGAAACCAGGTGAGGCCCCTCCCCTTCTAAATGCTCATCCTGATCCTCTCTTATTCCATTAATCCTGAGTGTCCTCAGATTCCACTGGCTGAAGGGAGAGGGTCGTCGTAGCAACGCCACAGTGCAGTGGTTCATCCCTGACACTGCCCCCAGTGGATGGTATCGGATACTGCACGCTGGCCATTACAAAGAGATCAAGAACTTTAGACCAATCATCAAGGAGTACAGCGGCCAATCAGAGGCCTTCAGGGTGGTGGACAACTACTACACAACCAGGACCTGAGCAACACAACAGTCACACAATAACAACACAACAGATTTATTTCAGAGTGTGTCCACTGGAGCTTCTCCTTGGATCATAATCCAACATGGCGGTGTTCTTTTCATGTATTATTCCATTTCCTGTTTCTCTGATCTGTTTTAGGTAAATTGACAATTTTATGTTTTTATTCAAGTGTAGTTTATGTAATGATCTCAAAGTGTGTTTCTGAGACCACTGTGCTACACAAATAAACTGCCGGGATTTTACTGGTTTGATTTAATGTGTCCTTTGTTTCATGATGAACTTTGAACTTTTAAGAAATAGAGACATCAGGTGGTAACGGTTAAATACAGACTGAGGACAGATTCTACACAGAGTGTTCTGTTGCACTTTTAATACAGTAAAAAACAGTATTTTACATAAAATATAGAATTTACAAAGTTAGAAAGACTTTAAACTAAAACAGATTCCGCACAAAGTGTCCTGATGACATCACTTCCTGCTGGAGCGCAGCTGTCGTTTGATGGTAAAGTGGTGGCTCTCCTTCTCCTCTGCGCCTCCTGCTGCGTCCTGTGACAGAGTGAGTCATGTTTATGTATATAGCATGTTTCACAGATAGAGTTGGATTTGTTTCCTCCCCTTTCCTTCGTCATCAGGGCGACTGACTTAGGGGGAGGTCATTAGGGGGACTCACCGTGGGGGAGGTCATTAGAGGGATGGATTCAGTCTTGTAGAGTTTTCTTCGTCCGCGTTTGAGTTTAGAGCTCTTTCCTTCAAGCACAAGCTCCACCAGGTTCTGAGCTGCAGGGGGAGGAGCCACAGAAGGGGTATGGTTAACATGAGCTTATTATAACATGCAGCAGCAAGTAGTAGTAATTGTAGCAGCAGTTGTAGCAGCAGCAGTAATAGTGGTAGTACTAGTAGTAGCAGCAGCAGTAGTAGTAGCAGCAGCAGTAATAGTAGTAGTAGCAGGAGTATCAATAGTAGTAGTAGTAGTAGTAGGTGTCTCACCTGCTGAGCTGATCACAGTTGGAGACTTCTGCAGTATTTGTCCTAGTTTGATCCGTGGCCGCTCCTTCACAGAGTCACCCTGAAACAACATCAGGAGATAGTGTCTGTGTAAAGCTGTCATCAGAAGATAGTGTCTGTGTAGAGCTGTCATCAGGAGCTAGTGTCTCTGTGGAGCTGCCATCAGGAACTAGTGTTTGTGTAGAGCTAGCATCAGGAGCTAGTGTCTCTGTGGAGCTGTCATCAAGAGCTAGCACCAGGAGCTACCGTCTCTATAGAGCTAGCATCAGGAACTAGTGTCTCTGTAGTGCTGCCATCAGGAACTAGTGTTTGTGAAGAGATAGCATCAGGAGCTTGTGTCTCTGTAGAGCTGTCATCAGGAGCTAGTGTTTCTAAGAGCTAGCATCAGGAGCTAGTGTTTGTGTAGAGCTGTCATCAGGAACTAGTGTCTCTGTAGAGCTAACATCAGGAGCTAGTCTATCTGTAGAGCTGCCATCAGGAGCTAGTGTACCTGATGACAATTACCTGTTTGCAAAGGCCTCGGTCTCTGTTCCTCTTGTTCTCACTGAAGATTAAACCCTGGGGAGAGACACATGTCAGACTGTGCAACGAACACAGAGCTGTCATACACTGTTTAGATAGTGTTTGCGCTAGTGTTGGTCTCACCTGGACCTCACTGCTCTTCCTCTTCCTCCCTGTGGTCCTCGGAGTGCTCCTCTGTTGTGAGGTCTGTGGAGACGAGTTCTAAACACAGCAAAAAGTCAAACAATAGAAAAGATGTGTTCTGAAGCAGCTGCCATCGCTGTGACTGACCTGGAGATGGTTCTGCAACTCCCTAAACCTCTGCTCCTCCTTCTCCCTCATGTTTTGTTTTCTGACATTTCTTCTTTGCTGCAATTTGAAGAGCTCTTCTTTAAGTTCCTCAACCACTGTGACTGTCCTTTGCACCTCCTGCTGAGGGATGTTCTCCTGCTCCTCCAGCTGATGAGGACTGATCTCCTGCGCCTCCACCTGCTGTGAGATGTTCTCCTGCTCCTCCAACTGATGGGGACTGATCTCCTGCGCCTCCACCTGCTGTGAGATGTTTTCCTGCTCCTCCAGCTGATGAGGACTGGTCTCCTCTTCTGGATCTTTGAGCTGTTCTCTCAACCGCTCCAATTCTGAAATAAGATCCAACATTACTGTCACGTGTATGTCCTCACTAGTCTGCGTCACTGTCACGTGTGTGTCCTCACAAGTCCGCATTACTGTCACGTGTGTGTGTCCTCACAAATCTGCATTACTGTTACATTGGTGTGTCAGGGTCAGGGGTCACCTGTTCTCAGCGTCTCCAGGTGAGTGTGAGCTTCAGCCACAGTCTGGTCTCGGTGACAGAGCGTCACCTGCAGATCTGAAACCAGAGGGACATGTGATTGTGGAGAGACTATCAACAACAACAAAACCAGGGTTAGTGTGAGTAGCATGTGGCCCACACAGACCATGTGGGTTTTGCCAGGGTGACGCACCTCTGTTCCGGTGTTGCAGTTTTTCATGCTCTTCATTCATAGCTTCAAACGCAGCTTTCTGATTGGCCGAGTCCCTCCTCAGCTCTTCACAAACTCGCTCACTGCAAAAGGAGAAACTGTCAGTCTTAAAGGAGCTATACCCGTTTCTGCAGTGTTTTTGAATGTTTAGCACCACCCCCCCAACTCGCTCACAGGCTTATCATTTCCCCTACGCTCTCATCCCACGGAGCCATCTAGTTTTATTTGCGATCTGATACATATGTCAGCATCAGCGCAACTTCTCGTAAGCTGTACAACAATCACTGATGAAATTGTACAAAAGCAACGCACTGCTAACAAAATATATAACTGAAAGATTACCGCTAGTTTCGCGTCCAAATGTAGTCCGAGCATAGATAGTCCGAGCATAGATAGTCCGAGCATAGATAGTCCGAGCATAGATAGTCCGAGCATAGATAGTCCGAGCATAGATAGTCCTAGCATAGATAGTCCGAGCATAGATAGTCCGAGCATAGATAGTCCGAGCATAGATAGTCCTAGCATAGATAGTCCTAGCATAGATAGTCCTAGCATAGATAGTCCGAGCATAGATAGTCAGAGGCGGTCTGCACCCGCAGGTCTCTCCAGAGGAGACGATGTAAGCTAACACTACATATATTCACCCGGGCTTGATTTCTTCTTTGATCATTTTTTCGCTTTAGTTCCCTCTTCTCTTCCTCACATTTGCGTTTTTTGGGCTGTTTTCCTCTGTATGTAGTTCCAGCCAGAGGAAGCTTGTAACTTTCTGCTAACATGCTGCTGTGTTTAGCAGCGCTGTAGAGGCTAGAGGACGCAGCCTCGTTCTGTGAGTGGAGGAGAGCGAGCGTCACGCTAAGTTACTACTCAGCACTTTTTACAGTCTGAATTCATACACAGCTGAATCAATGAGCTCAAGTTTTCAATTAAATTACGGATTTTAATACAACTTGTATGTAGTAATAAACATTTATTTTTTTATTTTATTTTGTGTGTGTGTGATTTTAATGTTTTAATTGTGATACTGGTGTTTATGTAATGATATGTGCCTTGGGTGATGTGGACTGAAGCACTTTGTGTTGCCCCGTGTATGAAAGGCGCTCTACAAATAAAGGTTGATTGATTGACAGTAATAGTAGTAGCAGTAGCAGTAGTAGCAGAAGAAGTAGCAGTAGTAGCAGAAGCAATAGTACCTCTGTTGCAGTCTTTCTGTGAGGATTATAGTTTCCTGCTTCAGACGATCCACTTCATGCAAGACTGCCTCCTGCAGGAAACAGACAAGGACAGGGTTACCGTAGGGATGAGGACAGGGTTACCGTAGGGACGAGGACAGGGTTACCGTAGGGACGAGGACAGGGTTAACACAGGGACGAGGACACACAGAACTCACTCTTTGATCTCGTCTCTGGTTGGTCATCTCCTCTCTCAGTGATTGGACAGTACGGTCACTCTCCTCTGATTGGCTCTGAAGGCGGGACTTAGCACAGGTCAGTTCCTCTGATAGGCTGTCGGACCTGTCAGTCTGAGAGCGCAACTGCAACTTCAAATCTGTGAGCTGAAGAGACAAATTTCAGTGATTCCTCTCCCCCCTCGCTCTCCCCTCTTTCCCGTCTCTCTCCCACTCTGCCGCACTCACCTGGTTGTGTAGTTGGAACATGCCGTTTACCAGAGCTTTATTTTCTTTGTTCAAACGAGAGGTTTCCATCTGCTGCGACTCCAGAGACAGAAGCACAGACTCACAGAGAGGACACGCCTCTGTCAACAACAACATAAACAAATTTGTAAACAATAACATGAAACATTCCAAACTTGATAAAAGATGTTTTCAGACATAATTCTCCTGAGATCGTTACCTGAGCTCTGTCTCTGAACACTCTGTAGCTCCTCCTGCTTCTTCTGTAGATCCTCCTTCCTCTTCTGTAGCTCCTCCTCCTTCTTCTGTAGCTGCTCCTCTAGTCTACCGATGGTCTGGTTCAGTTCACAGATGGTTTGTTCCTTCTCATCATTCTCCTCATGAAGTCTCCAGATCTCCTCCTCCAGCACCGCTGTGAACACATCACCCCAGTCTTTAAACCATAGATCTAATATAATATCTTGATAGAGTATTACTAGCTTATAGCTGTCCCACCCATCAGCACAGGTGTTGCCCGTGGTACTGAAGACTAAATTCACGTGGGCTATCCCAAAAAATTTCTGATAAAACACAATGTAAACTAAAACAGCTCGACTCAGCTTACAGAGAACCTACAGCTTTCAGAAAGATCGGATTTTGTGGTGTCCATTGTCATGCTGAACTTTTATTCTTGCTAAATCCTTCAGTTTTCTTTAAATACACACTTTATTGCAAGTAATTCTGCCAGTATTTAAAACACTCATTTACACGGACCTCTCCTTTTGGCTGGTGCCGTTTCTTTGTCACTGGAGTTCCTTGGTCGTTTCCTTGCCTCCTCTCCTTGGACCCTTCCCTCCTCTCCATGGTCCCTTGCCTCCTCTCCCTGGTCCCTTGCCTCCTCTCCCTGGTCCCTTGCCTCCTCTCCTTGGTCCCTTGCCTCCTTCAGTTTGGTTCGAACAGATTCCACCACAGAACGCTGCAAAACAAGAAATAGGTTGTTTCAGGTTTGTAGTCTCCAACCTGTGGTCCCTAAACCTCACATCTCTGGTCTAGTCCACAACTGGTCCCCAGTCCTCTGGTCTAGTCCACACCTGGTCTAGTCCACACCTGGTCTAGTCCACACCTGGTCTCTGGTCCCTGGTCCTCACCTCTCTGGTTGCGTCCTCAATGGTCTGGTTCAAAGTGGAGGTGAGTTTCTCGATTACAAGGTCTTTCTGTTGGTTCAGTTCTGAGAGCTTGGTTATCTGCAGTAGGCGCTGCTCCAGAGTCTGTGGACAGGAGATTTAGATTAAACTCCACATGTGCCTCATAATGAGGAACAAGAGCCTCATGATGAGAGAAAAGTGCCTCATGATGAGGAACAAGTGCCTCATGATGAGGGACAAGTGCCTCATGATGAGGGACAAGTGCCTCATGATGGGGGAAGAGACCAGGACAGAGACCAGGAGTGAGACCAGGAGTGAGACCAGGAGTGAGACCAGGAGTGAGACCAGGACAGAGACCAGGACAGAGACCAGATCTGAGCCCAGAACTGAGACCAGGACACCGTTTGTGTGGATTGGATAATCACCTGCTGGAGTTCCTCCAGGTGCTGCTGAGTCGTCTGCTGCTGTTCACGCAGACTGTACATCTCTGGAACACAGTAAACATGCAAATGACTGAATGTCCCCTGAAGTGTGTGTGTGTGTGTGTGTACCTGTTTGTCGTCTTCTTCTCTCGTCTCTGATCTTCTCCATGTCTTGAGCACTGATGATGTCCTCCACCACATCTCCCTCCACCTCCTGGTCACACACAGGGTCAGCGTCAACCTGACCTGACCTGACCTGGTCAGGTTTGGTCATAACAGATCATAACAGGTCAGACCAGACCAGACCATAACAGGCCAGGCCAGGCCAGGCCAGAGCAGACCATAACAGGCCATATTCTGTGTCTCTGGTTTGTACCTGGTTCAAGTCAATGGTTTTGTGCATCAGGTTCTTCAGGATCTCCACACGTTTTTCTGATCTTTCCTCCAGAATCTGTCTCTGCTCCTCCAGACGATCACTACACACAAACACAAACACACACACCGTGTAGCCATAGTAGCAGTAGTAAAAGTAGCAGCAGCAGTAGTAGTAGCAGCGGTAATAGTAGCAGTGGTAGTAGTAGTAGCAGTGGTAGTAGTAGTAGCAGTGGTCGCAGTGGTAGTAGTAGTAGTACCTGTAATCCTTCTCCATTTTGTTGAACAGTTCCATAAACTCTGCACAGACTTCTTCTCTGATCTGAGCCTCCAGGACGAGCCTCCGCGCCTGAGAGTACACACACTACTGCAGTACTCTGTAGTATGTGTACTGTGTAGTACTACAACAGTTGGAGGATAGTACCTGTCCGTCCTCTACTGTGTCGTCTGCAGCTGCCTCTAGAACCGTCTCCTCCATCTGCTCCTCCTCCTCCTCATCATCATCCTCCTCCTCCTCCTCCCCCTCCTCCTCCTCCTCCTCATTCAGGTCTGACACAAACAAACCATATCACACAGAGTGTGTCTCTGTCTCTATCTGTGTGTGTGTGTGAGTGTGTTTGTGTGTGTGTCTCAGTGTGTACCTGTCAGACTCTGCTCCCAGCCTAGACTACTCTTCCTCCCTCTGAAGCGTCGAGCTTCAGCTTCGTCGATGATCAGAGACAGTTCCATGGCCGACCTGTGGGGGGCGCTGTCCCGAGGAGCCGGGGCACTGAGCACCACCACCTGTCAATCACACAGCTGTCAATCACACATCACTCAATCAAAGAGGTGTCTAACATACAGGTGTCAATCAAAGAGGTGTCTAACATACAGGAGGTGTCAATCAGAGGTGTCTAACAAACAGGTGTCAATCAGAGGTGTCTAACATACAGGTGTCAATCAAAGAGGTGTCTAACATACAGGTGTCAAAGAGGTGTCTATCATACTGGTGTCAAAGAGGTGTCTAACATACAGGTGTCTAACATACAGGTGTCTAATACAGGCGTCATTGAGAGGTGGAGTCATTCAGAAAGGAACACGGGAGGAGCAGCAGGAGGAGACAGACGGAGGAGGAGACAGAGGATGAGTCATTTAGAGAGGGGCCCAGGGAGGAGACTGAGGAGGAGGTATCAGGTATCAAACACATCAGAGCACAAGCACAAATATTAGTATCAGCAGCAGTATTATTAACAGTGCTACCATCAACAGTCGTACCATCAGCAGCAGTAACAGTCGTACCATCAACATGAGCAGCAGTGCCATCAACAGCAGTACCATCAGCAGCAATACCATATACAGTCGTACCATCAACAGTCGCACCATAAACAGTCGCACCATGAGCAGCAGTGCCATCAACAGCAGTAACATCAGCAGCAATACCATCAACAGTCGTACCATCAATAGTCGTACCATCAGCAGCAGTACCAGTCATACCATTATTATTTTCGCTATCGAAAATAATAAAAAATAGACAACAAAACAGACAGACACATCAACATTCAAAAAGAACAACAAACAAACAAACAAAAAAGTATATAAATATATGCATTTGAACTCATTAATGTTGAAATGCAATTCAACTTTATTACAGACTCGAGGTCCAATTTAAAACATACAGACAGACAAGACAAAGGAAAATAACAAACAGTTATGACTTTAAAAGACAGCTATACCAGTGTCTCCATATCTTGGACTGCACTCGAGTGGTACTGAACTTGATGTTTTTCAGCGCCAAAATTACTACATTTTCTGATTTATTCAGTCGACAAATGAAACGGTACATAAGGTTCCTCAGCACAGCCTTTAAAGTGTTCACTCACTGACAGTGTGTTCACTCACTGACAAACAGCTCAGATGCACTGGTCCAACGTGGCTTTCCCATAAGCACTCGAAAAGGGTCATTATAGGCCACCTGCAGCTTGTGCAGACTGGTTTTCCAGACTCTTTTACAGTTAGTCCGCAGGTGGGCGTTGGACAGTGGTGTACAGTAGGATTTAAACAGTTGCACTTTGACATCAGTTGAGTGTTGGCCTGCGCATACAGCATCCTGCACTGTCTGTAAATGTCACTGTCATCTGTCATGTCTGCAGTGATGACATGCCCAAGATGCTTTGTTTTTGTTGTTACATTTACCATCAGCAGCTGTACCATCAACAGCAGTACCATAAGCAGTCGTACCATCAGCAGCAGAACCATCAACAGTCATGCCATCAGCATTTGTACCATCAACAGTCATACCATCAGCAGCAGTACAATCAGCAGTTGTACCTTCTGAGCCAGGGCAGAGAACTTGAGCACATTCAGCGTCTCGTCGAAGCTGGTCGAGTTTTGATTGATGTTGACGACCATGGTGACCTTTGACCCGGGGCCACAGAAGAAGAACTGCAGGTAGTGAGTGAGTTTGGACTCTCTGAAGGGGACGAGCTGCTGACCCCTGGAAGACAAGTAAACACCATCAGAACATGAAAACACCAGCAGAACAAGCAAACACAAGTATGGTCCTTATATGCACACACACACACACACACACACACACATTATCAAATTGAATACTTTAAAATTAAACAATCTAGTGAATCTCAACACAGCTGCTGTTATGTACCAAGTCCATAACTACAAGCTCCCAAATTGTATACAAGAAAGGTTTAAACCCAGAGAGACTCACTATAATCTAAGAGGAACTAACATCAAAGGTCGATGTGTCTCAATCAGAGGAGTACATCTTTGGAACAGTCTGGATGACTCATTGAAAAATGCAACATCAGTAAGAACATTCAAAAACAAATATATATGTGTGTATGTGTATGTACAGTATATATGTACATATGTGTGTGTATGTATGTGTATGTGTATACATCTTCTGTTTTTGAGTACAACCTGAGGAACTGTGTATTTAACATTTACTGTGAATATAATTTGTAAACAAATTATTATCGCCTCATTTGCTGTATGCTTGGTGCTATCTCCCATCTCAAGTCCTTAACCTCCCCCGTCCTGGACCCCCTGCAGTTCGCCTACAGAGCCAACAGATCTGTAGATGACGCCATTAACCTAGCCCTCCACCACATCCTACAGCACCTGGACTCCCCGGGGACCTACGCCAGGGTCCTGTTCGTGGACTTCAGCTCTGCCTTCAACACAATCCTGCCATCCCTGCTCCAGGACAAGCTCTCCCAGCTCAACGTGCCCGATTCCACCTGCAGGTGGATCACTGACTTCCTGACAGACAGGAAGCAGCGAGTGCGTCTGGGGAAGAATGTCTCGGACTCTCGGATTATAAATACAGGAGCCCCACAGGGCTGTGTTCTTTCTCTCCTGCTCTTCTCCCTGTACACCAACCACTGCACCTCCAGCCACGACTCCGTGAAGCTGATCAAGTTCGCGGACAACACCACCCTCATTGGACTCATCTCCAACAACGATGAGTCCGCCTACAGGAGGGAGGTGGACCGGCTGGTGTCCTGGTGCAGTGGTAACAACCTGGAGCTGAACGCCCAGAAGTCAGTGGAGATGATTGTGGACTTCAGGAAGAGCACTGTCCCCCCGCCCCCACCCTCAGTGCTGGACTCCCCCATCACCTCTGTGGAGTCCTATCGTTTCCTGGGCACCACTTTCACCCAGGACCTCAAGTGGGAGCCGACCATCAGCTCCCTCATCAAGAAGGCCCAGCAGAGGATGTACTTCCTGCGGCAGCTCAGGAAAGCCAAGCTGCCTGCACAGATGTTGGTGCAGTTCTACACGGCCATCATCGAGTCCATCCTCACCTCCTCCATCACCGTGTGGTTCGCTGGAGCCACAGTCAGGGACAAACAGAGACTACAGCACATTGTGCGCTCTGCAGAAAAGGTGATCGGCCGCAGCCTCCCATCGCGACAAAAATAAACAAATGGGTTTGGCAGTGGAGACACAGACACTGAGAGGACCGAGGGAGAGGACGGTTCCAATAAAAGTTCCACCCGCTCCTTTTACCAGGAACTCCTGCGGTGGAAACGTGGCTATTGTACTCACAAACACTGTCAGATGGGCTCACTTGTTGGCCTGGTTGGTCTGGTCTGGTCTAGTTGGTCTCCCTTGTTGGCCCTGGTTGGTCTGGTCTGGTATGGTTGTTCTCACTTGTTGGCCTCGTCGGTTTGGTCTGGTCTAGTTGGACTCACTTGTTAGCCTGGTTGGTCTGGTCTAGTTAGCCTCACTTGTTGGCCAGGTTGGTCTGGTCTGGTCTGGTGGGGCTCACTTGTTGGCCAGGTTGGTCTGGTCTGGTTGGGCTCACTTGTTGCCTAGGTTGGTCTAGTCTGGTAAGGCCTGGCCTGGTTGGGCTCACTTGTTGGCCGGGTTAGCGTGGTCTGGTCTGGTCTGGTTGGGCTCACTTGTTAGCCTGGTTGGTCCTCATGGCACTGATGCACTTCCCGAGCGTCAGAAGAGAGCTGTTGATGTTTCCCGCTTCTTTCAGTCGTTCTCCAGTGTTCTGAGTCCGAGAGCAGCGTTCAGACCCTGCCAGGTCACACAGGGCCAACCTGGACCAGAGCAGACCACACAGGGTTAAAGTACACATGAGGAGGATGACAGCAGGAAGAGGAAGACAGTAGGGGGAGTAGAAGGACAGCAGGAAGACATCAGGAGAACAGCAGGAGGACAGTGGGAGGAGGAGGACAGCAGGAGAAAGATAGCAGGAGGAGGGGGACTTACTCGCTGATGCTCAGAACTCGAGGAAGTCCCATGTCATCTATCTTCATAAGTCGAATACTGAAAATGCTGTGGCTGAAACACACACACTGTTACACACACACACACACACAAAACAGACACACACACAGACACAGACCTCCTGCTGCTCAGCAGGTTGAGTCGTGTGGAGGAGATGCTCTGGTTCTTCTTCCCAATTTTCAGGACTCTGTAGGCCTCATCAGAGCTGAGGACCTGGACCCAACGCAGATCTGAGGACAGGGACAGGGTCAGACCAGAGACACACAAGAGAGAGACCAGCGAGAGACCAGTGCGAGACCAGTGCGAGACCAGAGAGAGAAACCATAGAAACCAGAGATAAGGACCAGAGAGAGACCAGAGAGAGAGAAAAGAGAGAGAGAGACCAGAGAGAGAGAGACCAGCTGTCTCTGTACCTTTGATGAAGGAGTTTCCCTTCACATCCTGAGACAGACGAAGCACAGGCCTCTTCTGGTGTGAGGGCGGAGCCTGAGGACACAAAGAGATCTGTGTGTAGTGTAATACAAAAAAACATGGGAGCTGGGAGTTTGATGGTTCTGTGCAGTATCTTTGCTGTTCCTAGAACTGCACATTTCTGGACCGAGATTTCCGAGGTTGTTCCAGGGATCTGCTGTAACCACTTCCTCCAGCTTCGGGGTCACTGCTCCACGTGAACCATCACCATGGGCACTACTGTCACCTTTAACTTCAGACCCTGTCCTCTCTCACTACTGCTACAACTAACTATATATACATATAAATATGTATATATACAGTGTATAGATAGTTAGTAGTAGCAGTAGTGAGAAAGGAGAGGGCCTGAAGTTAAAGATACTGCGCGGAACCATCAAGGTCCCAGGCCTCTGGTAGAGGACCTGAACGACTGAGAGTGCACATATGGGACAGTCACCTGGTCCAGCAGGTCGTGGATGTTGTCGTTATAGATCTCACAGAAGGAGACCCACACAGAGAACTTCACTGAGGGAGAAAAGTCCAGAAGCGAGGAGTCATTCAGAGAGGAGCCCAGGGAGGAGACTGAGGAGGAGGAGCCTGAGGAGGAGAGGAGGAGTCATTCAGAGAGGTTAGAAGGGAGGAGACTGAGGAGGAGGAACCTGAGGAGGAGTCATTCAGAGAGGAGCACAGGAAGGAGACTGAGGACCAGACAGTAGACTGAGGAAGAGACATACTGAGGAGCAGGAGGAGAAGAGAGCAAACTGAGAAGGTCACAGCAGACAGGAGATGGAGGAGGAGACAGCAGACTGAGGAGCAGGAAGAGAGAGAAGACCGAGAAGAAGATGGAGGAGACAGCAGATGAAGTACTCACTGTTGAGGAGCAAGGACTTCCCGGAGGTCAGGCTTCTGTCAGTCTGTGGAAACAACACAGAGGCTACAATGTGTGTCTGCTGATCTGGGGTCAGTGTGTGTTGCCTCTTGGTGGCGCTCTTGTGTGCCTGCTGATCTGGGGTCTGTGTGTTACCTCTTTGAACAGCTTCATCAGTGTCCTCTTGGTGGCACTCTCATGTGCCTGCTGATCTGGGGTCAGTCTGGTGAAGTCTCTGCAGCGGTGTGGTTTCAGATCACAGCGAGAATACATCCTGCTCTCAATGCTGTTAAAGAGGACAGCGAGGGACCGAGGGAGGAGGCCCGAGTCATGGTCCGGACCTGAAGCAGAGACCAGAGACGATGTGAGACCAGAGAGAGAGAGAGAAGGGAGATTGATTTTAAACAGATGTTGGGACCTCTGACCCCTATCCTCAGACCCTGACCCCTAATCTCAGATCATGACCCCTAACCTCAGACCATGACCCCTAACCTCAGACCCTGACTCCTAAACTCAGACCATGACTCCTAACCTCAGACCATGACCCCTAACCTCAGACCATGACCCCTAACCTCAGACCATGACCCCTAACCTCAGACCCTGACTCCTAAACTCAGACCACGACTCCTAACCTCAGACCATGACCCCTCACCCCTGAGCCCTAACCTCTGACCCTGAGCCATAACCTCAGACCCTGACCGAGGAAGGTGAAGGTCTTCCCCGCGTTGGTGACTCCATAGGTGAAGACCAGAGCGTTGCCTCCGTCCAGAACGTCATGAAGCAGAGAGCGAACTGAACCATCAAAGATCTGCTGCTGAGAGGTGTCTGGACCGAAGACCTGCGGAAGACCATGTGGATCATGAGGACCATGTGGATAATGAGGACAGACCATGTGGATCATGAAATGACAGACCATGTGGATCATGAGGACAGACCATGTGGATCATGAGAAGATACAGTACAGTATAGTATACTGTATATATATTTATATACTGACCCTGAGCCATAACCTCAGACCCTGACCGAGGAAGGTGAAGGTCTTCCCCGCGCATATACTATACTGACTGCACATACAGTATAGTATAGTATATAAAATAACGGTACTATAATATGTATAGTACAGTATATATAAGAACGGTACTGTAGTATGTATAGTACAGTATATATAAGAACAGTACTTTAGTATGTATAGGACAGTGGCAGTGGCAAACTAGTGGAGTAACCACGTAATACTTTGAAGTGTAGGAAACGTTTGTTGGTCGTGTCAAATTGACAACAGCTCAGCGAACGCACATCCGTTACATGGTACCGAGCACGGACCACAGACGCGTGGCCAGAACCATAGATGAGCAGCCACCATAGACGCGTGGACAGAACCATAGACACACACGTGGACTGAACCATAGATGCTTGGACAGAACCGTAGACGCACAGCCACCATAGGCGCGCGGACAGAATCATAGATGCGTCAACAGAACCATGGACGCGCAGAGAGAACCTTAGACGCACAGACAGAACCATGGACTTGTGGACAGAACCATGGACTTGTGGACAGAACCATGGACGCGCAGACAGAACCATGGATGCGCAGACAGAACCATGGACTTGTGGACAGAACCATGGACACGCAGACAGAATCATGGACTCATGCTCAGGACCATCTCCCGTGTCTGCTCCTGAAGCACAACCAAAACTCCTGAATTTAAAGCTTGGTTACCAATTTTTTTTCCATGCATTAAAGCTGCACTAACTGACTTTATTTTTGTATTCATTACGAAAATGCTATCCATGTCCATGTAGTGCATCGGGATATACGTCCTTTTGAAGAAAAAGTAGCGCAGGTTTGTTCTGGCGTGACATTATATTTTAGATCGAGTTTTGATGAAACAAGGAAGAGAATATGTTTTGGGTCTCTGATTGTGACCAATCACAGCGGACCACTAGCCCCCACTTTCGTGAGAAATTTACAAGTCCGTTAGCACAGACGGCTGAGTTAGCACAACAAGCCGGGGAGCTAACCTGAAGCTTCGTGTCTTCGTCACCGGTTACTGCTTACACAGCGAAACAGCCATCCAAAAGAAAGTCTCGTTCCTCTGCACTTCCCGGTTCTATCGTTCTTTGGTCACGCCATCCACGCTCAAATCCATATCCATGTATTATCCATATTGGGAGACGCTAGCTCCGTCAACAACAGTGGGTGTGTGTGGGGGCGATAGCTTCGTGGGTGCGGGGAGGGGAGCAGAAAGAGCGAGGCCAGCGAGTCCACGGCTTCAAAATTCCAAAAGTCAGTTAGTGCAGCTTTAACAATGCATGCTATTTGTGCACAAAAGTAAAATGTTGTGAACAAATCAAACTGAACACACAACAGGCCGTTTTTGTATTATTATTTTGAATATTTAAGAGCCCTGTGAGTCAGTGACTTTTTGGGCTGAGAGTGGATTTTTTTCCACACAGTTAGTGGCACTTTATTCCCAAACTCTTTTTAACTCTTTGTATTGAGAAATATTAACCAAGCTTAATGTCAAGGCCTGGATTTAAGCACTTTGAGAATGACTTTATATTAGGAATATAAGCTACAGAGTATATATTTTTACATGTTCTCCTGGTGGTGTGCCACAAGATTTTTTCAATGAAAAAAGTGTGCCTTGGCTCAAAAAAGGTTGAAAAACACTTGTATAGTATATAGAAGAACGGCGCTATAGTATGTGTAGTATAGTACATAGAAGAACGGTACTATAGTATGTGTAGTACAGTACATGGAATAACGGTACTATAGAATGTATAGTACAGTATATAGAAGAACGGTACTATAGTATGTGTAGTATAGTATATAGGTACCTGGGTGAAGCTGAACCTCTGTGACGTCTGAGACAGAGAACGAAGAGAACGAGGAGCAGTGAGGAGCACAGAGTGAGGAGGCTCCACCAGAACACACTCCTGAGGAGAGACGCACAAATGAGACACACATACTCCTGAGGAGAAACAAACACTCCTGAGGAAAGACACACACACACACACACCAACACAAACACACACTCCTGAGAGACAAACGCATGTGACATACTCCTGTTGAGACACATAATCCTGAGACACACAGACAAACTCCTGAGAGACAGACAGACTCACAGACTCACGGACAGACAAATAGACAGACAGACACACAAACAGACAGACAGACACAAAGACAAACAGACAGACTCGCAGACAGACAGACAGACTCACAAACAGACAGACTCACAGCCAGACAGACTCACAGACGGACAAACAGACAGACTCACAGACAGACAAACAGACAGACTCACAGACAGACAAACAGACAGACTCACAGACAGACAGACAGACTCACAGACAGACAAACAGACAGACAGACTCCCAGACAGACGGACTTACAGACGGACAGACAGACTCACAAACAGATAGACTCACAGACAGACAGACTTACAGACGGACAGACAGACAGACACACAGACAGACTCACAGACAGACGGACACACAGACAGACTCACAGACAGACGGACACACAGACGGACAGACAGACAGACTCACAGACAGACAGACCTGGCTCTCTCCGCTGTCACTCTCTGTTGCGGTGAAAGGTCGAATCCTCAAAAACACTTTGAGGTTTTCGGTCTGAGACGGCTGGGAGGTCATAGGTCATCATTATAAACTACAATACATACTACTGTACACACTACAAACTACAGTACATACAACTGTACATAATACTGTTCAAACTACATAGATGGTGCATACTTCATATTACTGTACACAATACTGTCCACATTACTGTACAAACTACAGTACATACTAAGGGGTGCAGGTCCTTTTGTCACACTAAGACCTGTGACCTCTGACCCCAGGTCAGGGGTCATTACCTGTGTGGACAAAGAGGAGAAGTCCTTCAGCAGGTCCTTCTTGATGTCCTCCACCTCCACTGGCCCCACTCGCTCGGTTTTAGAGGCAAGAGTCCAGTCCATCTGCACACATGGCAAGGTTAAAGCTGGGGTTTCTCACTTTAAAGCTGGGGTACCTGACCTTAAAGCTAACTCTCAGACCAATAGAACTCTGTATTAAACCCATGTCTCTAGTTCTGGCTCTAAAACAGTTGATTCTGTCACTAGTTTCACATTATGTATTTGTGATGTCACATTTTTAGATCAAAGAGGGGGCCACCCTCACTCAGCCCAGTGAGGCAGATAGTCCTCACTGGGTTCTTTCTTACACTAAAGATCACAAGTTTTCTTTGCCACTGGAGCTGAAGTCAGTTGGAAATTAGATTTTTCTCCACAAATCAGAAGTGTGAGCAATAAAACTGGATGTAGCATGGACAAAAGGGGCCAATTAATTTAAGTATTGATGTATTGTTTTTTTTCTCCCCTCTTGCTTTAATCCTTTTTTTACTGTTCTCCAAAAGTCTAACCAGGGACAGGGGTTGCAAATTAGCATCAAATACGTCATTACTGAGATATTAGTGATGCATTCCTTAAATATGGACACTAGAAACCATGTGAATACGTTCAGGTCTTCAGATAATAATGTTTAGCAGTAATACAGATATAACAGGGGTCCACAGTTCAAAACATGCAGGACAGATCCCACAAGTATAATCATAATCAGAGCTGTATAAGAGTATAAAGTAGAAATCCTCTTTGGATTCATAAAATTACAGTTTACACATTATTTCACACATTATTTCACATTATTTCACACAGTTTCACACAGAGCGCTGTTCACGCGAGAGGACGTCACGTCAGGAAACACAGTTATCAGGAAAATTAAGATTATTTGTTAAACTGTTGTTGTTAGCATTAGCCACATTAGCTCCGAGCCGCTGGTCGCCGAACTTCACCGGATGTTTGTGGTAAATGCTTAAGTGACACTTGTGTTTTCAGACGTGACTAAAGCGCAGTGGTGTGGTCACTCACCGCGCCGTGCGTTTACTCCACAGACAATAAAAAAAATGAAAACATTTGGTGAGATAGAGTGAAATAAGGAACGAGTTCGTGGCTACGCGGGTCTCCTGTTCAAATGGAGCAGCCAATCACAGAGCACAACGTTTTTCCCCGACGCAGGTCTGTAGCAAGACCAGGACCTGGATAACGACTGAGACCAGGACCAGGACTAAGACCTGGACCAGGATCAAGACTTAAGCCTAGAGTATACTTGCGCGGCTTACGTTAGCGGTTGCGGTGGACCTACGTAAGCACAATTGATGTTATACTGGCGCGTTCCCCTTACGGAGTTTTGAGGAGAATGCTGTAATCCCACAACAAACCACATGAGGGCGATCACACAGGAGCGGTCCCATTTACGCTGCTACTTTGTCCTCTTCAGAACAACAATAACAAACAAAGCTGTTTGAGCTCATTACACGTGTTTCTACTGCAGGTTTATGTGAAAGTTTTATGGATTCATTATTTTATAAGTCATTTCAACTGTGATGCTTTGAATAAAGACACAGTTCTTGTTGGAAACATAGTTATTATTTATTAGTTTTCAGCACAAACAGCAAAACAATAATAGTGGTAAATATCTGAGACAAACATGAACGATTTACGAGTGCAGGAGGAAAGCAACAAACGCAGCTACGATTCAAACAAGACAGGAACAGTGCAAAACAAACGACTGCACAGTTTATAAGTTATATATATGTTAGATATGAGTTATATATATGTTAGATAGTCCACAGTCTCCTGTATATCAGGCTCTGAGCCCAAACTGCTTTTCCTTCGAAGCACAAAGCTCTCTGCTCCATAGTGCCTCGTCCATGTCCCTGCTGCAGCCGCTTCATGCTTCCTTCCAATACACACACACGGACCAATCACAGCGGAGATTCCTTGCGGCGACCCTTACGTAGTTAGAAAATTTCGATGCTGCGCGGCAGGCGACGTAAGGGCCTTGCGGTGACCAACGCGTTGCGCAAGTGACGTCACGTCACCTCCGTAAGCTCCGCGCCGCGCGAGTATAAACTAGGCTTGAGACCAGGACCAGGAGGACTAAGACCAGGATCAGGACTAAGACCAGGACCAGAACTGAGACCACGACCAGAACTGAAACCAGGACTGGAACCAGGACTGAGACCTGGACCAGATCAGGATCAGGATCAGGACTAAGACCAGGACTAGGCCTTAGAACGGGACTGAGACCAGGACTGAGACCAGTATCAGGACTGAGACCAGGACCAGGACTGAGACCAGTGTCAGGGCTGAGACCTGGACCAGGATTAGGACTGAGACTTTATGAATCATGACTATTAAACCAAGCTCTTAGATTATGACTCATCTGGCCCCTGGAAAAGGCATGTTCCAGCTTCTTCCCTCTAGCAGAAGATATTGTTCGCTTGTATTGAAACTGTTTTAGTTGATTTATTTCAAATTGTCAATTGTTTCTTGTTTTGTTTGTTTTATTTATGTACTTTTGACCTTGTTTATTTATGAACTTGTATTGTGGACACTGGGGACATTTGTGGATCTAATCCAATGTGGTTTTTCCTGCATATTCGATTCTGAACAGCGTCCAGGATCAGGACTGAGACCAGGACTAGGACTGAGACCAGGACCAAGACTGAGATTAGGACCAGCACCAGCTCCAGGACAAGGTCCAGGACTGGGATCCGGACCAGGATTGAGACCAGGACCAGGACAGTGACCAAGACAGTAACCAGAATCAGAACTGAGACCTGGACTAGGACCAGGACTGAGACCAGGACTAGGATTGCGACCAGGACCAGGATCAGGACTGCGACCAGGGCGCAGGCTGCAACCACGTCACAACTAAAGTCTGTGGTTGTAAATCTAACCATTAGCAAATCAAAGCTGTTAAACATTATTGAAAAAAAAAAAAAAATCAATAACAATAATATCCTATACATAAGAAATGGGAACAAACACATCTTCACTAACTACAGACCTGTCTCTCCCCCCCCCCCCAGTTTTCCAAAATCTTAGAGAAACAGTAGAATGGATAATTTCATAGATAAGCATAAACTAATCAATGAAGGTCAGTATGGGTTTCGAGCAGCAAGGTCAACTTCAATGGCCATAATCGATGCAATAGAAGAGATTACTAATAGCTTAGAGGGAAAGAAACACGCAGCTGGAATATTCATTGACTTGAAAAAAGCATTTGATACACTTAATCATTCTATATTATTAAAAAAATTAGATAGATACGGCATAAGGGGAGTGGCTTTGAGCTGGATTCAAAGCTATTTAACTGGGAGACAACAGTATGTGAAGATGGGGGAGTTTATATCAGGATATTTGGACATTGGTTGTGGGGTAAGTAAGTAAGTAAGTAAGTAAGTAAGTTTTTATTTATATACCGCCTTTTCACTGCAGATCTGAGTCTCAAAGCGGTTTACAATTGTTAATTTTTGGGCATTTGTCTCTCACTCGACACAGAGATGGGAGCGGGGTCGCCAGTACAGGAGGCGCATGCCAGAACTATTGGACATATTTTTAGTGGTAGGGGAAACCGGAGTACCCGGAGGAAACCTACGCAGACACGGGGAGAACATGCAAACTCCACTCAGAAAGGCCCTGGTCCGACCGGGATTCGAACCCAGGACCTTCTTGCTGAGAGGCAAGAGTGCTAAACACTCAGCCACCGTGCCGCCCGTCACGGGGTCCCACAGGGATCTGTCTTAGGACCAAAGTTGTTCAATTTATATATTAATGACATTTTTAATCTCACTAGTCAGATTGAAACTGTGTGTGTTCCCCGCTTGAAGTCTAAAGCACTATATGCGAGGAAATCTGACCTAGGTGTCAGACACAGTAACTTAATAAAAGTTCAGACAGACAGAAATAGTTCTAACAGTAGGGTTGTTAAATGTGGTTTAATGAACGTCAGATCAATCTCGTCTAAATCGCTTCTCATAAACGAACTTATTATAGACAAGGGCTTGGATCTGTTAGCGCTCTCGGAGACTTGGCTCCAACAGGACGAGTACGTTAGATTGAATGAGTGCACTCCTCCGACGCATGTTAACTACCAGAAAGCCAGAGCTACAGGTCGCGGCGGTGGTGTTGCGATTATATCACACACCAACTTGGTTCTTAGTCCCAAAACCAACAACGCTTTTCACTCGTTTGAAAACTTAACACTTTCAATCACCTGTCCTGGGTGGAGAAAACAAAAAGCAGTACTATTTATAGTTTTATACCGACCTCCTGGTCCTTACAGCGAGTTCCTAACAGAATTCTCTGACTTCATTTCAAACCTAGTTTTGGAATGGGAAAACATAGTTATAGCTGGAGACTTCAATATACATGTGGACGACAGCACTGACAGCTTAAACAAAGCTTTCAGCGCCGTACTAGATGGTGTTGGTTTTACTCAGAATGTCGAGGAACCTACTCACATTCATAACCACACCTTGGACCTTGTCCTGACCTACGGCTGTGATGTCTCCAATGTTGACATCCAGCGTCAAAGCTCGTTGCTGTCTGACCATTTCTTGATCACGTTTGATCTCGCTTTGGAGGACTTTCCTGTCCCGCAAGATAAAACCATAATGAAAAGAACCTTAAATGATAAATCTATCACAAGGTTCAAAGAACTAATACAGCCTATGTTGAATACTGCTGCAGGTGAACCTGTTCACAGCAGCTGCAGTCCCTCAGTCATCGACCAAACGGTGGGCAACACTATGGAGTCTTTAAAATCTGCATTAAATGCAGCAGCTCCTTTAAAACAGAAAACCATTAGGATTAGATCATCGTCGCCCTGGTACAGTGTTCAACTCCACACTTTAAAACAGGACGTCAGAAAATTGGAGAGGCTATATCGCCACTCCCACTCGGAGCCTGTCCACAGGGAGTGGAAAGCAGGTCTCCGAAACTACAAGAAGGCCCTTCGCGGGGCTCGAACTCAATACTATTCAACTTTAATAGAAGCGAATAAAAACAACAGTAGATTTTTGTTTGGTACCGTCGCTAAACTCACAAACTGCCATAGCGCAATCGAGCCTAAAATTCCAAGCTCACTGAGCAGTGTCGACTTTCTCCACTTCTTTAATAATAAAATTACATCCATCCGTGACAAGCTGGAGGAGGTTGCTCCTGCTGTTAGTGGTGGACAGGTTGAAGCGGCATACGTGACTTCCCACTTAGACTCTTCAGTGGGCCTTAATAAATTCATGGCTGTGAGCCAAGCAGAGGTGATCTCTGTGGTCACATCCTCAAAAGCCTCAACTTGCATGTTAGACGCAGTCCCGACATGGCTCTTCAAAGACATACTTCCTTTGATAATTGAGCCTATCGTAAATATAATAAACGCATCCATACAATGTGGCTATGTCCCACAAGCTTTTAAAACCGCGGTAATCAAACCCCTTCTGAAGAAAACAAACCTGGACCCAGAAATACTTACAAACTACAGACCGATCTCGAACCTCACTTTTATATCTAAAATCCTGGAAAAACTTATAGCTGAGCAGCTCCGCTGCCACCTGCAGGAAAATGATATGTTTGAAGTCTTTCAATCAGGATTCAGAGCTCATCATAGCACTGAAACGGCACTAGTCAAAGTCACAAATGACTTACTACTAGCTGCCGATAATGGACAAGTGTCAGTGCTGGTCCTACTGGACCTTAGTGCTGCATTTGACACAATAGACCACAGCATTCTACTGCAGAGGCTAGAATGTGATATAGGTCTTAGAGGAACAGCCCTTGGCTGGTTTAAATCCTATTTATCAGATCGACATCACTTCGTCAATGTGAATCAGGACTCGTCGCCTTATTCTGGAGTGGAATTCGGTGTGCCGCAGGGTTCGGTACTCGGACCGATTCTTTTTACTCTCTACATGCTGCCATTAGGAAACATTGTTAAAAAGCATGGAATTAATTTCCACTGCTATGCAGATGACACACAGCTTTATCTGTCGATGAAGCCTAATCAGACAGATCAGCTAGAAAAGCTCAGTGCCTGCATAAAGGACCTTAAAATGTGGATGACTCTTAACTTCCTACTTCTCAACCCGGAGAAGACAGAAGTGATCCTACTCGGTCCGAAGCGCCTGCGTGACTCCCTCACTAACCAGATGGTTACTCTCGATAATGTCAGTATAATACCCAGTAACACTGTGAGGAATCTTGGAGTCATTTTTGACCAAGAACTCTCCTTCAAGGCTTATATAAGCCAAGCAACTAAAACGGCGTACTTCCACTTACGGAACATCGCTAAAATTAGGAATTTCCTTCCTAAAAGTGACGCGGAAAAACTCATTCACGCGTTTGTCACCTCAAGGCTCGACTACTGTAACGCTTTACTGGCAGCGTGCCCTAAAGCCTCTTTGAAGAGCTTCCAGCTCGTTCAGAATACAGCAGCTAGGATCTTAACAGGTACCAAAAGGAGGGAGCACATAACTCCGGTGTTAAAATCACTCCACTGGCTCCCTGTGGAGTACAGAATAAAGTTTAAAATCCTACTCTTAACATATAAAGCCATAAATGGCTTGGCTCCTTCTTATCTCCAAGACACGTTAGTGTCGTATCAACCAAGTCGAGCGTTGCGCTCACAAAACGCCAGACGTCTGGTGGTCCCTAAGGTCTCAAAGGTCACTGTTGGTGGCAGAGCATTTAGCTACCAAGCTCCTTTACTGTGGAATCAGCTTCCCATTTATGTTAAGGAAGCAGATACGGTCTCCACATTCAAGGCCAGGCTTAAAGCACTTTACTTTAATTTAGCATATAATTAGGTAATATATAATATGTAGTGTATATATTATATATATATGCTGTATTATGTTATATATTATGTTATATATTATTCAATAATGTATTGTGTTATGTTGTATATTATGTTATATATTATGCTGTATGTTATTCTTTATTCAAGGCTAGGTTTAAAACAGTCCTCTTTAGTTTAGCATATGGCTAGGAAGGTAAGACTCGGAGAAGGTTAAACTCCTCAGAGTGTTAGTCAAGCTGCATAGGGAGTCAGTTTGCTGGGAGAAGTATGGTAACTTGAGCACTATCCTCTCCTCCTTCCTACTTTATCTGTTTAGCATTTTTAGGATTCTGACTGTAGTTTGTTCATTGCTATTCACCCGTTGTCCCATTGTCTGTTTCATGGTACGATGACGGGATCTCTGAGCCTGGCCTCTTCCATCTACACCTGCGGACTGCCCCGCCCGACCCGCCTGGGAGTGCTTCGGTCCTGCACCGGACCTGTCCACGTTCAGCGTCCACTGGTCCACGTTCTGTAGCTAGCTTAGGTCCTAGATCATTAGTCTGTCCGTCCGGAGGAGCGGATCCCTTTCTCATATGGGTCTCCCTCCCTGTGGGTTTCCCTAGTTCTCCTCCAAGGTTTCTCACTTTTTCCCACTGGGTTTTTTAAGAGTTTTTCCTTGTCGATGCAGGAGGGTCTTGTTGGACAGTTAGTGTCCAACAGAAAGGATTGGTGATGATCAGGACACTTTAGCATTCTACAACATGTATGGACATTTTCTTCTGTGTGTGCTTTATACTGTATTCTTCATGTGTTTTAACTGTTGATTCTCTGACCTGTGTTGGTGATTTCAATGGTTTTGTTAAGTCCTCTGAGATGACTTCTGTTGTGACCTAGGGCTATACAAGAATAAATTGTATTGTATTGTATTGTGTATTGTATTGTATTAATGTGTCAAAATTATTAAAATTAGTCATTTTCGCAGATGACACAAACATTTTCTATTCTAACGACAATTATAGTAATTTAGTAACTAACATAAATTGTGAACTAAGGAAATTGAAAACATGGATGGACATTAACAAATTTTCCCTCAACTTAAATAAAACAAAAGTAATGTTCTTTGGTAGTTATAACGGAAAACCAGACCCAGTAAATATAGACGGTGTAGTCTTAGATACAGTATCTGAAATTAAATTCTTAGGAGTCACCTTTGACAGTAAATTAAGCTGGAAACCACACATAAGTCACATACAAGGTAAAGTCTCCAAAAGCATCTCAATCATTAATAAAGCAAAGTTTTTCTTAAATTACAATGCATTATTTCTATTATATGGTTCATTAGTTTTGCCATATCTAAACTACTGTGTAGAAGTTTGGGGCAATAACTATAAAAGCTCATTACACCCCCTTGTTATACTCCAAAAACGGGCTGTAAGAATTATACACAAAGTAGGATATTATGATCACACTAATATATTATTTCTGCAGTCTAAACTGTTAAAAATGTCTGATTTAGTTGATTTCTCTACTGCCCAACTTTTGTTTAAAGCCAACAAAAATGTGCTACCTGCAAGGATACAAATGCTTTTTGCACGCACAGAAGGGGGATATAACCTGAGGGGGTGTGATAACTTTAAGATTCAAGCAGTGTCTTCCACTAGGAAAAGTGTGTGTGTGTCTGTATGTGGAGTTAAACTCTGGAACAAATTGGGGGCAGAGCTCAAACAATGTCCAAATATTCATCATTTCAAATCAAGATATAAAACAATGGTATGGTCAAAGTACCAGGAGGAGGAAATGGGACTTGATTGCTAAAGGGTGTTACATAAAAATAATACCATTACTGGTATTATTATTGTTATTATTATTGTAAGAGGATATAATAGTTAATTTAGTAAATAAGAAATAATTAGGTGAATATATTGTATTAGTAATATCTTACATTAACTATACTGTATGTCTTGACTGTTTTTTTGTTTTGTATTTTTGTTTTGCTGGCTTCTTTCTTTCTTTATTTTTTCTTGTCTTTATTTTTATTAATCATAGCTATTTAAAATGTATTGTGTCTTGTATTGATTAGGAGGGGTAATTGTTATTGCCATTGTTATTACTATTGCTGTTGTGTTATCAGCATTATTTTAACAGCCCAGGATAAATACCTAACAATTTATATATTACTCTTAGAATCAAATTTAAGCGATCCAGACAGCGGTATTGCTATTGATGCTGATGGTAATATAAAGGAATTAAAGTCTTACAATTAAAACATGCACGTATCCACGTACTCTGCATTCAACATAACTCGTAGTACAGGGCAGACATGTGGGGGCTGGCTGCTCGAGGAAAGCCTCTTCTAGCAGCAGACTCCTAAAACTTGTCTCTTTTAATGCACAGTATAGGACACTTAATAAATGAAGGTCCTGTTGCTCGGGGGCTGCTCCCCTCTGGCAGCAGGTCCAGACACAAGAAAGAAAAAAGAAAAGCCCAGAGTCCTTTTTAACACACATTAAGACTACTCTTGTTATCATGAGCATCAATCAGTCTGCGATCATTGTGCCTTTCATGAATAAATGTGGAGTATGTTATGTATCATTCAAACACTTTGATATAGACTAATGTTATATGGGCTGTGATGATAATGATGATGGTGAATAACAGTAATACCAACATGGTAATAAAATGGGTATAGGAAACAAAATTATAAACTTGTTATAAAGTGTAACATACTATGAATGTTGACTTAATCTGTAAATATGTAACCAACTTAATTGTTTTGTAAGATACTAAGAACTAAACATTGTTACTTGTTACCCACCCCTGTTACTTTACGAACAGGGGTGGGAGTCAATAAACTTGTCTTCTTCCCACTCCTTTTCGAGCTAGAATGTTAATTATTTTTATTTTATTTTTTCTGGCTATTGTGCCTGTGTTGTGTGTTGTGTAGCTCGAAATAAAAATCAAAAATCAAAAATCCTCCTGAGGACGGATGGATGAAATATTATTATAAAAAAGGACCAAACTTAGATCGAACAGAGACGTCACAGAGGTCAAATATGAACGATTGTAACTATTTCAATACGTGTGTGTTGAAATAACAAAAATAACGCTCAATAACAAAACTACTGTCGCTGTTTGGTGTCGTCATCAGCCTTCGTCGCAGCTGTTGTGGGTCGTAGCACAGATCTGAAGGATTATCGTCTACGTTCGAAGCTCCAGCCTCTATCGCAGAGTTCTAAAGCCCCACAGAATCACCGGGACCCACCGGGACCCACTGAGAATCGGGTGACCTCACCTGGGACCGGGAAGAACGCGCAGATCTCCGAACACACGGACCTGACAGGGACGCGTTGCCTTGGTAACGGTGAGGAGAGGGATTAATGATTTTTTAAAGAGATTATTTCAGATTATACTTTAAGTGTTCATAGTTCCGTGTGTGAATTATAATGCCTAAATGCACGTGCTCATACTAAACACTTATTATTGTGGTATTGCATTTTAAGGTGAATTGAGAGACTTCAAGATGGACAGATAGATTCTTTATCGATCCCTGTAGGAGAAATTCTGGATGTAGACCTCTTCTCTGCTCTCTCTATCCACTCTTTTCTCTCTCTCCTCTCTTCTCCTTCTTTCTTCTCCTCCCCTCTCTCTCCTCTCTCCCCTCCTCTCTTTCTCACCTCCTCTCTGTCCTCCTCAGATGGCAGACTCCTCTTCTCCTTGGCTGGAGGCTCACTCAGACCCTGTTGCTGGTCTGAATACGTTCTCCTGCTGTATGGAGCTGTGTGACCTGAGTGGAGAAGGAGAGAACAGTCTTGTGGTGGCCGACCTGGGCTCCTCTGGCTCCTCTGGGATAAAACTCAAGGTAACTCCTGGCACTTGTGTGTGTGTGAGTGTGTGTGTGTGTCCCGGGCCTCTCTTTGTTGTCTCCTTCTGGTCTCTCTATCTGGTCTCTCTCTCTCTCTGGCCTCTCCCTCTGGTCTCTGTAGTCTCTCTCGAGTCTCTCCGTCTGGCCTGATGATCTTGTACTCCTCTTCAGGTCTTCAGGGGGACCTCTCTGGTGTCGGAGTCCTCTCTCCTGGACCTCCCATCAGGTCTGGTCTCATTCTTCATGGACTTGAACGAGCCTCGGGTCCCAGCTCTGGCCGTGGCTTCAGGTCCATGTATTTACGTCTACAAGAACCTAAGGCCCTACTTCAAGTTCACTCTGCCGGGACTCGAGGTGGACCCTCTGGAGCAGGTCAGTCTTGTCGTGAGACCAGACCCGGGTAGACCAGATCCACCCCTCTCTCTCCCAAATCTACCCTGGTCTGGATCACAGTCGATACACTCTGATGATTGGCCCACAGCTCTCAGCTCTCTGATTGGTTCACAGGATGCATGGGCGGGGCACACTGACCCGCAGGCTTTAAGGGAGCTGCTGGAGGGCATCAGGAGTAAATCTATCCTGTCTCAGCGATCACTACACTTCCTGTCACTGGAACCAGAGAAGTGGGAGGAGTTTGTGAAGCTGCACCAGGACCAGCCAATCAGGAGACAGGTACCACTTGGTACCACCACACATATGTTGTTTGTGTGTGTGTCCTCAGACAGTCTTCAGACACACAATTACATACATGCATACATACAATGGAGCATGTTCATTAATGTGTCTCCAAACAGCGTCAACATAAATATGCTGGAATTAGCTCAATAGCTAAATTGCATCCAAAGCAAGTGTCCAGAAACCTCTGATAACTCTCAGAGTCTAAAATGTTATACTTACTTACAATTTTACAGTAATGATAATCCAAGGGCTTCCTATCTAATGTTTTAGTGTTTTCTTAATCATGTGTGTCCTCAGACCGCCACATGTGTGTTAGAGCTGCACGGGCCTATTATCTGGGCCCGAGCCCGGCCCTGGCTCAAGGGGGTGCCGCCCCAGCCCGGTCCGGCCCGACATGGTTTCTGAATTCTCAGGCCTGAAACCCGTATCAAGCCCGACTTTTTTACCTCCCATGACAATGTTTTAACGTAGTATAAAGTCCTGCGCACTGATATGAACACAGGCCCGGCTAGAGGGCGGAGTTATACATGGTGTGAACGGCCGCAGCTGTATGATACACAGCTGTATGATACACAGATGCTGCAATAAACTACAACACACTTGAAGGTAACGCGTGTGTCGTCAATGGCAATACTATACAGAACAACAAATACTACAGTGTGATAGAATGCTACATTCTTTGGGTGCGTTCGTAAATGTAATCTGCTGCTCTGAAAATGAATAAATAAAAGTGCGCGAGCCAGGCCCGTGTCCGAGGTATTTATACGGTCATCGGCCCGAAGCCTGGTCTTCGGGCCCCTCGGGCCAAGGGCTCAAGTGCAGGGCTCTAATGTGTGTGTCCTCTGTAGGTCATTACAGTATGTGGGTCCTCAGACCGTCATCATGTGTGTGTCCTCAGACCGTCATCACCTGCTTGGGGACCCTGAGGAAGTGTACGGCGGATGAAGATGGAGTCAGCTGTTTAGTGATTGGCACAGAATCCTGTGAGGTCTATGTCCTGGATCCAGAGGCTTTTATTATCTTGACCAAGGTAACCAGAAGCTACCAGAAGCTAATCAGAGGCTAACAAGCTAACCAGAAGCAAACCCAAGCCCCGGTAATCCAAGATGGTGGCCTGTTCCAATCCTTGCCTGGCCTGCCAGACACTCCTCCTTTCTGTTCAAAAGAAGAACCGTCTGGACACCTCTTCCTAGCCTATCATTTCACGATTTTACCCACATCGGTCCAATCACGCACCGAGAGGCGGGACTTCCTTTCACCTTTGAGTTGCTAATAACTCCTCGTATCTTTAAGTTTTTGTTACAAAATCGACAGCAGTCGTTTACATTTGCACTAGCTGACATGCCGCCATCCCTTGTTTTGTGTTTACTGAAACGGCTTGGGTGCCGCTAGTTGCTGCGTCATATCCTGTGTGCATCTAATTGGTTGATGCAGTCTGTCAACCACGCCCACCGGGAATTCGCTGAGATCAAGCTCGTTCCCAGACTATATGTCTTTGAAAAAGCATATCGTTTGGCAGGCCAGGCAAGACCAATCCATGGCTTGTGCACAGTGGCTCCCCACCATGGGCACTGAAAGATAAGCGGAACTCGCCTATATTTGGGCATTTCTCTGGTCCTCCCGATTGTGCGCAGTGTATAAGCTCACATGATGCTTTGCTCCAAATACTAACGAGCATGCTTTTGTGGCTCTCATGCACGTACACAGAAAAGGAGCATTCTGACCAATCAGAGCTGCTGATCCGAGCTGAGCTCGAGCGAGAGTTAGTGCGGGAGGCAATCCAGCAGAGTTTGTTGCACTTAAGTGTGGATCTATAAGAGACATTAAAATCCCCACAGAATACTCCTTTTTGAGAGCTGTAGGTTCTCTGTCAACTGAGGTCCAGCTGTTTTAGTTTACAGTGAATTTTACAAAATAGTAATACACTATCCAGTAATTATAATAGATCCATGGGCTAACCAGAGGCTTGCTCTGGTCTCTTCTTCTCTCCTCAGACTCTGGTCTCTTCTCTCCTCAGGTGGTGGTACCAGCGCCCCCTGTTGTCCTGGATGTCAGTGGACAGTTTGATGTAGAGTACAGAATCACGGCGGCGTGTCGGGACGGCAACGTGTACATTCTGCGCAGGTCAGGAGGGCTAGGGAAGGCAGGGCGAGGGAGACAAACACATTATTACACCTTCATGTCCCATAAACCTCCCCCTCTGACTCACCTCTGTCTCCCCCCTCTCCCTCTCAGAGACTGTGAGAAACCTAAATACACTGTGGAGCTGTCGTCTCAATGTGTGGGTTTGGTTCGAGTCGGAAAAACTGTGGTGGTCGGCTGCAGCGACCAGACACTCCAGGGATTTACCCAGAAGGTACAACTACTGCTATTACTCCTACTGTAGTGGATGGAATCGCTCATTTTTGTGTTTCAAACACTATTCTCTCTCCTCCTCTATCCCTGCCCTCCCCATCTGTCCCCCAGACCTACCTCATCTCAGCCCTCTCCCCCTGTCTCCGCCTCTATACTACATAAATATGTGTTTTTAACAGGAGTCTCTCTCCTCAGGGGAAGCGCCTCTGGAGTCTCCCCCTGCCCTCCCCCATCTCGGCCCTCTCCCCCATGCCCCTCCCCTCTCGTGGGTTCGGGGGCCTCCTTGTGGCCCTCAGCAGTGGGGAGGTGCGTCTGTACCAGGACCAGTGGTTGGTGAACACTCAGAGGGCTCCGGAGCCGGTCACCGCGATGACGTTTGGTCGTTACGGTCGTGAGGAGGGAACTGTCATCATGGCGACCCGTGGAGGGGGGATGCTGGTGCGGATCCTGCGGCGGACAGCGTCTCTCCAGAAGTCAGAGGGAGGGGGGCCCCCAGTGGCCCAGAGTGTGCGTCTGAATGTCCCCAAGAAGAGTCAGCTGTTTGTGGATCAGACTCTGAGAGAGAGAGAGCAGGGCAGCTTGATGCAGAGCGCCTTTCTCACAGACCTGCTCCGTACCCGTGTGCGTGCTGCTCAGGCTTACTGCAGAGCTCTGGAGGCCTCTGAGGGCCCCTGCTCTGAAGGCCTCTCCTCTGAGGGACCCATCAAGCTGCATGCTGCAGTGAGAGGCTTGGGACCACGCTTTACTCTCACTCTGTATGTGGTTAATACAGCAGCTGTCCGACCAATCATAGGCCTCCGAGTGTGTCTATTGTATGACCCCGCCCACTACACTGTAGCCCCGCCCATGCTCACACTGCCCTTGCTGGCCCCCGGACTGAACTACAGCCTCAGCACACTAGTCACCTGCTGCGGAGCCCTACACACTAGTGACGTCATCAGGGCATGTGTGGTTCAGGAGGGGAGGGGTGGCGTGTTGCTAACGGCTAACATCAACATGCCTCAGGCTGAGGGACTCGTGTAACCATTTCTTTTTTCTTTTTTTTTCTCAAAATTTTATTATTTGCAATTTACAACAATCTTCAAAGACGAGACATCTGAAAATAGAGAGCTCATATCAAAACAACACTGTAATGACATCAGAGAGGGGAGGAGCTTCTGGCATCATCATCATCATTACAAAAATGTGAGAGTAGTACACTTATTATATATGTATGCACACACACACACACACAAACACACATAGATAGACACAAACACACGCACAGGGTCAGTACATGTAAATATATATCTAATGAAAATAATGATATAATAATAAAGGCTTGTATTTGAACAGTGTTTCTGTTTGTGAAACTCAGGGTTTTTTCTGATGTGGAAATCACTGTGGACTATGTTGTGAAATCTGTGTGTGTCTGAGTTGTGAAATGTGTGTGTGTGTGTGTGTGTATAAATATGCCCTTTCTTGTCGTCACATTAAACTGAAGATGAAGCTGCTGCTGATTTTATGTGAGTCTCAACACTTTCTGACCAGGACAGGGCCAGGTCTGGACCAGGACTGGACCAGGACTGGACCAGGACTAGACTAGGCCGAGGGTTCAGGTTTGGTAAATAGAGGTACGTGTGGATGAGGGCAAAGTTGCACATTTTTCTTGGAAAAAGCCTTTAGTTTCTGTAAATTCCTGGACTGCCTTGCATAAACTAAATGTGTGAGATCATTTAAAAAGAAAACTTTTTATCTGATGATGGAAGCTTCAGATTCAGAAGATTAAAAAATTTACACCATTGGCGGCAATAATGTGAATAATAATATCACTGGTGGTCATATATTATTATATTACGGTGGCTGAGTGGATAGCACTCTCGCCTCTCAGCAAGAAGGTCCTGGGTTCGAATCCCGGCCGGACCAGGGCCTTTCTGAGTGGAGTTTGCATGTTCTCCCCGTGTCTGCGTAGGTTTCCTCCGGTTTCCCCTACCACTAAAAATATGTACAATAGATCTGGCATGCGCCTCCTGTTCGGCGACCCCGCTCCATCTCTGTGTGGCGTGAGAGGACAAGTGCCCAAAAAATAATAACAATTGTAAACCGCTTTGTGACCCTTGTCTGTGAAAGGCGGTATATAAATAAACATTACTTACTTACAAGTGTTTGTCTCCCTCAAGTGGTCATATGGATATTACAGCTCTCAGTCTCCTTCTGGTGGTCATTAATGTGTATTACAGCTCTCTGTCTCCCTCTGGCGGCTGAGGCGCAGACATTCGGGCAGCTCTGCAGAGGAAACCCGTCCAACGCGAGACGTACCTCAGACTCATGGGGTCAGGGGCACTACGGCGCCTCCAGGTGGCTACGCTCTGACATTACACTCACTACAGACCGCAAAAAGCAATAAGCGCTGGCCTCAGTCTCTCTGCACACACTACACAATGTGTAATAAAAGCTGTGTACATTAATTCTGCTCTCTCTGGTCTCACATAGTCTCTCTGGTCTCACATGGTGTCTCTCAGGGGGGGTCGTCTGCACCAAGGTCTGGATATCTCTTGTTCTGACGGTGATGAGGTCCTGGCTCCGTTTGATTTGGATCTGACCGGATCTCTGACCGTCTACACCGACCCCAAGAAGAGCGCCATCAACGCCGGCATCAACCTCCGTGGAGCAGGTAAGTGGCACTGCTAACCCTGTAGACTGTGTAGAAGGATGGCTAACCCCGGCACAGTGTAGAAGCAAGGCTAACAGTATCTTTCCCAATGGCCAAAAGCGTCTCCACCCTGAGCTCCTTTCTCGTGTGTGGTGTAGGAGCAGCATCTCTACCCTGAGTTCCCTGTGTGTTTCAGGTCTGTGTGTGAAGCTGTTCTACGTGCAGCCGGACAAGGTCAGAGGTCGTGTGCAGAAAGGTCAGAAGATTGGGGTCATGCTCCCGATGCAGTCGGTGTATCCTGGCATCACATCACACGTCCACGTGCAGCTGTGCGACAAGAGCGACCCCACTGGCTACTTCTAGTACTACAACTACTACTACAACTATAACTACTACATCTGCTACTACGTGACCAGACAAAGGACCAGACCCTACGCAGTACTTCTGATTCTGGAGTTCTGTTAATTAACTTTAATAAAACATCTGATTTCATGTGTGTTGAGATTTTGAACAATCAACGCCGAGATACACTGCCTTGAAGAGATGCACTGCCTCAGCTGCATGGATCTATTATATTTACTGGATAGGGTATTACTAGCTTGTAGCTGAATAACCCATGTGCTCAGGGGATTCTCGCGGTACTGCAGACTGAACCAGATTAAATTCACGTGGGCTACCCAGAAATTTTCCCCATAGAACTCAATGCATATTAAAACAGCTCGACCTCAGCTGACAGAGAACCTACAGCTTTCATAAAGATAGTATTTTGTGGGGATTTTAGTGTCCCTTGTCATCCTGAACTTTTTTTCTTCTTAAATCCTTTGTTTTTGTTTAAATCCACACTTTAGTGCCACAAACTCTACTCCTCTGGCTCTCGCTCTAACTCCCGCTCTGATGAACTGCTCTGATTGGTCAGAGCGCGGCCGAGCCCCTCTGTGCACGTGCGTGAGACCCGGTGTGAGACCCACACACGCGTGTTTGGCGCAACGCATTATGGGAGATCATCCACTGCACAGAACCGGGAGGACCAGACGATGCCCAAATACAGGCGAGTTTCCCATAGATCTTTGCGAGTTTCAGGCAACTTCCGCTAATCTTTTCAGCCCCAAGCCCCGGCGATCCAAAATGGCGCCTTGTTCAAATGAATGGTTGTGCTCAGTGGCGCTTTGTGACGGCATGGGGGCTGAAAGATTAGCGGAAGTCGCCTGGAACTCGCAAAGATTTATGGGAAACTCGCCTGTATTTGGGCATCGTCTGGTCCTCCCGGTTCTGCGCAGTGGATGATCTCCCATAATGCGTTGCGTCAAACACGCGCGTGTGGGTCTCACACCGGGTCTCACGCACGTGCACAGAGGGGCTCGGCCGCGCTCTGACCAATCAGAGCAGTTCATCAGAGCGGGAGTTAGAGCGAGAGCCAGACGAGCAGAGTTTGTGGCACTAAAGTGTGGATTTAAACAAAACCGAAGGATTTAAGAAGAAAAAAAGTTCAGGATGACAAGGGACACTAAAATCCCCACAAAATCCTATCTTTATTAAAGCTGTAGGTTCTCTGTCAGCTGAGGTTGAGCTGTTTTAATATGCATTGAGTTCTATGGGGAAAATGTCTGGGTAGCCCACTTGAATTTAGTCTGGTTCAGTCTGCAGTACCGCGAGAATCCCCCGAGCACATGAGTTATTCAGCTACAAGCTAGTAATACCCTATCCAGTTAATATAATACAGCCATGTTCAGCCCCCATGCCGTCACAAAGCGCCACTGAGCACAACCATTCATTTGAATAGGGCGCCATCTTGGATCGCCGGGGCTTGCTCAGCTGTTAATGATGTAATGCAAACCTGCGCATGCGCGTCTTACGGCAGCCGAAGCATACCAAGATGGCGGACCGTGAATTTCTTTAAAAGTTAAAATACAAACGAATTAAGACACGAATGTCACTTTTAATGCAATTTGAGGCGAGCTGTTGATGGTTCCGTTTTGTCACATGGGGGTTTTAAGAGTCAAAGTTTTGTGTAAAGTTTAGTTTAAGCAGTCAACTGCGCACAAAGCTAATATTTTCATCGTTAATATAATACATCCATGGTTTTCATAGCAGTCCTCGGCTGCTGACGTAGGCTGATGACGCGTCCTGTGGCAACTCTACAGCTTACAACTTACAAATATTTCGTTTGAACACACTATTGTTAATCATATTAAATACTGTACAATATATGTATTAAATAAAATTTACTATTTCAATTATCAACCCGACAGACCAGTTGTAAGTTGTAGAGTGGCCACAGGACGCGTCATCAGCCTACGTCAGCAGCCGCGGAGGCTGCTATGAAAACATTAGCTTCGTGGTTTCACAGGCGCAGTTGACTGCTTAAACTAAACTTTACACAAAACTTTGACTCTTAAAACCCCCATGTGACAAATCGGAACCATCAACATCTCGCCTCAAATTGTATTTTAACTTTTAAAGAAATTCACGGTCCGCCATCTTGGTTTGCTTCGGCTGCCGTGAGACGCGCGTGCGCAGGTTTGCATTACATCATAAACAGCTGAGGCAGTGCATCTCTTCAAGGCAGTGTATCTCGGCGTTACACCTGTAGAGACCAGAGACAGACCAGAGAGAGAGGGACCAGAGAGAGAGGGACCAGAGAGAGACAGACCAGAGAGAGAGGGACCAGAAAGAGACCAGAGACCGAGGGACCAGAGAGAGACCAGAGAGAGCAATCATAGAGAGACTAGAGAGAGAGAGAGACGAGAAAGAAAGAGACCAGAGGGAAAGACCAAAGAGAAAGACCAAAGAGGGACCAGAGATTGACTAGGGAGCGAGAACAGAGTGTAACGTGTAAGTTCGTGGTGATAGAAGGATTACTAAGATAATAGAACAGCAGGATGGAGCAGGATTCTTTTGAGCCAGCAGACACTTTATTATGAACACATTTTCTTCTCCCCGCTTCCTCTCTTACGTCACTGTCACATGACACATTTACCCAATCACAATACCCCACAGCACTGCTCCAAACTAACAAAGATATAACTCATCAAAATAATATCACTCTTACAAGAGCACTAACATACCGCTAACTACCACTAGTCTGACCTGGGGAGGGTTAAGCTGTAGTTCCCGGTCTGACCAGTAGATGGGGCTCACGTGCCTCTTACGTCCTCCTCCAACTATGAGAGGAAACAAGGCGGAGAAGAAAACCCGGAACTAAAACAAAACAAACAAACCACATGAGACAAAAACTAAACCCTAACCCTGCTTGAGCCGGTAACCGTATGGGAGACCCGTGACATACGGGGTCACACAGACAGGACAGAACCAGCCGCTCATACACTGGACACGTCTGCTCCCGCTGATGGCTCCTCTCCGCGGGGATCACACTCTGCTCCTGCGGCTAATGCTGCTGCTGCCTGGGCTCTGTCTCTGTGAAGCCGAGGGACCTGGACCAGGACCAGGGCCAGGACCAGGATCAGGGCCAGGACCAGGATCAGGACCAGGACTGAGACTAGGACCAGGGCCCACAGGACACGTGCCGGAGTTCGCAAAGCATTTCGGGACTAAAACACGGTACGAATATTAGTCATGGATCTATTTATTAGTCCGTTTGGGCTGAGAGCTGATTGGCTGAGTGAGAGTGGTCATCTCTTTCATCCAAAGATGTGACATCACCAATACATGATGTGAAACTAGTGACAGAAGCAACTGTTTTGGAGCCAGAATCAGAGAAATGGATTAAATTCAGTTCTTGTGGTCTGAGAGTAATAGACCCCAGCTTTAAAGTCGCATAGCCAATTTTTGTAATGAGTTCACAATAATGCATATTACTACATACACATTGTATTATAATCCTTAATTTAATTGAAAACTTGAGCTCATTGATTCAGCTGTGTATGAACTCATGTTGTAAAAAGTGCTGAGTAGAGACTTAGCGTGACGCCCGCTCTCCTCCAATCACAGAACAGGCTGCGTCCTCTAGCCTCTACAGCGCTGCTAAACACAGCAGCATGTTAGCAGAATTGGCTATAAATCCTCTTGCTGTAACTGCATACACAGCAAAACAGCCCAAACAATGCAACAGTGAGGAAGAGAAGAGGGAACTAAAGCGAAAAATGATCAAAAAAGAAATCAAGCCCGGGACATAGCTAGCTTACATCATATCCTCTGGAGAGACTGTCTATGGGAGAGACCAGCCAGACCGCCTCGGACTACTTTCAGACGCAAAACTAGCGGTAATGTTTCGGTTATATAATTTGTTTTTGTACCATTTCATCAGTGATTGTTGTACAGCTTTCAAGAGGTTGTGCTAATGCTAATGTTAGCATACGGATCAGATCGCAAATACACCTAGAGGGCTCCGTGGGATGAGAGCGTAGGGGAAATGAGAAGCCTGTGAGCGAGTTGGGGGCGGTGCTAATTCACCCTCGCTGTGTGAAGGAGAGGTTCCGTAGGTCTTTCCTTCCAGCTGCTGTCAGACTGTACAATAAGAACTGCTGAGCCTGTACATTTCTTAAATAATGTGCAATACTGCAACTCCAGAATGTCACAGAACAATGTCACTTTACCTTATGTCACTTTACCTTATCTACTTATTATAATGTAGAGACCAAAGTTGAAAACATTATTAGGGCCCTTAGATCCTCTAAAGCTAAGGACGTCTTTGGGATGGATACCACCATGCTTAACTAGCTGCTCCCATTGCCTCCATTATCAATTTTTCAGTCTCAACTGGCCAGTTTCCAAATGCATGGAAATCTGCAATAGTCACTCGTATATTTAAATCTGGCAACCCAAACTCATTAAATGACTATCGACCAATAAGCATTCTTCCAGCCATCTCCAAAGTGATTGAGAAATGGGTATCAGAGCACATAGTCCAGCATCTAAACAGCAACTCCCCTTCTTTCCACCCCATGCAGTTTGGATTTAGACCCAAACATTCAACGGAGATGGCCACTTGTCTTTTATTGAGAAAATAAAATCTTCTCTGGACATGGGGGGTGTTGTGGGGGCGGTATTCTTGGACCTCAGGAAAGCCTTTGACACACTAAATCATACTGTTCTCTGTTCAAAGCTCCCATATTTCAACTTCTCTGGTACTATGGTGAATTGGGTGGAATCTTATCTACACGGCCGAAGTCAGTGTGTGGCAATAAATAACTGTAAGTCTGAGCCACTTATGATTGCTACAGGAGTACCGCAGGGGTCAATTTTAGGTCCCCTTTTGTTTAGCCTTTATATTAATGATTTGCCCACAGTCTGCCCTGAAGTTGATTGCATAATGTATGCAGACGACACAGTCTTATTTTGTCATGGTCGCTCCAAAGATGTTGTGGCTCAGAAACTCACCAAATTAATGGAACGTGTTATGTCTTGGCTGAAAGACTGCTGCTTGCAGCTTAATGTTTCCAGCTTAATGTTAATGGTCTCCATGTTTTTTAGTAAAACTAAGAGTGCTTCTGAAGATCCGGTGATTTATGTTGAAGGGGAAAAGCTACAGTCTGTCCCTCAGTACAAATATCTTGGTCAGATTCACATCTCACTTTTAAAACACATGTTGAAAAGATGTGTAAAACAATCAAATTTAATCTTTCAAATTTTAGATCTATCAGATATGAAATGTCAACTGAGGCCGCAAAACTTTTTTTTAGACTCAATGATTTAAAGTCATTTTAATTATTGTTTAACAAGCTGGAGTCAAGCTAATCAGACTACTTTAAGACCACTAGAAATCTTATATAAGCAAGCCATCAAAGTAATGGCTAAAAAGCCAAAATGTTATCATCACTGTTTAATTTTGGAAAAGTATTCCTTTCTAAGTTGGCCAGATCTTCATACATTTTCAAGTCTATGCTTAATGTATAAAGCAACTCATAATTTGGCTCCCGCTCCACTCGCGGGTCTAATAATTCAAAGGAACAGTAGTGAGCGGCTCACTAGAGGCTCCGTGAGAGGCGACCGTGTGATCCCTCTGCGTAAGAGCACCTTCAGTCAGTCTGCCTGGTCCGTTAGAGGCACCAGAGAGTGGAACTCACTACCACAGACTGTTAGACAGCAGAACACATACAGGGCTTTTACACAGCACCTGATGGTAAACACATACAGGACACTTGCCCTCATTAACTGATGTATGATATGCTTATGTCTTAAATAGTATATTCTTGAACGTGTGAACACTATGTTAGTCTTGATTGATGTTCTCTCTGTCTTGTAATTTTGTCATGTTACTGTATTTTAATGGCTTTTTAACATCACGGCCAGGGGACTACAGATGAAAAATAGCCTCCTTGGCTAACTCTGGCTTTTTTAACTCATGTTTTATCATGTGTTTTATTGAATTGCAGTGTCCCCTTTGAAATAAACTAAACTGAATCTGAAACTGAATGCACTATTTAACTGTACAGTTTATAACTGCACTACTACTACTTATATATATTTTGACTGGTATTGAAGCATTTTCAGCATCTACAGCTAGTTATGTTAGCTAAGAAACATAGCTACTACTTATTTGTATATAATGTGTGTGCTCCCTGTGTGCTGTCCTATATGTGCGCTGCAACATCAAAATTTCCCCACTGTGGGACGAATAAAGGAATTCTTATCTTAAACATTCAAACCTTGCAGAAACGGGTTGTGAAAAAACTAGTCACATTTCAACAACATAATCTCTTTAATACATGTTGTCAGCCGCTGGTTCAAAACTACAGGTTATCTGGACATCAGCACAAACAGACAAGTTTTACAGACTGCAGCAGTCTGGGTTTCCGCTGGATGGAAAGCAGCAGAGTGACAAAGAAATGAACCAAAAGCTCTGTCCTTATACCCTGATAATATGAAACACATGTCCCAACATCCTTAGGTGAAGACAATAGCTTCTCTGTTCAGGGCAAACACATAGCCCCTCTCAAAGCAAGCCCGAGGCCACTCCAAACAGATGTTTTCTGCACTCTTCTTAATTTAACTTCCTGTGTTTCATGACTGGGGGGGATGGGAGAATGCTGCTGATGCGTCCATCACATCCCACCACACACATAGGTTAACTCAAAACTGTCTAAACTTTGAATATATTCTAATTCACTTTAATGAAAATCCAACAACTCTACTAACATTCCCTCCTTTTTTTCATTAAAAGAATTAATCACATTCAATGTTTAGTAAACCAACTTAAAGATGGAACACAATGAAGTTAATACAAACACAGTATTACATTTGAATCCAAGTTGCATCGACTCAACTTAGAGACCCCTCTTGACATGTGTCTTATAAAAATCACATTGGTTACAGAAACACACAGAGAAAAGAACTCAAAAAAAAGTTTTTTAGAGATCATTTCATATTCATATGTAATTGCTCCCCTATAAACCATATCTCCCCCCTGTTTGAGACATTAAAAATGGCTCAATAACTAAACATAATTCCTAATTATTCATGTGTATGAAATGAAAAAGACACAAATACCCAATTTACTCATGTAAATTAATGTAGCATCAAAATGTATAAACTAAACGTTCATTTGAAATGTATTAAACTGGAATGTTTTAACCTGAAATATTTTCACCTGAAATGTATTAACTTGAAATGTGTCAACAAATTACACCCCACACCAAAAAGCCTATTGTCCAGTAACGCCTGTTGTAGAAACGCCTCCACACCCCAATGTCTTCTGCAGCCAGCAATGTCCAGCACCATCCAGCACAGCCCCGTCATGTCCAGAAGCCTCTGTCCTGTTCACACACTTTAGAACCGACAGCAAAAACTGGAAACCTCCAGTCCTTAGATCTTTGCACAAAGGTGATGTCTTCGGTCAACCCAGTCTTTCAGATTTTTTGGAAATCTGCAAAATGTCCCAAACACACACAGAGTCAAGTTGTTGATTTGAGTCTGACCTCTGGATGACCCTTTGCATCATTGCTTCTGTCGTTGCAGCATTTAGCCTTGGTTTGGCCTGCTGGTTTGGCTTAGTTTGGCTTGGTTTGGCCTGGTTTGGCCTGCTTTGGCCTGCTGGTTTGCTGGTTGATGATTGGTGGGGGTGGGAGTGAGCGTCTCCTTCACAGGAATGAACTCTGAGCTTTTGAGCATCAAAAGTGGTGTTTTAGGTGTTTCCCTCAAACAAAACACACAAAGTACACATTTGTTAATACATTTCAAACTTAGTTCAGTAAACCCAAAAGAAAACCTTAGCAGTTAATGAAAACTGTTGCTGAAAACAGTCATATTACTGTATATTTTCTTGTGTCAGAAATGAAAACATCACAATTAACTATTGAAATAATGTATAACTAGTTATATTCAGAATCAAACAGATTTGCATTTCTTTGATGTAAACATTAAACATGCTACAGTAACTTCCCTTACTGTTGAATTTAAACCTTTCAAATGAAACTAAACATATTTATTATTCAAATCTGAAAAATTAAACTGCTTATTTTCAGAGTGTTTTCCACTTATCTGATTGTTTGAGTCAGCATCAGTCAGAGAGGACTTCTTAGGCGTCTGATTCGTCGTTCCCAACCACAGCACATGAACTTGTAATTGATCTGTGAAGTTTAAAACACTCTCGTGCCCAATGGTCAAAAGAACCACAATTAAAGCAGCCTTGCTTCTTTGTGCCACTGCTTCGCTCCCTCCTCCCCATCTGGATGCACTCTGCTCCCAGACCTGTCTTCCTGGTTGGAGTGGAGTGAGGCAGTGGCTGTGGATGGAGCTGTGGCTGGGAAGGATCAGATGATCTGCCCCCAAGTGTCTCTCTTTGACTGGCTGTGATGGACTCAGAAACAGAAGAAAACATTAGTGTTGACTCACTCATGACTTCTTTGCATTGTTTAATCTTAATACATGCATCTAGAAACTTCTTCTGCTGTTTCAACATTTTTCCCTGCACATCTAAAATGTTTTTTAAATCACTCAGCTTTCCCAGACTGAGTGAAGCCATGTGTTCTTCACAAAAATCAAGTGTTAATTCTAACCTGCTGTTAACATTACAATTATCCATTGCTACTTCGTTAGTCTTTCTCCTAACATACTCAACACTTTCTGTACAATCCCTCTTCCAGTGTCCTCTCTTGTGACATTTTAAGCATAAATCATTGCTTCTATCTTTACTATCACCCTTTCTTTTTCCTACCTGAAACTGACTCCTCTCTCGCTCTCTCTTCCCACCTTTCCTATTCATCTTATAGTCTGTTAGTTCAGTCAGTTAAGTCCCAAACATAGACACAGAAGACAAACACTTACATGCAAAACCTGAAGTAACAAACAAATACTACTCACATAAGAGGAGATGTTAGTCTGTTAAATCTTACACATAAAGACAGTTACTCACAAAACAAACAAAAACTCCAAATCAAACCCAAAAATTAACATAAAAGTCTACTTGTGTGCACAAAATACCAGCTTTTGTGATCATAAGCAAACAAAAATCAAAAATCTGAGCAAACTTTGAGTCTTATTTATCATCAATCTAATTCAGTCTCAGCCTAATCCTTTTGAGCTTGTACCAAATGTAGTAACTTTAAAATTGTCCAATCACAAAAATTTCACAGCTCAAGTCAATTCAAATCTATCTATGATTCTCTAATCTCATTACCAAATGTTTTCACCAGTAAAATGTTTATCACTGGTTCCACCCCTTTTTAATTTTTTTTTTTTAATGTAGCTAGCATTAACAAAAGTAGTTAAACTATAACAAACATACTCCACCCAACTAGAGTTGAGCAGACGGGAGGGACAGAATTGGGAGCAAGGGAGAAGGGGGATGAGGGGGAAGAGGGGGAAAGGCAGAAGGGGACACAAAGGATGCACCTCAAACGTGCACGCACACACACACTCACACTTTAGGCCTTTATATCTAAATTTCAATTTCCAGTTTAAATTATTATTAGAAAAATTGTTGTCGTCTTATTATGCAGGCTACCACAAAGTTCTACCAAAAAGTCACTAATCAGCTGAAGAAAAAATCACCACTCTCAAAATGTTCCATTTTTCCCTCAAATGGCCAGATCTGGTTTTCCAACTACACGTATGCGTCCATAGTGCTGAATTTGTAATAGCTCCTCGACTATTAGAAGGATAAGCCTCGTTATCCTAGGCCTAAGAAATAGCCATCGACTATTAAAAGGATAAGCCTCGTTATCCGCGGCCTCTTTTTTGAGTCCCCGACTTCAAAAGTCCCAGTGGATAGAAGTTTAAATTCTCCACTTTCTTAGAAGTGCGTGATATCTCACTGCCCCAATGCTTTTTGAGAAGATAAATTGGATTTCCTGCCTTCAAAGACGATTTAAATTTAGTTTCTTTTTTTTTTAGGAAAAATTTGTTTTACCTTGTCCATGTGGATGTCCAGAAACTCTAGTTCTGCCGTCAACTTCAATCCGGAGACTGGCCATGCCTCAAAGATGGAGTCCTCAAAGCAGTTCTGAATGAAGAAGACCTCACCGCTGCTCCAACTCCATGTTTGAGGCATCCTCAGCTCCGCAGAAAAGCATGTTGGCATCCGGCGCAAGAAGGACCAAAATATTGTGAAAAAACTAGTCACATTTCAACAACATAATCTCTTTAATACATGTTGTCAGCCGCTGGTTCAAAACTACAGGTTATCTGGACATCAGCACAAACAGACAAGTTTTACAGACTGCAGCAGTCTGGGTTTCCGCTGGATGGAAAGCAGCAGAGTGACAAAGAAATGAACCAAAAGCTCTGTCCTTATACCCTGATAATATGAAACACATGTCCCAACATCCTTAGGTGAAGACAATAGCTTCTCTGTTCAGGGCAAACACATAGCCCCTCTCAAAGCAAGCCCGAGGCCACTCCAAACAGATGTTTTCTGCACTCTTCTTAATTTAACTTCCTGTGTTTCATGACTGGGGGGGATGGGAGAATGCTGCTGATGCGTCCATCACATCCCACCACACACATAGGTTAACTCAAAACTGTCTAAACTTTGAATATATTCTAATTCACTTTAATGAAAATCCAACAACTCTACTAACACGGGTATAGCTCCTTTTAACACTTCCTTTGTCCCTTGCAGATATGAGGATGTGGTATCTCCGCCTGTAAACCTGTCCTCGACCACAGAGGGGCGCTGTTCCCCTATACACTTAACTGCAGTGATCCGACACGGGACCCGGTTCCCCACCGTGAAGAACGTGAAGCGCATGGCTCGAGTCAGTCGCTTAGTGAGGGAGATGGGGGAGACGGGGGACCCTGAGGACGTTCTGGAACAGCTGCGGCAGTGGGAGCAGTGGTACACTGAGGACATGGACGGTACGTGAACATTTGAAAATGTCCTAATGTTGAGAGGTATCATCCATATGGACCACTGCAAACTTACCATAACACAACCGTCTGCCCAAAATCACACGCCGAACCATAATCCAAGTGATTATCTGTGGGAACACTCTCCATCCTCTGACAGAGAGCAACTGTAGTCTCTGGATGAGCAGAGAGTCAGATCCTAAAAGACAACAGGGTGTCATATGTTAAACCCTGGAGCAAGAAAGTTCCAGTCTATTTCAATGTGCCAGTGTATTGTCTCTGTCTTTACCAGGTACCAAAATCTCTGTCCTGCGCTCTTGTGGAAAAATTGCTGGAGTCACTTTTCCTAACCCCCAGGACATCCACAGGACTTGAATCCTAAAAAGAGCCCATCAGATCTCTACACCACCCACTCCCCTCTGGCCGCAGATATATCTCTACTAAATACAGGACTAACAGATTTAAAGAAGCTATACCCGATTTTTTTTCTAAGTAGTTCATAAAAATGCTTTTTACTACATACAAGTTGTATCATAATACATCATTTAATTGAAAACTTGAGGTAATTGATTCAGCTGTGTAAGAATTACAAGCAGTGAAAAGTGCTGAGTAGAGTCTGAGCGGGCCGCTCTTTCTCCTCCGCTCACAGAACGAGCAGCGACCAGCCTGCGTCCTCTAGCCCCTACAGCGCTGCTTAACACCAGGGCTTCAACTTCAAAATTCGAATATAATTCTAAAATAAAAAAATATGAACAAAATAATTGAATAAAAAAATGTGAACAAATATTAGACAACCCTTGTAATTCGAAATGTATTTAATGACTGCAAATAAAATAGTTAGCTCCCAAAGGTTTCACCGGGACGTGCTAGGCAGGTAACAGCTAAGCTAGCTAGTTGTTTCATGGTAACTTCCGGGTTTTTCGCAATCGCTTTTTGTCACTTTAAAACAGTATTTTTGTCATGAAAACGTTAACAGCAAATTCTGAAATCATCCGTGCATGTGTGTTAAGGATGTATATGTGTACCGTATTGTCCGATTGACCTTTAATGGTGTTGATTGATAGATATGTAGTTGTTTATTGAGCGTGGCTAGCTCCGCTAGCTCCGTTGGCTTCTCTACACAGACAAGTGTGTAGTGACAGGCGCTGAAAGCTTCTTGTACTTGCAGAGTAATGGCAGTATTTTACACACCTGAATTACAAACAGAGGTTGCATTGGGGCTTCGGTCATTATTGGTTTGAGAGTTCTGTTATCAAGAAAAAATGATCGGAAGAATTGCTTTCAAGTCAATGGAGTGCTGCTGCTTTGAGGAGCTCTATAACAAATTATAATTAAATATTAGAATATATTCTAAGGTTTTAAATTAATACATTCGGACGCGAAACTAGCGGTATTCTTTTACTTATATATTGTGTTAGCAGTGCGTTGCTTTAGTACCATTTCATCTGTGATTGTTGCACAGCTTACAAGTTGTGCTAATGCTAATGTTAGCATATGTATCAGATCGCAAATAAAACTAGGTGGCTCTGTGTTATGAGAGCGCAGGGGAAATGAGAAGCCATTGAGCGAGTTGGGGGGCGGTGCTAAACATTCAAACATTGCAGAAACGGGTATAGCGCCTTTAAGAACTCTTTCATTCCTCCCGCCATTGACTTGACTTTAACCCATCCTGTACCATGTACCAGTGCAATGTCCCTGTCCTGAACCAGGTACCAAGGTAATGCATATGACCTGAATCAGGTACCTGTGCATTGTGTCTGTCATCTACTAAGTACCTGTGTAATATCCCTGTCCTGTACTAAGTACCTGTATAATGTCCCTGTCCTGTACCAGCTTAGATGGGGACGGATATTATTTCCTGTTCTTCACTCCTGATCGGCTGTCTTGCTGTTGCAGGTCAGCTGGTGGAAAAGGGGCGGTCTGACCTCAGCAACCTGGCCATGAGATTGGTCAGTTCATTTCCTGGTTTGCTGTCAGAGGCGGAGTTTCACAGCGGAAGAATCAGCATCAAAACCAGTTCTAAACATCGATGTGTGAGCAGTGCTGAGGCCTTTCAAGATGGGCTGAGGCTGGCCTGGGACAGACCCCGGACCAGAGACCAGCCCGGGAACAGAGACGGGACCACCACAGAGACCAGCCCCGAGCCCCCTTCAGACTCAGACTACATCCATGAGGTCGACGACTCCCTGATGCGGTTTTTCGAGCATTGTCGTGGTTACGTGGAGGGGGTGGAGACAAACGCCACGGCGACTGCCGAGGTGGAGCTGTTCAAACACGGACCAGAGTTCAGGGGAGTCCGGACTCGAGTTGCACTGAGACTGGGACTGGACCCGGATCTGCTCACTCCAGGTCTGACCACGGTCTAAGGCCTTCAGACTCTGCTGCTGTAGTGTTTGTAGTCCATAGCCAGCATCCATGTTTGTTGTTCATAACAAAACTCCATGTTTGTTGCCCATAACCTGTCCTCTCTTGTAGACCTGGTGGAGGCAGCCTTCTTCATCTGCTCCTATGAACTGGCCATAAAGTCTCTCTACTCCCCCTGGTGTCGACTCTTCACCAAGGAGGATGCTAAGGTACAGTAGTAGTGCAATACAATACAATACAATTTATTCTTGTATAGCACTAAATCACAACAGTAGCATCTCAGAGGATTTAACAAAACCATTAAAATCACCAACACAGATCAGAAAATCAACAGTTCAATCAAAACACAAAAAGAATATAGAACACATGTTGATAAATGTCCATACATGTTGTAGAATGTTAAAGTGTCCTGTATCATCACCACAGTCCTTCTTGTTAGACACTTAACTGTCCAACACTGACCCACTTTGAGAGAGGCATCCGCTCCACACGGGCTATAGATCCAGGACCTAACATGCGGGGAAATACTTCTTAATTGGCTAGTAAATATCAGTATAAATAGACAACATGTACAGTATAGGAATTTAAATAGAGTGTGTATATTATATACATATATGTATTTTGTACACAGTAGTATCTACAGTATTTGTACACAGATCTTGGAGTACAAAGGAGACCTGAAGCAGTACTGGAGGCGCGCTCACGGTTTCTCCATCACGCCCCTGTCCTCCTGCCCTCTGTTCCACCACATCTTCAGAAGTCTGGACAAGGCTGGACGCCCACGCAGGTTAGCTACTGATGCTAATTATGCTAATGATGTTATTGATGCTACTTATGCTGCTGATGCTAGTGCTGCAACTGATGCTGCTTCTGATGCTAATGGTGCTGATGCTACTGCTGCTCTCCTCAGAGCTTCAGACCCGCCCCCTGAACCTGCCTCTATTCTGATTGGTCACGCTGAGACGCTCCTCCCCCTCATTGCCCTGTTGGGACTATACAAGGACAAGACCCCGCCCACTGCTGCCAACTACCAATCACAGCAGGGTACAGCTCCTCTCCTCTCTTTCTTTCTCCTCTTTCCTCTCTCTACTCTCCTCTCTCTCCTCTTTTTTTTCTCCTCTTTCCTCCCCCTTTCCTCTCTCTTCTTTCTCATCTTTCCTCTCTCTCCTCTCTTTTCTTTCTCCTCTTTCCTCTCTATCTCTTCTCCTCTTTCCTATCTCTTCTCCTCTCCTTTCTCACTTGTCCTGTTTCTCCACAGATCGCCTCTTTAGGTCTTCCCTCCTCGTCCCTTACTCGGCACACCTCGTCTTCGTCCTATACGATTGTCCGCGTGGTGCTAGGCTCCGCCTCCTCACCAACGAGGCGCCTCTTCTGTTTCCGGGGGCAACAACAGATCTGCCGCTGTACAGAGAAGTGAGGGCACTATACCGCCACCTGCTGGATGGCTGTGACTACTACACAGCCTGTGAGGGGAGGCCCTCAAGGGCCCCCAACACTGAGCTATGACACACACAGAGACACAGACACACAGAGACATAGACACACACACACAGACACACACTCATAGAGACACACACATAGTTTCAATCAATCAAATCATTTTGATTTTGAAAGTAAAAGGGTATACGCTGATGAAAACCACTGAGTCCAAATCCAGATCGGGTTCAGGTCCAGATTGAGTCCGGTGGTCATTCGATATCCTGAATAAATAGTTTGTGCATTATGGTTGGACTGGACATCTTCAGGGACTTGGACTTGGACTGGACCTTGGAGCAGCAGCTCTACATGGAGCTCCTGCCATTTCACTTATTTCTCTTTAATTCTGGTGAAACTTTTATTGGTTTTGATTTATATTTATTTCTGTTTGGTGCCAAATGTGACAGAGGAGCTTTAATAAACTTTTTAATAAAATCTAACTGTTGTGTCTGTGTGTGTGCGACACAAACCGTTTGGGTTAGTTTTATTGTGAAAGTCTGTGTCCAGGAAATAAATACCTGTGTGTGTGTGTGTGTGTGTGTCAGTCAGGTGTGCGCTCGAGTCATGGGGCTTGTGTACTCTGAGGTCAGTCCCAAATATTTATCTTCACATTTAAGTTAACTTTAGACCAGCTTTAGTCCTGATTTAGACCAGCTTTATTCCTGATTTAGACCAGCTTTAGACCAGCTTTAGTCCTGCTTTAGACCTGCTCTGGACCTGTTCAGTCCTGCTTTAGACCAGCTTTAGTCCTGCTTTAGACCTGCTTCAGTCCTGCTTTAGACCTGCTTCAGTCCTGCTTTAGACCTGCTTTAGTCCTGGTTTAGTCTTGCTTTATTTCTGCTGAGTCCTAGTTTAGAAAAGTTCACAAAAGATTAGCTAATACTGCAGTGCCTCAGAAAAACTGAAGTCGAGACACATGTGCGGCACAGCTGTAGACCTAGTTCAGACCTGGTTCAGTGCCTAAGGCACAATCAGAATTTGCGTGAGGTGCAGATAATCAAATGTGGAACAAGTCTGGACCTGGTCTAAAGCAGGTCTGAACCAGGTCCGGACCTGGTCTGAGATCACAGCTTGTGCAGTGAATACTTTATTCTTTAATCTGTACTACTCTGTACTTCACTGTAATCTGTACTCTGTACTTTACTTTGTACTCTGTACTTTATTCTATACTCAGTACTCTACTTTGTACTGAAATCTATACTCTATACTTTGCTCTGTACTTTACTCTGTACTGTAATCTGTGATCAAACCCTAACCCTCTTTGTCAGAAGCACTTTTTGTTTGTCAGAAGCACTTCCTGTTTGTCAGAAACAATTCCTGTTTCAGCCAGTGGTGGCAGCAGCGTACAGTGGAGACTTGCGGCAGCTTCAGACTCTGCTACAGCGCCACCCACAGGACGTCAACATACAGGTGATGTCACATTAACAAGCGTAGTCACGGCTATCTCCGCCGTTGAAACTACTGAGCTGCCACTTTCGTCATTGATAACCTTTTACAAAATGTATTTTGAGGTCAGGGTCAGACGAGTGCTAGGGCTGGAAAATGTGAAAAAACGATCTTGCGCATGCGTCAGCTGCACTAGCCCCATTCATTTGACGAGTGCCTTCAAAATTTCACAGCGACTAAACTAGACTGGTCCAAAAACAATACTCTCCTCAGCATCGAGACATGCGGAAAGTAGCTTTGGGCCACCAGTTTCATATACCATGTTATGAAATAACATGGTATATGAAACTATGGAATAGGACAAGCTGAGGACAGGCATTTTGGCTCAGATGAACTATTTCCCATTTTCAGGACTCCTACTCTGGAGACTCGCCGCTCATCGCCGCCTGTCGTTGTGGTGATGTTAGGACCGCCCACTTCCTGTTGGAGAGAGGAGCTGACCCCGCCCAGTGTAACAAGGTTTGTCACTTTGGATCTTTCATGTCACTGTTTCTGTGAAGGTCTGGTCCAGACTGGTCTTGTCCCGTCTGGTATGGTCTGGTCCACATGTTCTTGTCTCTTACAGAAGCTGCGTTCTCCTCTTCATTACGTTTGTCGTCACACTTTGTCAATGATAGATTTCCTGATGATTTGTGTCCTGATGCCTCTGCTGCTGCTGGGATACTTCCTCATGGTAACAGCCAATCACAGCACCTCCTCATTGTAACAGCCAATCACAGCACCTCCTCATTGTAACAGCCAATCACAGCACCTCCTCATTGTAACAGCCAATCGGAACACGCATGATAGTCCTGAGAGTCTTGATCCTTAGGGATCTGACCCTCTGGATCTGACCCTCAGTGTGGAGTGTTAAAGTAAAGGGTATGAATATTTATGCACATGTGAGACATAAGTAAACTTCTTCTCTTTTTCAGTTACAGAAACATCGAAATCAGAAAACTCTGTTTCTGCAGCTACTGCAGCGAGGAGCAGACGCCAACACCCAGGACTATGTAAGGGTGATGGAGTGAAGGGGTAAAGGGAGTGAGGGTTTGAGGGTGTGAGGGAGTGAGTGAACGAATACATAAATAAATGTCAGAGGGTGAGTAGATGTTACAGCTGTGAAGCTCATGTAAACATTAGATTCACACTCTCACCTCCTGGGGTCAAAGGTCAGGTTGATGTTAATCCTGTGTTTTCAGAAGGGAAACACAGCTCTGCACTATCTCTGTCTGAGGATGAACCAGCGTCTGCTTCCTGAGCTCCTGAGCCGAACTGACCTTCTCCTCCGGAACCATGTGAGATACAACGGGTTTATGTGTCAGAGTCAGAGGTCAGAGGTCAGGGTCAGACGAGTGAGAAGTTTGTGGAGACCCCTGCTGCTTCTTTGTGACTCTACAACTTTGCAGATCTAGAGACTGAATATGTGCGCAAAAAAGTTTAGATCTGGTTTGTTAGTGCAGATAAACATTTGTGTGTTGGTAAGTTTACAGTGAACCAGACTCTGAATAATAACACTGCACTCTGAGATGTTTAAAACTGACCTTTAACACTGACTCTGGCCTCTGACCTCTGACTCTGATCACCCCCAGGGGGCGCTCTTTGAGCCCTGTGTTATGTCACGTCTTGTGTCATGTCGACAGTACATATAACAGTGTATATAACAAAGCCAGAGCGATGATGTCATCTCTGTTTCAGGACGGGGAGACGGCGCTGGATGTCGCTCTGAGACTGAAGGCGAAAAACATCATTCGACTGTTTCAGAAATATAACTGACACAACTGGACCAAAAAAGACCAAACTGGACCAACCAGGACCAACTTGGACCAAACTGGACCAACCTGGACCCACACGGACCAACCTGGACCTGGATCTAGGGTTAGAATAGAACAACCTACCCCTACCACCATGTTTTGAGGGCTTATATCTAAGGAATGCAACCTCATAGAACGTTGGAACCAAGATGTGCACCCCCCCACCCCCCATACCATGAGGTTGACTTTCAATTGGTGCCACCCATTATCCCTGGGACTTTCAGTTCTTACGATATTTGCAAAAAAAAACCTGTGGTTTTTGGTGTATCTTCTACGGATCAAGTCTCTATGACCTTTGGTTCAAGAGATATACACTGTTTACTTTCCGCATTGAAATGAATGGGACAGAGAGAAAAGCAAAATTTGACTGTGTTGGGGGTAAAAAGTGTTGTCTGAATCTTGAAATGAGCGCGTTTTAGGTCATTTGGAGTAGATTGAGTTTACCATACACTAATATCGGGTTGCACTCCACATGTGACCAGTAGAGGGCTGTACTTCCACATGTGACCAGTAGAGGGCTGTACTTCCACATGTGACCAGTAGAGGGCTGTACTTCCACATGTGACCAGTAGAGGGCTGTACTTCCGCATGTGACCAGTAGAGGGCTGTACTTCCGCATGTGACCAGTAGAGGGCTGTACTTCCGCATGTGACCAGTAGGGTTATGGTTCAACCATAGACTGTATATATTAACGGACAGAGTCACGCCTATCTCCGCCGTTCTAACTAATGGGCCAAAAATAGTGCTCTACTGGAGCTATCCAAAGAAAATTGTGAAAAAACGCATCTGCGCATGCGTCAGCTGGCGAGAGCCCCATTCATTTGAACGAGAGACTTCAAAGATTCACAGCAAGTAAACTAGAGTGGTCCAAAAAACTTCACTTCCCTCAGCATTGACACACATGTGGAACGGAGCTTTGGGCCTAGAGCCAACTTTTGGACCATCCTGTAAAGATGTTTTCCAGAGGTCTGCCAATGCTAAATGTTAGCATTGGCTAATTCTTCTTCTGGGTCCACCCCCATCGGTCCGGGGTGGTATTGCAGCATGTCAGCGGACGTCATTTTGGCCACTTTTGAGCCGGGACCAGGCCCCGGCGATCCAAGATGGCGCCCTATTCAAATGAATGGTTGTGCTCAGTGGCGCTTTGTGGCGGCATGGGGGCTGAAAGATTAGCGGAAATCGCCTGGAACTCGCAAAGATCTATGGGAAACCCGCCTGAATTTGGGCATCGTCTGGTCCTCCCGGTTCTGTGCAGTGGATGATCTCCCATAATGCGTTGCGCCAAACACGCGTGTGTGGGTCTCACACCGGGTCTCACGCACGTGCACAGAGGGGCTCGGCCGCGCTCTGACCAATCAGAGCAGTTCATCAGAGCGGGAGTTAGAGCGAGAGCCAGACGAGCAGAGTTTGTGGCACTAAAGTGTGGATTTAAACAAAACCGAAGGATTTAAGAAGAAAAAAAGTTCAGGATGACAAGGGACACTAAAATCCCCACAAAATCCTATCTTTATTAAAGCTGTAGGTTCTCTGTCAGCTGAGGTTGAGCTGTTTTAATATGCATTGAGTTCTACGGGGAAAATTTCTCGGTAGCTCACGTGAATTTAGTCTGGTTCAGTCTGCAGTACCGCGAGAATCCCCTGAGCACATGGGTTATTCAGCTACAAGCTAGTAATACCCTATCCAGTTATTATAATAGATCCATGGCCGGGACCGGCCCCCACTGGGTTCAACCTGGTTTATGGATGAAGAATATCAGCTTTGGAGGTGGATTAGTCCCTTTCAGACAATTATTCTACACTATTAAAACATTATAAAGCAGTTGATTGTTTCATATTAAAAAGATTGAAAAAAAGCTGACGAAAGAGCTGCAGCTAGAACTAATCAATGGGGCTTTTTAAAGCCAAATACACCAAGCAACAAGGAATACAGATGAAACTCTGGAACCTAGAATATTGTTCCAAAGTTCAAAACTTAGTCAACTTCCAATGTTAAAGGACAGTTGGTAGAGAATCGGCTTTTGGGCCTGTCGTCATTGTGTCCTTGGGCAAAACAATTAACTCCACTTTGTCCGAAGCCCCCGTTGAAACACCAAGGCCATGGCTCTGATGACAGAGCAGCCATCTTCATGTGGACCCACCACCTCCTGGAGGATCAACGGGACTGGTGCTATGAGCCTTGGGTGGCAGCTCTCATTGCCACCCCCTGACCCAGAAATTGACTAATAAAGGGGTAGAAAATGAAGGATTTCTTTGTTTTCCAGTTTCTTCCACACATTTATTGGCAATATGATGAATGTGCTATGAGGGCATGGACAAATGAATAAATAAATAAATATAGGACAGACGACATGCAAAGAGAGATATATCATGCCTTTTGTTTATTTGGTTTATTGCTCACAGCTTGAAAAACCCTAAAAGTGTGAGTCTGTTCAATCATGTGACTCTCTCTCTCTCTCTCGTCCAAGTGGCCCCACAAGATTCCATCCTTAAACACGGTCTCTATTCCTATCTTTTGAGTGCCCTTACTTGTAACATAAAAACATCTGAGGATTTTAAAACTTGTTGAATTATTCACGTGCATTTCAGATATTTGGACAGAACATTCACATCACGAGAATGTGCTGTTAGTTTATAGTGACAGTCGTATTACAACACACCATTGTTTTTTACTGGAAAGTAGAAAAACACAATAGGTGTGTGTGTGCACGTTTGTCTGTCCTGTAATGTTAATCTATGTATGACTATTGTACTTACTACACAATATTCTCAAAACTGGGGTTCAGCGGTCCTACAATTTATGTTGGTCTCCCCAGAGGTGAAGTGTCTTGCTTAATGACACAATAATCGACAAATTCACACTTCACAGCCGCCCCACTATGGCACATGGTGTTCCCAGAAGTCTCCCATCACAGCACTAACCAGATCCTGCCTTGATAGCTCCAGAGGTATGATGGGATCTGGCTTTTTCATGCAAATCCTGAGAGTACACTGCCCTTCACTATACTCACCCGACCTGCTGCTATTATTATCATTATTTATTGGTCCTGCACTTTACAGTCCTGTACATCCATGACTTTAATGAAAACCTTTTTTTTTCTTATTGGACACATTTGATCATCTTTGAATTAATATTAAAGATTGAGGATGCAATTTGAAATTTGTGAATTTATGGCACAAAATATATATGTGTGTGTGTATAAACAAAACACACCATATTTGCTCCTGTACTTCTGTCTTTTATAGAAGCCCGTTTCCGCCATGTAAAAAATTTTGAGTTTAAAAGTCAAAATTACGACTTTTAAAAGTCAAAATTTCGACTTTTAAAAGTCAAAATTACGAGTTTTCAACTGCGCATGTGCAGTTGAAAACTCGTATGTGTTGTTATCTGGAACGGTCTCTGGACATCCTTCACCTGCAGATTATGTGAAGATATTGCTGACAGCGACCACTGCATCCTTGAAGTAGCCAGAAATAATGTTGTTTGATTGATTCTGTAAAACTTTCCTGTTTAAGCCCCAGACCGCGGTCGTAGGACGCAGGGGGAGCTGTCTTTTTATTTATTTATGTTAAATTCAATTTACATATATACAACGTTTAAATCAAACGACTTCTTATTTCGACATAGTAACACATAATGTGAGCAATATGTTTTTATAATAAATCAAAGGAAAATGATCCATCAAGACATTCCAATCCAATCTGCTCTAGACCACTCTGACCAGACGATGGCGCTGAGAGGGGTCCACACGGAGCGAGTCTTTCCACGGCTGAAAGGATGTGCTTTCTACGTGTTGTGTACGGGGTTTTATTCATGCATCTATAATGGGTTTAACTCCCTTTTCAAAGACCCTCACTGTTATCTGCGGAGTTATTTCTCCGGATTGTTGCTTAAAGAGTCGTGGGCTTTATTTTGTCACAATAAAATAATCAGACAAGGCACTTATTCCCTATGTCTCTGTGTTCTTGCTCATACGCCAACAACTTTACCCGCACGCTCCATCAGCTCACCCCCGCGTGCACGCAAACACGTCACATACTCTTCAATGCACTGATCGCAATTCCAAACGGGTAATATTGTCAGTGCCCGTGACTGTGGTTCTCCTGCCTCTGTCTGTGGTTCTCCTGCCTCTGTCTGTGGTTCTCCTGCCTCTGTCTGTGGTTCTCCTGCCTCTGTCTGTGGTTCTCCTGCCTCTGTCTGTGGACCTCCCTCACTATCCAGTAATCGCGAACGGTCTCTCTGTCAGTCACAATAATATTCACTGCATTTCTGGTGCATCCATCGATAGCTGTGATACTGACCAGATGTCACCAGTTGATGCTCAATGACTTTGAACAGCCGCATGTGTTTTATTATTAATCTTCCACAGTCCGTTTAGGATAAACTAAATAGAGGCTTCTGAAGCGGATTCTAATCATAAACGGAGAGACCGTTTGCATTTTAACGCGATTATTACCACAACATTATTGCTGCTACTTCATGGATGTGGTCACTGTCTGTAGGAAATATCTTCACATAATTTGCAGGTAGAGGATGACCCATGGTCATGGATCTATACATAGTTCCCACAGACCAATGAATGTCACATGACCTCCTCGGAGACGCCATCTTTGATGGCACGCTGCTGTGTTTGTGCATTCCATTAAAGCAGCAGTAAGCGATTTTTGGGTGTTAATATACGTCTTAAATATTGATATATTCCAATAGCCATCACTTATATAGAGTGTTTGTACCTAAACACGGATCTCTCAGTCCTTCCAGTCTTCTCCCACCTATATGATAAAAAAACCTCACATCCTATGCGCTTATCCAATGACGAGAGAGCACGCCTTATAAGGGGTTTCCCCCGTGTGTGCACGCGCACTCTTCAAAACAAACATGGCGGAGAAGGAAAAGCCGCCTCCAGCGCTGCTGCAGACTAAATACCATGGATCTATTAAATACAGGCAAAACGCCAGAAACAGA